CAGTCTTTTGGAAAATAATCAACAACAAAAAAAATGTTTAATTTACCGTAAGGTCACGTCTCTCACACAACAAACACCAAACCACAACTTATAAATATATTTATATATTTTAACCCTTAACACCATAAATCTCAGCAAAGACTAATTGTCAGAGCTAAAGCAAAACAACATTCATTTAGGTGCTAATGTAACCATAAAAAGGTCTTTTTGGCAAAAAAAGGAGAGAAATTTTTTTTTCATCTTGAATGAACTTTTTCTTTCACTTCTTGTTCTTTTTTCCATCTTCAAGCCTATCCAAATATTGAGGAGTAAAGAAAAACTTACTGGCTTTTTGATATCTTCAGTCTTTCGTCATCAATTTGAAGGGCTTTGAAAAGTGATGAATGATATGATTCCTTCAACATATTCGCCAGTCATCAATGTTGGTCCGAGTGGCAAAAATTATTGTCGATATTATTAGAAAAATATTGATTGATATTTTTTTTTCTTATATCAATTGTCATGCTGTCGAATTTTTACTCTGTTATTTCAGCACCAATAATTTTTTTCTCATGGAGTGTATTTAGGGGTGACTTGATGTAGTTTCCTAAAGGTCATTTGGGTTTGGTGCAAAGGGAAATCAACATTATGGGAACTATTGACATGTTGTGGTGCCATTTTTTTATGCTTACCGGATGAATAGCCTTGAAGATCCAAGTTGAAAATTGTTCTTATATAGTCTGATGACCTTAACCCTTCTTCCTCAGTACCAGCAAAATCTTCATCAGCACCTCTGAATCGCGTCTATCACCCCTTTTATTTATTCAGAAATCCAATTCAACTCGCTACATTTTTTAACACGCCAACATCTTTTCATGCTCGTTCAAGTGCGAAAAAAAAAATCTTCAAAAAACGTTTTTTGATCCAAATTGCTTTGCTATGTTCTTTTGCTCGACACTTGCTAGAATGAGCTTTATACATTCAGTTCTTTCAGTATGTTTAACACGAGCTGAAGCGACAAATATTTTTCCCCCTTTTTTTGTGATACACCGTTGTGATGGAAGCAGAAGCGAGAATGCTATCCTTTTTTTGTTGTTGCTGCTTCTGTTTTCATCTGCAATAATTCAATGTCGTCGTCTTCGTCATCATGTTCATTGTGCTTCAGCTATGATTACCGTCCTTATGCATCTCTCTTTCCTTTTTTTTTTGCACCGTTAATAATGAAGGAAATGCATACAGCAACCTTCACTTTTTTCAGGCTCACTGGGTTAGATAAGTAAACAAAATGAGAACGGAATATCAGTTACATAAATTTGACTGACTACTCAACCAGATGGAAAATTAGTTTTGTGGGGAATTCTATTGCATGATAATGTCAGATTGGTGGGTCTGTAAACGTGAAGAGTCTCAAGGGAGCTTGAGAGGTAACAAACATCTTTTCTAAATGATGTTTTCGTGATTTTTTACAGATGTCAAGTGTGGACAAGTGATGTTCTAGTCGTGTACCTGAGATTTCAATTATCTTTGCAACAACTGGGAATAACTTGATTTTGTATGGTTTGATTTGTCTTGACAGACTTGTAGAAGCATAAAACTAAGGAAACAGTCAACGATTGTCATGCAATATCTGGTCTTTGGTGTAGTGAGGCAGCTTGAAATACCTCGACCATTTTGTCAATCAAGCGAATCAAAGACATGCAAGTACCGCCAAACCAACCCCTTCTCCCTTTGGCCCTAAATTCACATGAACTCACATACGATGACATGAAGCACGCTTTAATCCATTTATTTTCTATGTGCCAACCATGACCTCCTCTACTTGTACATTTCTTTTATTTTATCAATAAATAACTGAGTGAAAGCTTAAAATTCCATTAAAATTCAATGTGTATAGATGTGCTTGTGAGCTGCTTTCCCTCCCTTAAAAATACTAAAAACATATTTGAAAATGTTTAATCAATTTGTAGTAAGAAGACAAGAAAAGAAAAATTGAGAAAGTACATGAATCGAAGATGTTCGATGTGCTTTATTTTTATCCTTGGCTATATGTCAATCGTGCCCATTTTATGCATGAATACTTTTCTCGATTTTTCGTCTATGTCAGTTTTTATTCAATGAATATATTTAAGGTTTTCAATTTTTTTTTTCATCATCGTCGTTTTTCTTCTTATCCGTACTTTTCTGCTTCTTACTCATTCATTTCATACATATTTCATCCTTCAAACAGGCGAATATTTTAGATAAAAGCATTGAATGTGCTATAATAATAGAAGAGAAATCATCATGAATGAGATATATGCTTGTGCTACTATTGATAAGATATTTGCATATGTATGAAAAACCTTTCCCCCTTTTTCTGATAATTCAATTTCAATAAATAAATGTTAAAAGCTCAAGCCACGAATTCAATTTTTTATTCGACTTTTTTACAGCTTCATTCAAGGGGAAATATGCTTGATTGGAAGTTTTTTCGTTGTTTTTTAACTTGAAAGTATCAAAAACTGTTTATGCAAATTATATACATTTTTACATATCATGTGTACAATTTTACATATCATTTACACATCATTTACATTTTTAAATTTTCTGTGCACTTTTTACACGTCAACTAATTGTTTTTACACATCAATAAATTGTTTTTACACATCAATCAATTGTTTTTACACATCAATGGCACGAATAATTTTACACATCAAAATCATTGAATGAAACTTGACAAAAACATTCCTTATTCAAATTAAAGAACGTTCCCCTAAATTTCATTTGTATGGCAGCATAAATGTATGAACCGAAACCTCCATATAATGTTATTATTATTCATAGATGCTCTACCAACAAATTTTCAATTCTACTCCTTTTTTTATTAAATGAGAAATATTCCATTAATTTATTCATGAGAAATAATTTCTACAGAGCCATAAATCCCTATCGAAACATATTCATAGAATTCAATTTAACAAATGCAATTTATGTACCTACATAATATATTATCGTAAGGCGAAAAACCCACAAATCTAAATTGGAAAGAAAGAGCAAGAAAAATTTATTATTCATATCATTGGATTAATTATGTCTGGTACAAAATTACAAGATAATGAATCATTTTGGATGCGATTCGTACAATCAGCTAATTTCATAACAATGTACTAAATGCAGCAATTCAAATAAGCGAAATTAGCTAATTATGAAAATTGAAAACGTTCAATTCATTAAAATGATGAAAAGTAAACGAGACTCATTGTAAATACTTAATGCTGAACAAAATTGAAAATATTTTTAAAATCTTCCAAAAATAAAAATAAATTATTAATTTAATAAAATGTCAGTCTTTTCAATATTTAGATGCCACATTCTATTCCATTAAGTTAAAAAGAGGAACCAACAGAAATTTTCATGATTAATGAATTTTTCATCCTTTTTCATTCGATAAGAAAAGATTGCGCGCTTCAATTAATTTCTTAAAGTTTTCAATGCTTTCAATTAACAGCTTCTCGTGTCGATGCTTATTCATTAAAAATTAAGGTCATTATGCAGTGCGGGAGGCAGGCGAAGCAAGAATCCGCAAGAATATTGGGATCTAAGATACTGAGTCAAGTGCAAGCAAATTTGTCAATGTGAGAACAAGTCTTATAAGGTAAGGCAACAGACTGAAAATCTGTAACCCCTTACGGACTCAATTCTTATAAATGTTCAGTCTCCCAATCAATCCAGCTCATGACATTTCGTATTCCCTTTGCTCTATCTTCCCCTCTGCTTGCATAAACCGTCAATGTCATTAAAAGCTCATAGCACTGCAAAATAAAAAGTTCCTTTTTCTTATCAACATGAGAAATCGAGCTCGGCAATTGCCATAGCACTCGCATGCCTAACTTTAGAGGAAAAAATAAACAAAAATTATCGTCAGTAAAATTTCCCCGAGGTAGTAAAGAATACAAAAGAAAGGAAAACTTTCCCTTCCGATTCTCATGACAGTTTTATGTGCTATCGCTTTAACGTCATTTCCTCTATTTTATTTCAATACTTCAATCAACTTAATTCTGTGGGGAGCGAACATTTTGCATTAAGCAAATAGTTTCTCGTTTTCGAACAGATTTCCCATAATTTAAGTACATAAAGAACTTGAATAACTTTTCTCCGTGGATGTTGAGAAATTTAAGGCTCAATTCTATTAAAGCACTTCAATTCAATCGTCTGCAAGTGAAATTATTATGAACGATAATCAGCATCGACTGCTCATGCGCTGAGAGTATGAAATTGTAGGGTCTTGCACACTTTTAGCACAAAACTTCTCTGTAATATTCTGTTGATAATGAATTTCGACAAGGCAGTCAGTCTTTCACGAAATCTGATATCGTTGGCACGCAAGAGTCGAGTTAGTCCGTGACAATGAAACTTTATTGGAAACTATTGTAACACATATACAGTGTCTATAGCTGTGCAATCAGTTATCACATCATTCCCATCGACAGGAAATCGAAAAACTTTTTTTTTGTGGAAGGACAGTGAGGCACAAAAAACAATTTTTAATTAAGTCTCAATCGGAAAAATGTAAAGTTTCCTTTTCACAAAAAAAAAAACATAAAATAAATAAAAAGGAAGTAAAAAAAAGTTTTGAATCAACAAAAAGTTATTTTTGTGTGGGAAGTTTTGATGATGTGCAGCACAAAAGAATCAGAAATAATAAAACAATAAATGACATTGACATGTGGTATAATATTGATATTATCGGATTAACTTCTACCACACATGATTCATGAATGATAGATAAATATCAAAGAAACCTCTGATACGGACAGCTAATTTCCAAGTGACTGACTAAAATAGATCAAATGCAGACATAACAAATTTGTGTAAATTAGTGTAAATGAGTAAAAAATAAAAACAAAAAAATAAGGGATTTGTTCATGAATGATGTCGTATTAAAAGTTTGATTTTAACCCCCACCCCCCCCCCCCCCCCCCCCCTCCAAAAAAAATATAAATAAATCGGACAAATTAAATTCTCTCAGACCTCCCCCACCCCCAATCTTAAAAGTTAAACCTACACGTCATTTATGAACGATCCCCCAAAGCAAGCAAGAGAGGAAGTTTACAGAATACAAAAATAAGCATTAATTACAATGATAGCTAATTAAGAAGTAATTTCCATAGAGAAGTGGATGAGGCAATTATTCCCACTTGTGTTTTTGCTTTCAAACCATCCAAAGAGGATGTGTATTATAATATTATGTGAATGTGTGATGTTTTGCAGTTAATGATCATTAAAATAAATCACGATAATGCTTTATTGTTAATCACGAAAGGCTAGGGAAACGGATTAATCATCACAAGTGCAGAAAATTTGTTTTTAAATTTTTGGTCTTGAAGAAGAACTAGAAGAAATAGAAAAATAAAGTCTATTGAAGCATCCACAACAAATTATATCCCTTTTGGGTTTTTTTGCCTTCTTTCTTTATTTATGCTTGCTTAGGCTTTTCATCATCCATGTCCGTGTTTGTTCTTTATTGAATGAATCTTAGATAAAGCAGTATGAAGAGTATTTACATGAAGTGAGATGATGGTAAAGTTTTAAAGTAGTTTTTTGTGGAAAAAAAGACATTTTAATCCATATGTGTGGGATATTCATTTTCATAGTTTTTAGTGACTTAATCCTGCTTTTCGAACAAAAGTTTAATGTCTCACTCAAAAAACTTAACTTGTCTCTTTTTTTGGACATTCTATGTCAATAAGATTTAAAACTTTAATTTTCATATGTTTGTGACGTGAATTTTCCCTTCCAATGGTTCTAATTGTCAGTCTGGGGTTTGTGCGCGGGATTTTTATTTCTAAGAAAAAAATTTCAATGTTGGTCCTGATTTTAATGTTGAGATAATAAGAGTTTGGGACCAGAAAAATAAATTCCGTGAATTAAAACATCAAAACATAATTTTAGGTTAAATTTCCATCAATTGCAATAACTTTAGCAACCCAAAGTCAAGAAAAACGTTACAAAGTTTAAAATTCAGCTTAGAAAATTTCATAAATATAATGATCTTCCACGAAGTACATAGAATGCCTCCAGTTCCTCTCCAATTGAATTAATTTCTGTTAACATCAAGTTCAGTTCTCAATTTAATAGAAAAATGCGCCAAAAATCCTCCTACCCGTCCACAAAACCAAACAAATTATACTTTTTATCGTGATGGATCAAGAAAGGAACTTAAAAAGAAATAAAGGCGAAAAGTAGGAGATAAATGGAACAAAAGAGCAAAGTTTTTTAATTAATTAATGTCTCACTTCGGCTAAACTTGAGAATCTATTGTTTTGTGCTTTTGGTCTTTACGCTTGGCCTCTGTGTAAAAATCTATGTACATTTCAATAGAAACTTTATGGTGAAATTTTTTTGGTGGGAAAAGTTGGTACTGTTCACGGTTTGCCTGTCTCTCTGTTTAAGTGTGTGTCTGTTGTTTGTCAAAGGTTGTTAAAGGAGCTGCTCAAACCAACAGTTTTAAAAACATCGACCTAAGCAGCCCTAAAAATTTTCCAGGTTAAAGACCAGTTACAATACAAATTTTTGGTTCAACCTTGCATATTTATATAAAAGAACTGCGCTTCTGTCACCCACAAGTGTCAAAGCCAAACTTATTTTCATTGTTTCCACACAGAGAGCGAAAGAAGAAAGCAAAACATGATAAATTGATGTGGTTTTCATGAACATTCAGTCCGACTGATAAAAAAAAACTAGTGTTATAATGAAATTAGGACTGATGAAAAAAGAAAACTGTGCAGCACTAACCGAAATGCAATTTACAGTCTTGAAATGAGAATTAAGTGCAAAGTGAATTCAATTAAGGAAAGACTATATATAGTGAGTGTGATGTATGTGAATGTGTACAAATAAGAACAGCACAAATTTTCATATTTTTGGATACATGCCAGTGTCAATTTGTGTGACAATATTTAATAGCATAACAAGACATACGTTTAAGCTCAATAACATCATCTGGGGAAGAAAATTTTCCATTTCCTTTTCATTCCGTTGCATTTCTCAAAAAATACCATTAAACAAACACTCTCGTTTTGTACATTCGAATGGCTGTTAATATTAATGGCTGTCTATTATGTCGCTAGCAAGCTTTCAATTGTTGCTTGCAGCACTCATTGCATCTCGCAGCGTCGACGAAGACAGAATAAATGTCAATCTAATAAATACGATAAGGATAAGTCAAATGCTAAAAGTGATGAAGATACTGATGGTGCTGAATGTGAATATAAAGTACGAGATAAAGAGGTGAGATTAGTATTGTGATTATCACTATTTGCATAAATTGACTGTCGATTAAAAGCTCTTTTAATACTTGATGGGAAACAATTTTGTTGTGGTGTAAAACTATTGACGATTATCTTGATGCATTTGTTGCTGCATTGTAATTTATTGATGGTTGAAAATCGTTTAGAGCTAAACTGATGGCTGTTAATGACAGTGACAATTTTGTGCTAATATAGTCTGTCAACAGTATGAGCATAAAACAGAGATTAGAAGTAATTTTTTTTTAAATGGAGTAAAGTTGGGAATCGAACTTATAACTTCAAAAAATGGAAATTTTCAGTTTTAATGTTTGTTGTCTATGCATTCGGGCACATAGAAATTAATCTCGCACTGACAGATATCTGCATATTGGTCTTCATATTCAGGCAAAAGCTCTTTTACCTCAAATTATGCTTAAAAATACATTCCAGAAGCTTTTTAATTCCAATTGTTAATTCCAAAATAAAAATTCCAATTCACAAGCAAATAAAAGATCAAAAGAAATAAAATTTCATGTGCTTGAGCAATTTTGGCACAAGACAATGCTAAAACAATAGAAAGGATGAACAGCTTGTGAAAAAAAAATCTTTAAATGAAGAAAATATTTTCGGATTATTGTTAAAAGATTATGTATCATGTAGACTTAGAAGAAAGAAGTCCATTATAAATCTGTATATAATTACCCCTCATTTTGTCTGGAGCCTAAATTAAGCCTAATATATAAAAATTCATAATTTAATAAAAATGATTAATGATTTTTTTTTCAATTCACACAAAAATTGCTTCCAATTAAATTCGAAATTTTTTTATTATTTATGCTCAATTTAATTTTCCATCCCACACACACACACACACATAATAATTGATCATACCGAGTTTTTTTGGTGTGGATATGAAATTCACATTTGTTATGATTATTGTGCATTAGAGCTTTTTTCACACAATAACCGTACATACCAATTAAATTAGCACAATCAAATAATAAGACAAGATGCGAACAGAAAGAATGCCATAAAGAGACCAGAATGGGTTCTTACTTGAACAAAATAAAATAATCCCTTTTTTTTGTGTCCATTTAAGCATTCATATACAAATACCACAGATGGAGAGAAGACCTTTTTCAAAGCATATGTTTTTACTTTCAATCCTGTCACTTTTGCGTATCGTTTCAATCACAATTTTTATATGTTTCACATATTGTCTAGTTAGCTTCTTCGTATGAATAGGTCGATGGGCCATTGGCTATGTAATAAATGTAAATATTGTCATTGTTTCTGTGTAAAGAACAAAAGCTATATTTATAGGTTACGTATTCATTCTTTTTTAAATTCCTTAGGTGTTGTGGAGGTTCTAATGTACACCGATGTAGTTTATAAGATTATCTGCACCAAGAATGATCAAGCTACTCTTTGAATTTAATAAGCAAATTTCATAAAATGACAAGCTAGTTTCAAAATTCAAAATTTCAGTTAAAATCGTTAAAACAAGAATTTACGCTTTTTCAAATCTTAAAAGCCCGTTATTTTTCAATTCAAAAAATCCATTTAAAATCTCATTTATTAAATTCCAAGTGAACAGATTGGAATTATTTCAACATAGTCTTGTCATGCTATATGTCATAGAAGTTTTACAAGCTTTTCACTGTGAAGCTTATTTCCGAAAATCTCACGAGACAGAAGCAAAACCTCTACAGATTCCATATGTATCTCCCTCCTTCCATCTCTTAATATTTTTTTTCACCCTTATTTCTTCCACATCTATTGTTTCTTTTTCCTTCACAACTAATTTTATATTATATTCTAAAATCCTCTCCATGCTGAATACATAAATAGGCAGCAAGTTCAAATGGTCTAGATAAAGCTAGCTAACCATTGTTAGATTATAGGGAGTAAAGATAAAGGCAAAGAAAAGGATATGAGGAACGTTTCCGTCTTCATTCTTTACTGTTATTGTGTTGACTTAAGCAATTGAATACGATGGAAAAGCAAAAAAGAAATAAGGAGGGAAATAAAGAAAGATGAACGAGAGAGTCGAAGAAAAAGAGAAACAATATTCATGTCTATTTAACTTTAATAATATGATACATTTTACATGATAAGATGTGACAAACGAATGAATAAGGCGAACAAATGAATGAAGAGGATTTCCTTAATTCTGACTCTATGATACGGGTTATCTCGTTATGAGCATATGTAACTTAACATTATCTCTTCTTATTCTTCTATTTCTGACATTTTTTTGTTAGCTCATCATTGAAGGGAAAGGATGTTAAATACGAATCATTTATGTTTTATCTATCTTGAAGTGCACTTTGACAGGAGAAACTCTTTGGAAATTGGTGTTTTACATGTCAGAGTAAAGAAGCTTTTTTTCTAAGATTTTATTTTAGGAATCTTTAATTTAGGTCTTTAAAGTTCGGAGAAATTCTTTTGGATAAAAAAAGTAAAGCGAGTAGGCAGAGATAAAGAAATGTTCGTACAAAGACAATTGTTGTTAAGAATGGTTAATCCCTACTTAAACTTTCTGAAAAAAAGATAAGTATTGAAATTTTTTTATAATTTTAAGACTCAAAAATCCCGCTGATTGTGGTGTAACAAGCAGCTTTCATTATGTTAAGACTTGTTAAGGATTCGAATGACTTTTGGTTGTTAAGGATTTTTAAAGTGACATGAATGAATGAATGAATGTTAATTCAATTCTTCTGAGAGTCATATACCTTAATGGATAAATGGTCTTGTAGTTTTCAACTTGACTTATTTATACTCGAGCTTTAAATGCTTCTCTAACCTTGCCTTCTTGAACCAATTAACTCAACAACAATCTGTAACATTCTTTGTCTCTAAAACTTTATATGTTCATGAGCTATAACAAATGAATTCTTATAAACTAGAACAATCTTACCAACTTATAGTGGCTATCCAAATATGTGAGGTTAGACTTAATTTATCAAATGAAGAACATTAAAAACTTAATTCAAATAAATTACATCCAATTATCCTTTATTATCCCTCAACTTACAGAAGGACATAGTCATTTAATTCCAAATGTAAATGCGTTCCATACATCAAAAATTTTATGTAATGATAATTCTCGGATTTCATCTCATTTCCCTTTCATATTTCATTTTATGTCTCAACTTTAATTTAATTTTCTTCTTTATCATGTTTTAAGAATATATAAAAATTAAGTTAAGTTGAGCAAATAAATCTCACAAAAGCTCAAAGTTTTTCGGTTCCTCAAAAGAGGGAGAATTTTCATCCAAAGGCAAACATAAGAGATGATACATTGTTGGAGGAAATAGACACAAATATAGAATTAATTATATAAAATGATATGACAATCGTATTCAACATAACAAAAGAAAAAGAAGATCAAAAAGGGATAGAATATGGAAGAGAAATTGTCATGTCGAACGAAAATGTTGTTATGGGCCAAAATAATATGAAATTGGAGAGGAGTTGGACAATAGAAAATTCTTATGGAATCGTAAAGGGTCTTTCACAAATCACGTTCAAAATTTAAAATCGTTAAGTTGTAGGAAAATTCAAAAATTTCTCAGAATATTTCGCGCCACTTCAAATTTTATTTTGCAAAATTAGAACTTAATTTAGAAGTTAAATTCATTTCAATGTCTCTAATTGACAGTAAAAAGTGGCAAGAATATTGCACTTAAGCCTAAACTAAGCAGTTCACAGCTTAAATTTGAAAATTTCAAAATTTAAAAATATTTTTGTTTACATTTTTTTTTTATATTGCACAAAAAAAGTAAGAGTTTTAGCTAAATGCCTTTCTTTCGCTCTATAATTGTATCATGTATACAAATTTTGAGAAAAAAGAGTGTTTCAAAAATTTCAAATTTTCAACTGACGTTACTTGTTAATAATCCCAAAACCAATTCTTGAATTTATTTCTATTAAAGAGAAAAAATATAGCCTCGATAACAATAAAAATCAATCGAAAGAGAGAGAAAGAGTAAAAAGGGCAAAAGCAGGAGGCTTAAAAGGCCAACAAATTCATTTTTCTCTCGTGGGCGATTTATTTTTTCTCCTCAATCTTGAAATAACATTCATCATTGCCAGAAACTTTCCATCCCAATTCATTTTCTTCATTACTTACTAGTCCGCACGCTTTCTGTGTTTTATTTTGTTCCATGACTTTTATAATGCGAACGTAAATAGTTTTAAGCAAAGTCATCAAATCCTATTGTTGTATTATGAGAAAAATAAATGGGAGGCTATACATAACATCCTCTCACGAATGGAACATGATCGATGTGAGACTAACGATAAGGTGACTTTACTGCCTGCAAGCGGTTATCGTTCAACTTTAATTATTGTCTTGGAAGTAAAAAATGAGATGAAAGGATGACAAGTGACAAAAGTTCTTCTTGGAAATGTGAAATTCTCTTTCAGGTGGCTAACAAGATGAAGCTTAATGAACTTTTTGTGACACTTCTTTTACTTCATGAACCATTTGATGTCAAAATCACGTAATTTTTTTGAATGGAACTGCAAGAATTAAAATGTCCGTCAAAATGATGCTGAATGACATTAGTTGCATAAAAAAGAAATCGGATTAGGTATTTAATTTTGCCGTGAAGAATATCCAATAATAACTGCTAGAGAATGTCTAGTATAAACCCAAATTTTATGACACTAATCATTCATCTACTGCTCGGGATTAAATTCTCTAATTTGATTTTATCTCTGCTAAATTTTATATTCCACAAGAATAGTATTAAGAAAATGAGTACTGGAAGTGATAAAAGTCAAAACAGTTCAGACTTTGCCATAAATCCTCCGACTTTATGTGAAACACGTTGTGATTTCTTTATTGAGCGGAAATATAATGGAAATTGTTTAGTCACTTAGCATTTAAAATGAATATCTTCTTGGAATTGCTGTTAGTGTTTTTCATTCAATAAACACGTGTAGATCTATATAGCTTCTAGCCGAAAATGAACACAAAGAACAAAAAAGAGAATGTTCTTTTAAACGAACCAATTTTTTTGCTTGAGCACCTGACAGGATTTTTCTTTTATTGAAATTATCATTTTCAATTTCTACACCATTGAATATTATGCCTGTCCTTTTTGAGTGAAAAATTTTGGTATTTTATGTTATGGTCACTTTTATTTGAAAAGGTCTTCTTTATTACTTATTATCTATTTTCCCTTTTTCTCAAAAAATTGGCTCCAAAGGATCGTTCGTCTAGGTTAAATAAAATATCACTAGCAAAAATTGGATTCTAAAGAGATATATTGGCAAAAGAAAGAGCTCTTGTTTGTCTTAACCATAAACATATCTAGTTCTAACCTGTGGTAGGCAAACGAATCTTATTTTTAGAACAATTAGATTTGGTACTTTTTTAGTAGTCCTTATTTTTAGAACTTAATCCGTTATGAATTTTAGCCAATCAGAAAATTTTGTTAATTTTCAGCAAAAATCCTTGTGTTTTCTTACAGATTACTATTTTAAACATAAAATAGATACACATTCTTTGTTTTAAACTGTTTATGGATTCAATGTTTCATCTGGTTTTGATAAAATTTCGCGTTTTCTTTTTCAAATATTTTTCGTCAAAATGTAAACAAACATGACGAAGGAAAAAATTATTTTGGGAAATCCCAAAGTCTAGTGAATTAAGCTACTTAATGCTAATTTTTTGAATATCAAAATGTTTACTGACCCAAAAAGGCTATGAAATAAAATAAGTACTATATTATTTAATAGCAAAATGACTTAAAAACAACAAAACAAATTATGATTAAATAACGTTTTTCCTGAATTTAAATTTTACCGCCCGAAATGTTTAAACATTCAAATTCAAATCTTTAAAGTTTCAACTGATTTTATAAGATCTTTGCCGACCACAGGTTCTAACGTAATTGGAGCTTATTTCACATCTTGAAGTGAAGACAGGTAGGGGTTCAATGGAGATACCCTATTCAAAAAATCATATCAATAACAATATCGATCCCTCCCCCCCTTCTTCCCCCCAAACCCCTTTTAAAAAAACTAAAGAACCCTATTTCACGTGTAAAATTACATACGTTGCTATAGTTTTGAAATTTTCCTCTTGTTGTTATCACCTGTCAGGCCAGAAAATGCTCATATTTTGATATCATAAAGTGAATGGGTGTGAGTAGGAGTATTTTTTGATCTGCCTCAGGACTGACATTTTTATTAAAATTTATTGTGTTGATTGAAATTCTAAATCACAGTTTGCTTTGTGTCCTACACACAAATCTATGCCACAGGATCCAAAAAAAGACTTATTCAATTCCAATTTATTGTTTGTGGTTCTCAATTCTATTTTAAAAGTCATAAATTCAGGCATCTTTATAAACTAATATTATAAATCTTAAAGTAAATTGAAGCTTGAATAATTTCTTGGCCATCCGCTTCGAAGGCTGTGACGAAAAAATTCAATTCAATGCCTTATAAAAGTCATGCATAAAGAATCCTATTCTTATAAAGCTTTAAAAATAACCCAATAAATTTCTTCAACTGAGTTAAATGAACATGAATGGAGTAGCTTTGACAAACGTATAAGAAAAGACATCCTAAAAATACAACAAATTGAAATGCCCTTTTTGGTTAGAGATATTTTTTGTGAATAATATCTTGTTACTGTGGCTATAAATATACATCTCAAAAATTCTACCTTGGGACATTAATAAAAGAAATTTCCTCAAGTTATTAAGGCTTGAAAAGTTCTTTTTAATAAAAATCGACATTGAGATAAATTTGAAATTCATTTCTATTTCAGAATTTTGAAGAATTGCAATAAGAAATCATCAATTTATATTAAGCTGGCAAAAACCTGCGAGAATAGACAACGGAATTCAACTACTATGTTTCCAAGAGAGACGTTGAATGTCACTGTCTATCAGCTTTAGCGAATCAAATAAAAATTAAATTTGCAATGCAGTGGAATTTTAAAAATTTCTATTGTTTTCAAAGCTAAACAGGAATGCTGAACAAAATTGATGAATTTTTTGGAAATAGAAATAAGCAAACTGCAACAAATTTGTTGCTAAGAGGAATTTGAAGTCAAGCAATCAGTTTAGAATCAAACAAAAAATAATGTAATTACATTTTCTGTTGCTCAAAAGTTAAGCCTCAACAGCAACAATAGCAAACAATGTGTTGGTTCAGAAAAATAATTGATATTGATTCTGTTTGTTATCTTAGCAACATATTTGGCTTGGGAGTAAGATCATTGAGTGAACTGGGTATACTGTAACATCTGCTGAGTGAAATGTAGGCAAAAGCTTATGCAATTCCTTCATAACAAAACAAAAAGTATCAAATCTAGTGCAAATGTCAGTTAAAGCTCATGTTTTTGGAACTTATAATCATGTCACAGCCTAGATTTTCAGATAAAACAATGGAACCAATAGCATTATCAGTTTCGTAAAGATCGTGACTTTTACGTCTTAATATGTAATCAATTAGGATTATTTACAAGTCATTCATGAATTTTCTTTCAAATAATAATGATTTTGAAACTTGAGACAAGCGGTAAGCATATAATGAGATTGTGTCATAGAAACAACAACCATTTAAAAAATTATTTACGTAACGAACATAATATCCATTTAATATAATGAGATGCTAAGGTATATGACTTCTATTTCTTGACTTTATGAACGCTCTTATGAATTCATAGTCATTAAAATTTAGTATGTTATGTACATACTAGGTACATACGTTCTAAGAGAAAGGAAAACTTCTTTTCACTCGAACATAAATATTTAAACATGCATGTTCTGCTCGTTCTGCTGCTGCCAACCACAATATGTATAAGAATATAAAATCATGCAGCATGGCTTATACCAGTGGTTCTCAAATTGTGATTTGTGACACAAAAGTGTGTCTTAAGCGTTTTATGGAGAATCAAAAATTCTACATAAATTTCAAATAATGTCCGACGAATCGAATTTTGAGAAGCACTGGCTTAAACAATTTCAGAAAAATCTTCTTTAAAAAATTTTCATCCCTCAGCAAAAATACAATTTTTCATCTCACTCTTCACTTTAGTACATCTACAACTTTATAGTTCAAGTTTAAGAGCCCTTTACTCTTTACCATCTATCTTTCCTGGCTTCCTTACTCACCTCATCAATCATTCTGTGTGTGCTTTTTTTTCTTGCAGTTGATCAACATGGGCTACACATCTTCTGTCGATACTATCGTGGGAACGTCAAGACAATTTCCAGAACTGCTGTGTCAAGCTGGAGCGGAAATTGAAAAGGTAAGAAATGATGAAGGTTATTTTTTAATCATAAATTTTCATCAAAACAAGAAAATAAATTTATTAAAAAAATATTCTATGCTTAAAATAAAATAAAAAGAAGAACCTTGAACAATGGACGAAGAATGAGCTTGCGGTAATATCACATAATTTTTGTGGGTTTTTCTTCCTGATTCTCATTTTGCCGAACGATATTACAAAAGATTTTAATGTAAAATAATATATTTTTTTGAAAAAATAAAATAATACAAAAGCATGTTGCGCGTGAGCCATTTTCAATTATATTCTATAAGAAAAGAAATGCGATGAATAAGCTTTTTACATTATTTAAACAAATACACAAAAATTTTCGTGTGCTTCCTCGACATTCATACTTTTTGGTTACCATTATTGCTATGGGAAAATCATTTTTCATTATATTGCAACGTCTGGTGCTACCGAAAAATTATTTTTACCGCTATTTCGTCTAGATGCTTAAATTGTACATGTTGTACATACATTTTAATTTCATTAATGTGCAAAATTTTCCACATCCTTTTCCTTTATAACATTTGTAAGGAAGTTGTTGTTACAAAATTTGATTTTTTGAGCGCTTTTGTAATTTTATTGGATTTTAATCGGAAGCAAATTGTATAAATATATTTACAGTAAACATTCAATTATAATTTATTATGTACATGCCTTCACATGGTTATGAGTATTTTGTTTTCATTGACAATTATTGATATTTCTTGGAACTCAAATCTATTAAGTCTTAATTATAGACATTGAAAAATATGAAAAAATCATTTTCTTCTGATTCATAACATATATGTTTTCAATAAAAATCGACAGCATATGGATCTAAGTAAATAAACTCTTTAAATTAAATTTAAATCAATTAATTGGAAATGTTTCGTTGCTGTCAATTAATTAACATAAATTCAGTTCACACAAGCACAACTTTTTAATGTTTACAAGACTAACTTTGGATAGATAATTAAATTGAATTCACATGAAAGTATAACTAGAGGAAACAAACAAAATTGTCATTATAGGAGAGTAAAGCTGTTTTTAAAACTTTCAGTAATTTTACGTGCTTATGAGCTTTTCCACAATATAGTTCAGTTTACAAAATTAGTTCAATTTCAATAAAATTAGTCAAATGAGATTATAATTTACGCTTCATTAATTTTTCTTTCGGTGACTAATGTGTGCAAAATCATTTTAAACTATCATTATGATTTACAGCATTCGAACTTTATACAAATTATTGACTGTTTAATCATCCAAATGACAAGCTAAATTGTCCATTAAAATTTGTTTAACTTTGACTCAGTCATTCAAATTGAATTGCGGTTTTGTTTGTGCGTCACACAACATTTCAAAATAGTAATTCATATCCATAACATTTGATCGAATTAATTTTCAATTAAAATCCTAATTAAGGAAAATTTGAATAATTTTTGGTCGCATCTCTATCGATTTTCACAAATTTAATTAGTTTTGCTTCAAATTTATAAGAGATTAAGTATGAAATATTGTTCATGTTACAGCAAAACTTTGGCTTCTGTGCTAATTTTAATATTTATGGCGTTCATACGCAGATTAAAACCAGCTGAAGTCTTAACTTGAAATATGAAAATTAATTAAAACTAAATTGAATTTTCAATCTATAACTGAAAAATGAAGTTCATCTACTGAAATAATTTAAATATAGCTTTAGTAATCAATAGTTGATTACCCTGAGAGATTCACGTAGAATAAGTTTTGTTTGCAGTTGAACTCGAAACTCTGTGTAGCTTTCCAAATGTAGTCTTGTGTCGCTGATGAAAGCTCTATGCATGAGCTGTTGAAGATTAAAACCTAAAATGTAACTTAATTGTTAAAAATATTTTTTAAATTATAAATTATACAATTTCAAAAATTGTTTAACATCCGATTTCTATGAAATCATCAATTCCCATTCCAAAACATGTAGAAATAAATTTTCAAATTCAAATATCGCTCCGATGCTCATTTTTAATTCATTTGAAATAGAAAATTTGAATTTTTGTGGTAGAAATTCACAAAAAATATCGAGGAAAAATGTGAAAATCACAGCAACATATTCATGCATAATCTTCATTAACACTCTCAACTAATGTTTTATTCATTAAAATATTATTAAATCGTTCATTCAATCATGAAAATTTGATTTTGAAATAATCTCTTTTTATCAAAAATTCATATGTGAGCATGAATTGGTATTCGGGTATTATTTGATCAGGATTCCGGTGGGATTTATAAACACACAGATACATTTATAATATGACGATGAGAAAAGTTATTTGTGACATACAGATTTAATTTATTTATTGCAAAATAATCGTAAAATTCAATTTCTGTGAGATGAAAAATTATGTTTCATATTTTTGGTGTTGAAGTTTCTCGTTCTGTTTAATGCATAAATTAATTTTCACAAAAATATGAGGAAAAAAGTTTAATCAATTTCATTATAAAACTGCAAAAATGAAATTTTCTGCATAGATAAAATATTTATTTTTGATATCAAAATAAATAAACTGCACGAGAGTATGAGAATATGTTGAAGTTTATCATGGTAAATGCTCATTTTAATGAAAATTGGAGAGATTTAAAATTGTGGATGAAATTTTTGAAAGTTCTATCTGCATTTTTTTACCTTCTACATTCCTTAACATTTTTGTTCAACTGTGAAAAACATGTGATTTAATTTCCTTTGAGATTGATTTATCAATCATCAAGTTCTGCTAAAATGGGTGCTCCTTTTAGTTTACAAACTTTTATTTCTCATTTCGTAACTGAGAAAGATGTTCAAAATATCGATTACAAAACTTTCAACACCTACAAAGTGAATCCAGATGGAAATTAATTTACCAAAATTGGCACATCAAAAAGTTTTTCTCATCATCAGTTCCAAAACATACACGAAACCACAGTTTTTGCTTAAACTTAAGCATTAGAAACCAAAACTTCAAAACACATATTAAGTTTTTCAATTTAATATTTCAAAAGCTTTGTTGTACCTATTAATAATAAATCAGTCATTATGACTGAACAAAACATTTCTCATCTACAAATTTTTCCTGTTCCTCTATCATAAATATGTTTATAACTTGTGGAAAATTGCACAATATTTATCTCGTATTGCTGTTTTCAAAACTTTTTTTTCGCGCTCATACACAATGGATGTGAAAAATTTTGTTTGATGAAAGAAGAATGAGAAAAAAAATCGCTAACATTGTGCGCAATTGATGATGAATGTGCTCCTTTCTCATTTCTACCAATAATAGCACCATAGATGCATGAATGTTGTGAATGTATGATGAAAATAATGTTTGAAATGTATCATGAGAATTTTAATTCTTTTTTTTTTGCTGCTTTTAAAGTATTTGCACTTGTCGTCTGTAATCTCCGCTAAAATGTACGAGATTTCTATCAGAATATGCGTTTTCATGTCTCTGAAATGTATGTTCAAGAAATGAATTCAATTCATTTAAGTATATGTGGATTTCATCGTTTCTTTCCGAGCAGCAGGGGAGTACACTAGAGCTGTTTTGGAAATTATGATCTAGAGTCTCACGAGGGGCTCCTTCTTAGGCCGATCTCAGATTTAAAAGGTTTTGCAAACTCGCTGATTCACTTCCAGCATGGTTTTAAAGATTAAAGCTTAACCTAGCTCCTTCGAAAAACTTAATTCTGTTCGAAAAGTTTCAGGCTCCTCCTTACTGACTTGCAACTTTGTATAATTGCTTTATTGTTCTAAATCTCTTGGAATCATTCCAAGAGTTCCTTTTTTCCTCATTTGTTTCTAAACCACTTGCCCCTCAATGCTCCATCCAAAGTGCTTCAAAATTTTTTGAAATTTCAATTTTCATCTATATTCAACTTCAAATGTATCCATCTGCTTCATACAATGTTCGGGGAATGCATGAGAGAAATCTCATATCATGTGTACACAAATGTGAATCGAAAATGCATTACGGAATTAATATGCGAAGCGTGTTGTTTGTTCATTCGTACAAAAGCTCCGTAAATGTTTGCTTATTTGAATAAACCTTTCCACGTCTTTAGTTCTGTAAATTACTAACAGTACCTCTGTCTCAATTACTCAGTCCTCGACACGTGCACAAGCTTTAATTCAGTTTTGAAATTATGTTAATATATTGTAATATTAATGGTTGTGCATGTGCTTCATGTTATTTAAATAATATTGAGATTGAATTTCTTATGAACTATTTATACATCACATGAGAGCTTGTGATAATATTCAATTAACTCTTCATTGTTCCGAAATATAGACATAATTGGTCCACAATGAGGAGGAAGATTGAAAGACATATGGATGAAACTTATCATTCAATTTGAATACAGCTTTCAAAAGCTAATTTCACATTCCAATGCATTTAAAAAGCCCAAATTTGTATCTCAATTGATGTTAGTAATTCAGTGTTGTTGATTCTTAAATTTGGTGCAGTTTTGATTAAAATGCTACCTTTTTGCAAATCAATCTTTTTATTCAGGTTCAGGTTTTGTCCACCAAAGAGTTAAATAGATTTGCATAGCATCTAGCTTATCTGATAACTAGCTGTAACTATTAGTGACTCAAAACAACTCTTTCGCTAATGTTCTTGACTGTGACCTGATACAAAAGACGACCCAAAGCTCTAGCTCGCAAAATGTTCATGTCAGAGAGAACTTTATCTCATTCAGATCTTACAGATCAACACTGAGTCTAGTATAATATTTAACATCGCATCAGATTTCTCATCATCCAAATAGCATACGTAAACATGCATTCATAAAGCTCTATTTCAATGAATCTCTCGTTCTGTTCAGCTCATGATATAAAAAATAATTTCTATAGCGGACAAGGAAGTAAGAAATGAGATGATAATTGAAGTTCTCATGCATCGGAATGAAAAATAAAATCATGTAAAATGGATGTTAACGATGATGATGATTTCTGTGAGAGCTTTATTCACAAATAAGATTGAAATTTTTCCTCTCATCATGTTGAGTATGATTTGCTGTGCTTCCATTTGATGTTATAAAGATGAAAATTTGTGTGTTTTTTTTTTCAAAGCTTAGAGATTTATTTTATGAGTAAACAAATTTATATCCTTGCGTTGTCATAATCGACTTATAGCGAGGAAATTGAGTATGAAAAATGATGAAATTTTGAAGCACATTTTGAGACTTTTTTTCTAGAGCCGAAGGTTTCAGATTTAAAATTAAATTTTTGCCACCTTTCATCACATATTTTAAATGTGTGCACAATAGCTTGATATTGATTGAAGGCTGATAAAGATGTAAGCAGATGCCAATAAAATTTAAAAACAAAACGTTTAATGAATTCGTAAATATCGAATTTTTATCCAATAAAGTAGGTACAAAATCATGCTTTTGATTAAATTTGTGTGAACGAGTGTAAAGCCATTTGAATTCAAAACGCAATGCCGTTCGTCGCTCGCTGATCATTTTTCTTCTTTTTCGTATGAATTGAGAATTTTTATTATTTTCTTTTCAATTCTCGCTTTTAAGGATTATAATAAGGATGAAGCAGGTGTAGCAGTAAGATACGACGGAATCGTTACAGACAGAAACGGTGCTATTGTAAGATATGAAAAATCTTTCCAATTTACAAGACAGTTTTCCTCAATAATCTCTTATTTCATTCACAGATTAATGGTCCATTAGAATCATTCATCAATTTAATAATTCCGTCGAGCGTTGTAGATATTGATCATGTAAGACCTCAGAGACATGGGCCGAAGCTAAGGGGTGATGATTGTATTTTAAGAATCACTAGCAAATTAAACAAAAACTGCTAGTCAAATTAAACGTATCCTCTGGCTTCGACCCTAAACCTCAGTGTTAAATTTGAATTCCAACAAGTTCCTCAAAATCTTATCAAATATTTTAATTTTACAATAATGTTCTCGTTACTAATTTTTTTTTATATCTTCTTTTCCCCTTTCATGGACCAGAATTTCATTTTCTCATTTTTGCTGTCGAGTAGAATTTTTATTCAACCTCACGAGCTGTTAGAAAAATTAATTGAATCAGTGCCTGAAAATGATGAATCACTAGAACGATTGGTAGCTCTGATGGGAGAATGGACGAGGGTACGAAAAAAAGACAACTTTTTCATTATTTTCTTTATTTCCTCGTTTTCTGGTGAGAACTTTAACGTACATGACTCGTGTACTGAAAGCGTAGGACATTTTTTTTTTGCCATTATCACCCTTAAAAGAATACATCAGTGCCAAAAAGAAATTCATTCAACAAACTTTTTTTCCCTTTTTTTGCTCTATTTTCTTCCATTCCTTCTTCCTTATTTCCTATTCAATAGTGGTTTCCTTACGATTTTCGAGGCGAAGAAATCATGTCGCTCGTTAAACATATCGTAGCAAGGTGTAGTGCAAACAAGAGGCTTGGTGATATTATGTCGGATCTATTGAGTGCCTTGTTAATCAAATTGACAGATTTGAGTAAACATGAGGATGAGATGAAATGTTATAAACGACCGCTAGCCGAGGTAACTTTATTTTGGTGCTGGAAAAGAAATTGATTTGGATTCTATGAAATGCCGGAAGATAAATCAATTTCTTTCGTACTTTGTTGTCAATCTTTAGTTTCTTACTTTTGTCAATAATTGCTTATTTCATTTTCTTATGATTATGTTATCACATTCACATAGTCAAGTGTAGTCGAGTGGCCAAACTCATCGAAATTAGCTCAATTGTTATGTCATGTTGAGAAGAAATTTGCCAAACATATCGGACCAGAGGAGTTTGTTCAATGCAGTCAAAATCTAATTAAGGAAGAACAACAGCAATCAAATTATGATGTTCCACCATCTTCTTCCCTTTCTACAGTAGCTACCTCAATCATAACTAATTCATTTGCCACAAATCCAATGACAGCATCTGCAATCCAATTGCAGGATATTCAGAACAAGAAGAAAACTTGCAATTTGGAAAATTATTTTGAATGGTCGAGTCGATTACGTTTGCTTGTGGCTAATGAAATATTGCAGGTAAGCATTGTGTTATTGGTATTTGGCGTCTCATAATTCACACCGCAAACCTTCCCTTCATGCTGCTCACACATTTTCTTTTTCTCAGCATATTAATTGAATTATCACTCTATTTTCTTTCCATCTGACTCGTCCTTTTGTTTGTTATTGTTGTTGCTGTTCACATGTCGATATCATTCGCAGTGCACAAGTGAATGTGATAGAAGCAGAAAACTCGAATTGTGGAGTAGCGTAGCTCAGCATTGTCTTCTTGTGGGAAACTACAATTCTGCAACATCAATACTAGAACCAATCTGTCGACTGCAGACTATGGTAAGTTAAACTTTTCATCGTTCATTCACATCCATTGTTTATATTTGCTTTCCAATTTTTATGTTCTGATGATTCAATTTATTATTTCCAAAAATTTAAATTTTGCGATTTTGATTTTCACATAATCAAAGTTTCACAACTTGTTATTCGTTCGTATGACAGTCAGCATCATCACCCTTTATGTGAATATTTTTCTTATTTCCTTTTATTTACATTTTCATCTTGAAAATTGATTGCGATAGATATTCATGCAAAAGAAAAACTTTTGTGACATTTTTGATTTATTTTTGTACATTTCGAAATCAGTTCTGCGACTTTTTCATTCTTTAAAATCAACATCCACTTTTCATTTTTATTCTTTGTAGATGAAATTTTCTTAATCAAATTCTTTTTACTCTTTTTTTTCACTTTACTGTTATCGTCACTTTTACGTGTTAAATAAAACTTGACACAAACATAAAATAAAATGGAATTAAGGCTGAGAAGAGTCTCTCACATTTACCAACACAGACTGAGAGTAAATTCCTGTTGAAACTTAAAGCCATGTCAATTTTTATATTCTTTTCGGAGAATTCCCTCATATTGAATGTGACTGAAATTCCGAAAAGCTTTACCATGTCCTTATTGATTTTCATGTTCAGGTGAAAGCACATTTTGTGTGTGTCTCTATGAGGGTAATGGGATTGCAAGCTGTCACAAAAAATATATCAAATGTCAACTTTATTAACAAATTTTCTTCAATTTATCATTGAAGATTCAGTCTTTAGGTTGTGCATTTCTCCATCTCTGTGTCTATAGTCTTCCTTAAAACCATTCACATTAAATTTGAAATCATGTCAATTTACTTTAGATCATAAAATTTATGTAAATTCTCTAAGAATATCTTCAACATTATTTAAATGGATTTCTTTTTTTTCTTTTTGAGGGTTTAAAGTAACTAAACAATTCCTTCCGTTTTAATGATATTGCCCTAAAGTCTCAACATTAAATAAAGTGGACGATTTCATCGAAAGAAATTCCTCAAGAAAATTTAATTCTTACCCAACGAACCAAAAAATTATTTCAAGGATTTTGAGCATTAAAGGTTTCTCTTCATTCAACATAATGTGATGGAAATTGCTGACCAAGTTAAATGAAGGCATCATTGTTGCTCATTAGAATGAAAATTAATTTAGACTCGCAACCATTTAATGAGAAGTGTTTTCAATTTCTTGAGATTGAGATTTTTAAAGGATTTCTTGAGTATTTGACTATGGCTTTTTAATTACCTTCAAGTATGCTAGCTTTACTAAAACTCAGGCTAAGATCCGGAGGAGGGAAGTTGATTGAGTGACAGTTACAATCTTCTTTAAAGTAATTCAATTTTAATTTCAGGAATGAAGATTTCCTCTTTTTCAAAGGGTTCCAAACTTCAAATATCTCTGTCTGCCTTGCTACACTTCTGTCCACTGTTGTCTGTAAGCTCACTTTAGGAAATTAATTTCTCAAAAAAATATGTTTTTAACTGCCAAACGGAAGAGATTTATTAAAACTAATTCTTGAGAAGCTGAGAAATGAAAATTTTAAACATCTCTGTTCTGTATCTCTATTTCGAGCAGAAATTATTAAAACGGAACGAGTAATTTTAATTAAAATTTATTCATTCAGCTCATTAAATTTATTTTACTAAGCAATACACTCTTAGCTACCCATTTTCCATTTATTTCTCCTTTCATTATCACTGCTCATTATTTTATAGTGCGGAATTGAAGCAATCAGGGAATAGGAAACTGAGCATTAATAAACTTTTGTCTATGGCATTATTACTCAAATGCTAGATTGGGAATTTCTCAAAAATAAGTTAAATTAAGGGTTATAAGGAGATTCAACATCTTAGAATTCAGTCTTATGTAGATGACTATTATAGAAGTTGATTACATTCAATTTTATTGATAGTTCATACCAATACTAAAGATTATTGTCTTCTTAAACTTCAAACAATGTTCTTATCCTTTATCATAATCATTAAAAGCAGCTTAGAGATATTTGCTGAGAGATAAACTTAATTTGAAATTGATTAGATTTATTTAAAATTGCTTTCAAGAAGCTTTAGCCCAAATGCGTTTTACTTCCCACACTCAATCCTTTTTTTTCAATAAGCACTATCATAACTTATTATAATTTCCCTTGTTGTTTATTCGTTTCTTCAATTTTGTGTGGCTGCCAACACAATTTCCTTTCAACTCTTTTTACGATATTTAAATTGATATTCAAGAAAATTGAATCAACATCCCGCATACATTTTAATTACTACCTCCGTCATTTCAAATGCTTGAAATATCGTAAAACTACAAAAGCTATTTTTAATCAAATTAGAAATTTCAAATTCTATAAAGTATTTCTATATTTCATTGATAGCTTTTGACGTAATGAATGTGTAATATCCAGTTCAATTATTAATAATTTAAATTTTATTTTTAAACTTTCATAAATTTTTATAAGATTGAAAATATTATGATAAAACCTTTCTTTAATTCATGCAATTTAAATTTATACTCTAAATTGTTTGGTTACAGCACAAAGTTTATCGTAACATCCACTCGTTACGTTGGGTTAAGATTTATTGTTTTTGTGAATGCCTTACTGTGTTGTTAAATTTTTAAATGAGGATTAAGATTATATAAAAAGGCAAGCCGGTAAATGGCAATCTTTTAAAGAGTTTTGTAAAAAGGATGAATCAGAAAAGGAAATTATTTTTCATTAGAAAATTATCAAATTTTTAATTTAAATGTTTTTCCATGACCTTAAGGACTTCAGTCAAATGTTATTAACCCTGATTTACAGAAATCTTATTCAGATCTAAATCTTGTAAAATTGTGTAATATATCAGGATAACAACACTGTCCTCAACTTGAGAAAAGTAAAACCACAAAGTAAATAAAGAAGCTTCTCTTTTAAGCTCCTACGCCACATTCTTGAAATAAATTTAAAGAAGAATGATAAACTTTATGGCAAAATACTCTTATTTTCTCTAATTCATAGTGGAAGAAAATCCTATCATCAACGAATCAACAACAAATTGACTGCCTGTTGAAGCACATTGAAAACTCACAGAATTTAAATTTATGGAGTAAGCAGACGGAAAAGTCGTCTAGCGGGGGATTTAGCAATTTAAACAAAAAGCAGAAACGCATTCAAATCATTACACCCAATTCATCACCGCCTTCAACTCTAAATCGTTCAAACACCACGACACCAAGCACAAGTACCGAGCAATCAATCATAAAAAGTCAATCGAAAGTTGGCACTACAAATAATAAATTAGAGTGGGTTGTACTGCCTGTATTTGAAGACATTGTTAAATTAGCAATAAAGGCAAGAGAAGATTGTAGTACACGGTAAGGTCAATAATGATATATTGCTGTCATTCTTGTGTAAATAATATCTAACATTATTTTTTATATTGAAACAATATGTAGACTACCGAACGGATGCATCGTTTTCAGTGCTTTTAACAAGCTTTCCGCAATCGTATCAGCATTTACAATGCACATGTCAAATGTACCAATCAGTTTAGTCAACTGTGATGAGTACAATATCGTAAATCACATTTTTACATGTCCGTTAGTTCCAGAAGATGGTATGATATGAATATTATGCATGAATAGTTAATTCGAATGTGGAATTTCTAATCGAAATTGCTGTTTCCTTCTCTATCTATCTTTTCTATTTCTGTATCCATAGAATTGTATGTTGAATTTGCAAGGAAAGCGACAAAGATTGAGTCATATTATGATGTTCCATGAAAGGAGATGAATAGAAGATTTTCAGTGAATTACGAAGTCAATCAATGAACAATAATCAACTATGTCAGACGAGAGAGAGCTAACTATTCATTTTAACATAAAAAAATGGAAAAAGTTCATAGAGAATGAAGAATTTATGTCATTATTTAAGTCTTATGTAACAGTAAATAACGAACGACAATTTTTGTATATTTTTTCCTCTTATTTAAGGAAATGAGAAATGGAATAAATTGTAATATAAAGTAGCATGTTGAGGAAGTTTCTCTTTTTAATTTCAGGAGTTTAAATTGAGTTTTTTAACCTTTAAGAACTTTCTTAACCTGCAAATATTTTACAGAAAGGTATATTGCACTATGGGCGAGAAATCGAAAACTTTTCCGAAAATTATTTTTTTGGTCTAAATGATAGCTTTTTTTCAAAGTTTTGATTAAGAGCATTTTCTCGCCCCACAAAAATTGTCACTACTTTTCATTGGATTGATGAAACTCTTTTAATTTTTTTTTATTTGGTAGCTTTAAGTAAGAGCTTTATTTTAGGATAGTAAACATTTAAGTATGCATCTTTTAACTTTATGAATTTTAAGGTTTTTCAAAAAAGCACGTGTTCAGTATGATTACGTTCGTCTAAGAACTTCACTCTTAAAATAAATGATGCTGAATCTTTTTTTATATTGTAAATATAAACAAGATCTACAACTTTTATGAAGATAAGTATGAAGTATGAAGTTTATGAAATAATCACCGAAATTTATTAAAAATAGTTGATTGGATGCTTATATGTTCTGAATCGAAAGGAGAATTACCTTTAGATTAAAGGAACATATCAAAGCTTTGCTCATTCCAGCTTTATTCAAACGTTAATTGGATAAAATATGATCTTTAAATATTTAAGAGTATTTTTCAGAGTTTGAAAATAAAATGAAAATTGCTCTATTTTGAAAATAAATCAAAATGAAAATTATGAAAATTGCCAATTTTGATCAAAGCAATTTTGCAATTTTGTCAATTTCAGAAAATTGCAATGAATTTTTTCTTCAGAAAAACAAAAGATTCAGTTTAATAAAAACGAATATCAACATCCAGGAAATAAACTGTATCTTTTGTTTTTCTGAAGAAAAAATTCATTTAAAAAGAAGAAAATTTTCATACAAAATTATTCATCAAATATTTATGACGTCACAAAAATAAAAATTGATAATTTCCAAAATTGCAATTTTGGAAAATAAACAATTTCCAAAATTGCAATTTTCTGAAATTGACAAAATTGCAAAATTGCTTTGATCAAAATTGGCAATTTTCATAATTTTCATTTTGATTTATTTTCAAAATAGAGCAATTTTCATTTTATTTTCAAACTTTGATTTTAACATAAAAACATAGAAATTTCAAAAAATATCAAAATCAGAAGATTTAAAAAAAGTTTTGATTTAAAATAATTGAAAAATAAGTAAAATTTGTTGAAAAAATGTATGAAAATGATTTTGCTGAAATTTGAGTAAAAAAATTGTTCAATGCATGACATATTTATACTCAAAATGTGCGCCTTGATGAGATCTATTGATCTAAAGCAAAAAACTAAAATTTTAAAATCTTACAAAATTTATTTTCAATTTTTTTGTTTTGAAATGTATTTCTGGTCACACTTCAAAGTCAAATTGCTCGAGATTGTCTCAGTAACCGAACTCAAGCTGATTGTTTATTCTTAAAGTATATCTAAAGAGCTTTCAAAGCATGTAAAAAAATTCCACTCCTTTGGGCTATCCTGAAAAGTTACGGGAATTTATGTCAAAAAATTGCAGTTTTTTTGAAAAAAAGCCTTATTTCATCAGCAAAACTTTACTAAAACTTTATAGTATCTGCATAAAATTTGTAGATTTTGTTTATATCCGTTTATATCTACAATATTAAAAAAAAGATTCAGCATCATTTATTTTAAGAGTGAAGTCCTAGACGAACGTAATCATACTGATCACATGCTTTTTTGAAAAACCTTAAAATTCATAAAGTTAAAAGATGCATACTTAAATGTTTACTATCCTAAAATAAAGAGAGTTTCATCAATCCAATGAAAAGTAGTGACAATTTTTGTGGGGCGAGAAAATGCTCTTAATCAAAACTTTGAAAAAAAGCTATCATTTAGACCAAAAAAATAATTTTCGGAAAAGTTTTCGATTTCTGGCCCATAGTGTATTGATGCTTGTTTAAGAGGTTCTATGGAATGCTGAATTTATGACAAAACCAAGATGTTGGTTACTGTTGCTTTCGAGAGACAATCAAGCGAATGATCCTAAGCGAACTTTTGTTAAATTGACGTAGCTAATCACAATCAGAGTTTTGTAAATATTAAGGACCCCCAATAAAAAATGCAACCCTACTTTGTAAACGTTATTCTTTATTAATATTTTACTATATATACTGAATGCTAGTGCGGAAACTTTATGAAGTTACAATCAATTTCTCAATGCCATCAACTCATCACTATAAAAAGAAAACTTTAAATTGAAAACTTTTTTTTCCCTTCCATCTCTTTCTCCAAGCTAGCTTGCGGGATATTCTTTTCATCTCTTATGAAAACCACCCCTTCTTATTCAGAGAGTTATATTTAGCCACATTGACTGTAATGAGATTAGGAAAAGAAATAAATAGTATAAGAAACTGATAGGAAGTTATTAAAAAGGTGAAGCAACTTACTAAGTACAGAGTTTGTGATGGACTCTGCATTTCTATTCTGTCCGTAATAATCTACAAATTCACCATCGGGGTTTACTAAATAAATAATGATTGTATGATCAACGATATAGTCATTATCCTCATCTTTTGGACCAGCAGAGAAATATACTCTAAATGCTTTACAGACTTGCTTAACTTGATCAACTGTTCCTGTAAGACCAAGCAGTTTGGGAGAAAATTCTTTGGTATATTTCTCAACTATTTCGGGCGTGTCTCTTAATGGATCTACAGTGATAAATAATGACTGGATTTTGTCTTTTTGGAACTCTTTAGATTTCTCAAGACTATCAACAGTTTCAGCAAGTTTTTCCAATTCTTCTGGGCAAATATCAGGGCAATGAGTAAATCCGAAATAAATTAACAGCCATTGACCATGAAAGTCTTCAGACTTTTTCAAATTTCCTTTTGTATCAACAAGTTCCCATCGTCCACCAATAGCTGCTTTCCCTAATTGACGCTTTCTCTCACGAAGCATTGCCTGTTCCTTCTCATCCTTCACATACCACATAAATGCCTATAGATTAAATATTGCGTCATGCTTATCTATAGATGTATATTAACTTGATTTATACTTACCAATAAACATCCACCTAAAGCAGCAGCAATCGATAAGCTCCTCCATGTAGTTGGACCTATAAAATAATGCTTTGAGATTAAAAACATCCAGTAACATCCAGTAAGAAAGTTTGTCATACCTTTTCCTTTCCCAGGCAGTTCTTTCTTAGTTTCAGGTTTCGGTGGTATTGAAGCTGATGTTGCTGGAGGTTTTGGAGACTGTGCTGGCTGTTCTGTTGTATAAAATCGAAGAGGTATCGTTGTTCTTAGTAATTTTGATTCTCGCAAAGCACTCGACAGAACTAAATTCGTGCAATTCGTAAGCCGCATAATTTTAGACATCATTTTAACGCTTAATATACTTTGTTTCTCTTAATTCCCAAATGCTAGCAATGACTGCTTGTTTGTTTAATATTGTCCAGTATTTTACTTCCTCTTAAATGGTTTTGAAACACTTTAATTAATAAAAATTGTAAACACCTGAAAATCTTAAAAGATTCTATTTCAAAGATGATGTCTAAAAGCTGATTTCAAATATTTTTTGACCGTTAATAATTTTTTATTGGATTTACTTTCCATCAAAATCTAATTCTTTTAATAATTCCACACATTTCTTTTTAAGGATCTTGACAGCTTCAACAAATATATCTTCTGGCTTGTAAGCACCTAAAGATTCAACATTAAAGACGAAATGATTTCGAATTCTCGTTAATTCAACGAATTTTGCTATCTCTGGATGTCTGTAAACATTTCTACTGCAATTATCATACCGTGCATCCTTAACATAAGCACATCCACCTTTATCAATCTCAATGACTCCTGGAGAAAAGCATTTTTGAAGTGTGTAAGCATCTTTTCCTGTAATTTGCTTGAGCAGTTTGATTTCTGGAAGAAGCTTATAGGATGCTAAAGAAACAGGACTGAATTTTGCATGATCTTTTCCGATTCCTTTAATTGCCAATAATTTTAAATTAAGTTCGTGACCCTATAAACATTAAATAGTTATTAATCTGCAGCATCTGAAAATTTCTAGTATGACTTACTGGTCTCATTTTGGAAATAAGTATTTTATCGTCACATGGACCGACTTGTGACTCATTGAATAAAGTTCCTTGCTTGCCTCTAGGAACCCATTTTATGTGTTCAGTATAGACATTATGATTTTTGTACATTGCATCAATATTCCTTGGATCTTTAACGTCTTTATTCTTCCATGAGCATTTAATGTCCAAACGATACTCAAGAGTATCCAATTCATTACCTTCTTCATCCTTTTCGTCCAATTTGTATTCAAAAAGCCTAGGATCAGCTGGAATGATAGATTATTGATAAATTTTTGTATTACTGGATGGTAACAATCAGCTTTGCTGGATGTCAACAAACCTTTTAATGGAATTAAGCCAATTCTATGAGCTAAAACTTCGTCCTGAATGATTGATGTATTGTTATAAATGTGAACCTTCTCAATAGCCATCGTTGGAACCTCACTAATCATAACCCTTCGAAATGCATTAGCAATAGCTGGAGTCAAGCCAATAATGTCGAATTCTAGCTCATAATCTACTCTTTTGACCGGAATAATCTGAAGATTCTTTTTAAACTTTTCTCTATCGAACGTTTCATCAGAAAATCCGTAATCATTTGGATTCTCTTTTATTTTATACTCTTCCATTGTCACTTTCGGTCGTCTATCTTCTGTTTCCATTGCCATTTCACTATTAAAAACCATTTATTTTAATTTTTTTAAGAAATTATATATTAAAGTTGTTTACTTTTGGCTACACGCATGTGAATTGGTGACAAAACTTTTAGATTTGCTCCAAACCATTTTTACCCAGTGACTGTTGTTAAGCACTAATTGTATGTCTGTCTATTAAATTCAGCCAGATTGGGTTTATGCCTATATGATTGATGAAATGGGCATGTCATTAATCATTTACTTCTATTAATCAGTTCTATAACCATCTCTCTCAACTGACAGTCAATTATTCCAAAATGCGTCTACGCTCCATCACATCCTCAAAACATTTTGAAACTGATTTTTTTATTGATCAGTTTTTTCCTCAAAGTATTTTTTTCATTGAAGTAAATTTAATTAATTATGGCATTTTTAAGATCACAGAAGTTTTTTCGATTTTTGTCGGTGGGAAAGAACATTATAAACTTTCGGGAATATGATGCAGGACAGCAGATTATTCAGCCATCGTCATGTATTTGCTCATCACAGTAAGTCCTTAATTTACTTACAAATTGCATCATACAAAAATTTTAAATCATTAATGTTTGTGTAAAATAAATATTGGCAGTAAGTGATTTATTGCCAAGCATGATCATGTCACTCATTCTTGCTGCTTAATGATGTTAATTTCATTTAAATGTAGCTATTTAATTAAAGTTATTTTTCTAACCTTAAACATTTTTATAAACTTCTAGAAATTTTGCGACAGCTAGTGCTATAAAGTCAACCCAGAACTTGGAAAGTCAGTTAAAAAGACTCGATCAAGATGTTAAAAGATCAGGACGAATTTCTAGGCGAGATTTGGAAGAGATTCTTGAGGAAATCCGTTCAAATAAGTCACCAACAAGTTCTCAGTCATTATTGGTGATTCGATGCTGTGGAAACTTGGTTCCAGAAGAAAAGCCTGAAGTTCGCACACAGATTGTCAAGGAAATATGGACAACGTAAGGATAATCTTTAAAAGTTTATGTTAATTTTATTAACTATGTCTGTTGCTTTTAGACTGTCCAAATTGAATGTTCCAATGGATATTTCTCACTATAATGCATTATTAAGAGTCTACTTAGAGAACGAATATGACTTCTCACCTACTGAATTCCTTGGTGAGCTTCGTTCGAAAGGTGTTGAGCCAAACCGGTAAGTTTAAATCTTGAGATTAATTTTAATCGAATGGATTTAATTTTAATTTGCTTGCATTTCTAGTGTCACTTACCAGAGATTAATATCGAGATATTGTCAACAAGGAGACATTGACGGTGCAACACAGATCCTTGAATTTATGCGCGAAAAGCAACTTCCAGTAAATGAAAATGTATTTAATGCTTTAATTATGGGACATTCTAATGCTGATGACATTGAAAGTGCTGCTGGAATTATCGGTGTTATGTCACAAGCTGGATTAGAACCAAGTGCTGATACTTATACTACATTATTATGCGGATTTGCTCGTAAAGGAGATATTGATTCCATTAATAAATACATTGAAAGCTGTGAAGCAAAGGAAATTCATCTTCTCGATAAGGACTTCCTTGAAATTGTTCATGCACTAGCAATTAATGGACATGAAGATAAAATTGACAGTATTTTGCCAAGATTAAAGAAATCAATCGGATATAATCAAGATGCTGTAAACATAATTTTGAGATTAGTCAATAAAGGTAAAGTCAATACAGCAGTAACAATTCTTAAGACAATGCCTCGATCAACTAGAATGGATGGCGAATTAGCAGATACTGGAAGTTTCCTGATTAAACAATTAGTGAAAGCTGATCAACCAATCGAACAAATTTTAGCCGTCTGTAATGAAATGGAATCAGCTAGTATGCATGCAAAGCCAATTTTAATTGCTCTCGAAGAAGCTTTAAAGCAAGAAAAAGTCCAAGTCGGAAAGAATCTTCTCATTGAAATGAAAAATAAAGGAACTGAAGTTCGTCAGCATTATTTCTGGCCATTAATTGCAGCAGCAAAAAATCAAAACGAAGCATTCGAAGTTGTCAATTTCATGGTCAATGAATTTACTCAAGAATTAACTGGACAGACTATTCGTGATTATATTATTCCAAAATTAACAAGTCAAGATTACGATAAGATGGTATTAACGTTAAGAAATATTGGAATTTCTGCTGCGACTGCCTGTTCTAGTGCTGCTTATGCTGCAATTAAGAAGGATGACCTAGCTAGTGCTGCTAAAATTATGAATACTTATGATGCATACTTTTCACCTGGATTATTCAGAAAACCTTTACTTTTTGCTCTCACTTCTAAACGTGATTATGAAAACTACGTTAAATGCATTCGATCAATTCATGATGGAGTTCCTAGACTTCAGAATATTAATGTTAATCAAATTAAGGAAGCTGAAGAGGACAATATTGAAGGTAACGGAAATTTAACATTCAAATTTAAACAATTTTTTTTTCGAACATAATTCGAAAGCTAATTTTCAAAATTTAAAAATCCGTTAAAAATGAATTGCATTTGTCAGTAAAACAAAGTTTAATTTCCATTTTGTTCCATAAATTATAGGCGAAGCAATTGTTGAAGAAGAATCAGCAGACTCCAGAGTTGATAAATTACAAGGTGATATTGTCGGTTCCTTTGTTGTTGATGCTGTATTGAATATAAGAAACAATAAAGTTGAAGCCATTCAGAAAATCCTTGAAGGACTTGCCGAACAAGGATTATCAATGAGTAGCAGTAAAGCAGAAATTGTTCAAAATCGCATTGGTGAACAAATGACAAACGAATTATCTGCATTATTGGCAAAATTAACTTCTGGTGAATTAGAGCCAATTCCATTAGAAAAACGTCAAAACAAATTTTCGAACGCAAATTTGAAGCCAGAAGCACTCGAAAGAATTATTAATCGTTTGGACGAGAAGGGAGAAAATACAAAAGGAATGAAAAAGCAGCTTTTAATTCAGTCAATTAGATCGAGAGATTTGGAAAAGACAGAAAAACTTATTGAGAAATTTAAGCAAGAAGGATATACATTGAGTAATGGCGTTTATGCTCTGTTGTTAGAGCTTTATGCTTCAAATAATAAAGCCGATGAAGCCTTCAAAATTTTCAATCAAATTAAGGCTGAAGATAAAGATTTCGAATTGGACGACGTAAAAACCATAAAATTGATGCAGGCACTCGTTAATAATGAGAAAATTGATGAAGCTATCAAGTTTTTAGAGGCTAATAAACGAGCAGAGATTCCCGATGCTAATGGATTCCAATATAACATTACATGCTGGAGATTACTCAACACACTTGCTGAAAAAGGAGATACAGTTCGATTAAATGATCTGTTTAATGCTTTGATATCCAATAATTATGCAACAGCGAACAACATTTTGTTGGGACCTCTAATTAAAGGTAAGTCCACTAAATTCCATTTACGGTTAACAAATAATTAAAATATAACTGTCAAAAATTATTTGAAAAATAACTGTCAAAAAATGTTTAACTATATAGTACCCGTTATTTTATTATTCTCTGACTGACACTTGCCTTGTCTTTTAATTGCAGTTCATATCGTTAAAAATGAAATTAAGGAAGCAGTCGAGAAGTTTGAAGAAATCTGCCAGAAGCATCGTGCAACACCTTGGAAAAATGAGTTGGCATGTAAATTAATTCAAGCTGAAGATGCTCTTAGTCTTCAGAAAATAACAGATTTAAGCACAGAAATTCACGGTGAAGTTAATAGCTTGTATGATCTTGTTTTCTCGTTCATTGAATGTGGACGAATTCGTCAAGCACGAAAGATTCTCGAAACGCCAGGCTTAAGAACACGCACATACAACCGATTTGGAACTGTTTGTGAACGATATGCAGAGGAAGGAAAGCCTGTGATTTTGGAAGGTCTTGTTGAGGCTACAAAGGATTTGAACCATATTGACAGATCTGAAATATATTACAACTTGTTGCAGACATACATTAAAGATAAATCTGTTGATAAGAGCTTGGAATTGTGGACTAAGATGCAGGAAGAAGACATTACAGCCTCAGATGCATTAATGACTAAACTAGCTGATTTCCTAAAGTCTGAAAACGCCGAAGTTCCATTTGTTGTTCCACAAACTGAAAATGTAAAGTTTAAAAATTATATTTTTAACGACTTTATGAGTTTCAAAATTTAACGATTTTTAAAAATTTGAATATTTTTTTTCAAAAAGAATTTGAATCTCAAAAATACGTTAAAATTTCAAATTCATATTTTAATACTTTATTTCCTTGATCTTAGGCTCAGCCAAAGAAAAAGGCAGAACAATCTAAACAAAAGACAGAACAGCCACAGAAACCCAAAGCTGAGCAACCAAAAGTAAGAACTGAACAGTCAAAACCCAAAGTTTCTCCAAAACCAGCCTTAAGTGAGCCAGTTGCACAATTTAAGAATGACGTTAAGGCACGCAATGATGCAGGAATCGAGGCATTTATTTCGAATACCGATAATTTAAGTTCATTTGGATCAATGACAACGTTAGAAAAGTCCAAAGTTATCGAAGCATTAGCCAAGAATGGAAGACTTAATGACGCAAATAAATTAGTATTTGAAATGCTTAACGAAAAAATCTATCCACGATTAAATATCTTTAGATTCTACTTAAATAAATTGGCCACAAGCGGAGATACAGAGACAATGGAACAAATTGGAAACTTGATTGATTCAGAATTAAAGAAGGAATTGTCATTTGATAATCGTTATTGTCACAGTTTTGTCACACAAGGAAAGGTCGGTGACTATCTTAAACGTCTCGAAAACAATATTGAAAATGCAAAGACACCGGAAGACATCCAAAAAGCAGGCGAAATTTTCCCAAGAGGTTAGTTTTAATCTGACTGATTTGATTTAAATCAGAGGATTAAAATTTCAAATTTATGAATAAATCTAATCTTTGATTCCAATATGTAGGAGGAGCCATCGGATTACTAGAAGCCTCACCAGAAATAGCACCACAGTATGAAGCAATGGCCCGAAAGTATGCAGAACAAAATATTCTCGGTCCAATTAATGTTTTATGGATTCATCACTTTATTAATGGAAATAATGAGCAAGCAGATAAATTATGGAAGGAATATTTGTCATCAGCACCAAGATTAATGTTCCACAGAATCGTTCAAGTAGCTCGCGAGAAGTCTGACACAAAATTGGTTGAAGAACTCCTATCAAAGCTTAAAAATACAGATACAATTTCAGAAGGAGCCATTGGAAATGTTTATAGTGCATTAATAGACATCCAGACAGGCAAAGAAAATGTCCCACAAATTTTAGAATCACTGAAGAAGGCAATTGATGCAGTATGTCTTGAGAATATTAATACAACAGCACTTAATAGAGCGAAACAGGTTGTCGAGAAAGCTGGACAAAGTTTTCCATATAAAATACCCGAAAAGAAAATTAAAAATAAGGAGAGTAGCAGCAGTTCAAGTAGTTCCAGTTCTGACGATGATGTCAAACAAAAGTCGTAGATTAATAGACAATTATAATTAATTAAATTTTAGATGTAATTTATCCACAAAATAAAAAAAAATATAAAATAGAAACTTTTATGCCTGAAATCACACAAAAACAGAAATTGAATAAACTGTAAAGCTATACGAGTTATGATAAAATTTTGAATTTAATTGCCTATATAATGCGATCATCATCAATAATAATAATATTTATATATTATAACTTTTTCAGGATATAAGGTATTAGAAAGTGGGTTTAAGCAACAAACAGAACGAAGAAGATAAAAAAGAAAATAAGGACACCGAATATTTTAATCATAAGCCAACGATTCTTTGATACGGACTGGAAATATTTTAGAATTTGCGAGTGAGCTGCATCCACATTCATTTCAACATCTTGGATGTTGGAATCAATTCGTCCAACTGTTTCTTCTTGTTCCTTAACCATGTGAGCTAATTGCTGGAAAATTCCACCAAGTTCAACGATCGTACTTTCTATATTTTGCATAGTTTCAGCTCGCTGCTGGACATATTGATCTGTATCGTCATATAAAAGCATTTGTTGATGCTGGAGCTGATTTTTGGGTATGAGTGGCTGCGATGCAGATACATCAATACTGACTTGATCATCTTGTTCACTAAACAATAAACTTCCAGTATGATTATCACGTTTTGGTGGAAGTGTTGTTGTGACGGGAGCTTGAGAGAATTGTTCTCGTCTGGATTTTTGCTGTTTTAAATTCTCCGTACGTACCTCGAGAACTTGCTGGAAATTCGAGCTCATATTTGCTAGACGTGTCTGTAAGGCCATCACCATATTTGAGGAATGTGAATGTAAATGCTTCCCACTAGTCTTTCCTTGATTCCTTGATATCTCTTGTAATTGTCCAATTTGTTGATTCAAAGAGTTCAGATCACCTTTTATGATGTATGTCAATTCCTGTATCTCAGCTGGTCGATCATCAAAGAGACTTTTTCGCTTTGCCACTGCAATCATGTCATACATTAAATTTAATTAAGAAACATCCAGAACAGAAATAATTACTTACATAAAGTCAATTTCTCTAGTTTCGTGTAGGTGCTAGCAATATTCCTTCCAATATTTTTAGCAATCAACATAAATTCCGAGTAGCTTTGCATCTGTTTGACCTTCTTTGGATCTTTCAGATTCACAACTCGATTAATGTTGCGACCTTGTAAACTACGAATTGTATTAGAAAATTCAACGGTTCTATCGCGTGCAGTCATGACGAAAATCTCTGGTTCTGGATCTGGCAAGCTATCTTCACTTAATAAGTTATTGCTGGATGACGAATTAAGGACAATTCCTTGCGAATTTTCAGCTTTATAGAAATTTTTAAATAATTTTGCTGTTAGACTTTCCTCGACGATTTTATCCTTGTACAGATTATCTTCGGGTATGATGACTTCCGTTATTAGATTCTCAGATTCTGAATTAAATCGTTTTCTCATTATAATGAACCATTTAGTTAAATTAATTAAGAAAAATCAAAATATCTCTATACAAAAAAAAATAAAGTTACACGAATTTACTATTTCGTCAGCATCAATCAATCATGGTTGGATATCCGTTTACTGCTTAATGACTAATTTGACTGAGCTTTAATCATTCATTTATAATTCTCAGATGAAACGTGATGACTCAAGTTGTATCATGAAGTATTTCTAATGGAACTAGATTGCTCTAGTTGCTGGCAGTTCCTTAATTTGACTGTAATTATCTGGTTCCAACAATCACCAACTCTGGAATTCGTCACGCTCATGTCCATCATGTATTATCAACAGAATCAATTTTCTTTGTTATCACACTATTATATCTGTACATTTTATCATTTGATTGAATCAAAACATGCCTTGATTAATTGCTAATTGAGCAGGACTCAAGAAGCTTCATGTCATTCAACTGGGACTGAATAATTTGCAATTTATTAAAAATTCGGTAGTTTATTCATTTTCGAAATTCTTCCAAACCGTCATTCAATATTCAAATTTTTCGAAAATTAAATGAATTTAAATAAAATTCAAATATTGATAAGTCAACGGTTAGCATTATTTTGCGAAAATAAACTTAATTAAAGAAATATAAATCAAACAGCACTTTACGATGACTAGGTATGGAGAGAATAAAACAGGTAACGATCTGTGGAATTACCCATTTGCGAAAAATTTATCGAAAGTTTTTGGAATTTTTCTTTTTGTGTTTTAAATATTAATTGAGGAAAAATGCGATATGATAAAGCTAGATGAAGCATTAAAGGCACCAATAAAACCAGAAGATTTAAAAGATATAATCGAAAGTGATAATATTGAGAAGAAATTTGTCTTGGCGATACAGTGAGTGTTTTTAATTGCGCAAAAGTTTACACAAAAAAGACCTTAATACTGGGGGTCCTCGATTTGAGTAGTTGTTTTGTTCCAAAAAATTTCTACTCAAATCGAATCTATTCAAATCGAGGCAAAGAATCCATACAAAATCACATGTTTTGTTCCAGAGTCCAAAAAATGTATCAAAACAATGAAAATTTTGATAATTTTTTCCACATTTTACCTATTTTCTTAATTTTACCTATGTGTTTTAGAAAACTTAATTTATTTCAACGCATATTCATATTGTTTTTAAACAGAAATTCACAAAAAATATGTTTTTGAAACAAAACAAAAATATGAGAACCTTGCAAATGTTATTTCACTGAACAATTTGTAGGGTTTTTGAATTTGAACTTTTTAAAACCGTTAATTTTATATCGATTTTTTAAATTTTTACTTTAATTTTGTAACTTTAGTTTTGATTTTTCGATCAATATGATAAGTTCACGCTTATTGCAGAAAAATTTATGTTTAAAAATATTTTCTGAAATGTTTTTATCAAAAATATTTGTTTTGTAAACAATTCAAATCGAAGAAAACAGGAAGAAATCTACTCAAATCGAATATTTTGGTGGGTAAAAAATTTTCTGTTCAAATCGAATCTACTCAAATAGAATCTACTCAAATCGAGGACCCCCAGTATGAGAAAATTTTCATTATTATCCCAAATAGAATCATATTTTCAACAGACAAAGCGGAATTTGGCTGGAACTTATTGAATTCGCTGGATGTTACATCGATTGTTGATGAAAACTTCTTATTGGATCTATTTATTAACAAGAATTCATCCACAGAAATTGTGAAATTTATCAACTTTATTGTACGAATCCTTAAATCACCAAACATGGCTATTCAAAAGCATCTTGAAACGTACTCACCCCAAAAGCCACAGGAAAATGGAACATTTAATATTGATAAAATTTTGGAGATTCTTGAATTGTTTGAACAGAAGCAAGTCACGATTCCAACGGAACGTCAACTTGATATCTGTCTTATTTTCATTAAGGAAATATCCAGGATTCAACTGCCAAGAGAAGCAAATGATATCAAGTTGTTTCAAGCTCACACTTTAAAGATTGCTGAATATTTCCGAAAAGTCTCGATCCAAAATGAAGATCGTCTACAATTGCTTAAATTCCTATACTCGGAATTGACTAAATCAGGTTCTGCAACTCCAACGCCTTTAATGGCACTCGGATTTTTAGTTTTTCCTGATTCCATGATTACACAAGCGATTGAATTCTTCTTCAAAACCCTTAAATGGAATGTTAGAAAGACTGAACAATCAATTATCACTTCGATCAAGACATTAATCTCATGGTTGAGGACATCTATGCCAGTTCCTTTAGATTTATGGATTGTCAAGACAATTTCAGTTTTAAGCAGTAACGGATTTAATGATCTTGTTGATGCAATTGCACGGGAAAATATTAAGGAAGCAACTCTTACTTTATTATTTCCCGTTTTTCAAACCAAAACATTTCCAGTGATTCAGGCAATCTTTGAGTATGCCAGAAACACAAAAGAGCTCTTGGACATCATCTTGCCAAGGACGTTGAATCTACTCAAAAATATGGAAGTAAATAAATCGGAAGCATATGATGCATTCGTCGAGTTAATTTGTGACACATTAGGAAATATTGACCACAACGATGAAAAATACAAAGAACTTGTAAGTCATTTCCTTATTCCTTCACAACAGGATTTATTTTTAATCCGACCCTAACAGACAAAGAGCACGATCTGAGCATGATTTTTAAAAATCATTTTTTTAATTTGATGACGCTAAATTAGCGTACTCTCCCATACAAATGGAGATTGCAGCAGGGTACCACAGAAATCACGCTCTCAAGAGTACGCTTTTTTACTTGCAAATTATTCATGTTCATCAAGAACATGTTCTGCTGATCATGCTTTAATTTTACTATTTAAAAAATTTTATGAGCTTGTAATTACTAAACTTTTTCCAATTTCCAGATTGACTTCTTAGCATCCAAGAATCGATCACCATCGAAAGTCAGCGCCAAGAAGCTGATTGGACCAACAAGTTTGAAATTTCTGAGCAATAATGCGAGAGTTGGACTTGAAAATTTGGGCAATACATGCTATTTGAATTCCGTTCTACAGGCATTGTTCATGACAAAGCAATTTTGTCGAGAGATTTTGACTACACAAAGATCTGATCGCACGTTGATTGCACTTCAGAAGCTTTTTGCCTTAATGCTATTCTCGCCAAGGCCTGAACAGAATCCCCAGTTTGTGGTCAATTTGATAAGGCCTGATGATTTTTTGCCTGGCATTCAGCATGACAGTAGTGAATTTCTTGGTTCGATTCTCGATCGTTTGCATGAATTAGAAAAGAAAATGATAAAAGAAGAAGGAGACTGGGACAATGATGAAAATTTTAAGAATGCATCACTGGTTAAAAAGGATACAGATGTTGAAGAAGTGCCAATGGATATAGAACTAGAATTAAATAATAAAGGTGATAAGATGGATGAACCAAAGGATAAAATTGTCGATAATACTTCCAATTTATGTCAAACATATATTCAAAAGATTTTTGGTGGCAAAATAAGCACACGATATTTGTGTTCAACATGTAATGGAAATAGCATGAACATCGATTCTTTTCGAGATCTACAGCTGTCGTTTCCCGAAAAACAGACAGAAAACGAAGCTTGCGAAGTGCAATACAATGTACAACAATTATTGGAATTTTATTTCTCGACCGAGGAACTAACATTAGTTGGAGATAATCAATATCACTGCGATAACTGCAAGATTTTATGCAACGGTAATCATTGCACATTTTTGTTAGACATAGACTTTCAAAAAACTTCAATTCAGTTCAGTTAACCTTTTTAATTTTTAAATCCTTAAAAAACCATTAAAGTTTGAATTTTAATAATCCGTTAAATTATTATTACAATTATTAGGGATGCGATGCACAGAGATTTTGGAACCACCGAGAAACTTAATTTTAACTTTGAAGCATTTCCGCTATGACTCTAGGCATCACATAAGGTCAAAACTTTTATACAAGGTCTTTCATGACGAAGTCATTTCAGTAAATGTGAAAGGAAATTACAGCACAAGAAATGTAGACTACAAACTTTATGCTGCAGTCATACATAGTGGAACATCACTGGATAGTGGACATTATTATACAATTGCACGCGAAAGTGAAAATAAATGGTTTAAATTTAACGATAGCTATGTCACAAAAAGTTCTCTAGATGAACTTAGAAGGTAATTGGATTTAAGAAAACATTCAGTACATCACAATTCATTTCAATTCGGTTCAAACCCGATAAAATTCAAATTTTTGAAACAGTTAATTTTTGAATCTAATTTAATCTTTAATTCCAATTTTTTCTTTTGTCCTTTCCAATTCAGTCTAATTTCACCAAACACCCCATACATTCTATTCTACCAGCGATTGTCAACAGCTTCGTCCACCGTAGTTCATCCTGAAAGTGCCAGTACATCGACAAGTTCAATGTTACCAAATCAGATTAATGACCAGAACTTTCCCGAATATCATGAATTGCCGAACTACTTGAAAGATCTTATTGACGAGGACAAGACAAAATTCGAGTCAGAAACGATGCTCGAGCAGAACAGTAAAACGACATACAGAGTTCCCGTACGAGACAATTTTGACGATAACAATGATCCTGGCAGTGGTTCATTCAGCATTAACGATAGCTTTGCTCATAATAGATTTATTTATTAAATGGAGATCATCATACTATACTGCACATTGGATATGCTTCACGTACTTATAGCTGACTATTTTCCTTACGAATGAATTAATTTTTTTAAAAAGAAAAAAAAAAGCTCTAAGTTAGACATTACATCTGTTTTTATTATTATTATTTTTATTTTATTTTCCAAAATATTTGTTACAATGGATAATATACATATACATATGGAAAGGAAGAAGTTGAAAAAAAAGTGGAAATGAAATAGAAAAATTTGCGCATGACTCGAATTCGAGTTTCATTCAATAATGGAAATGAAATTTTTCATTCATACCCAATTTCCCCTACATTTTCATTCTCTTACAGAGCCAACATTTGCAATGAACATTTTACTTTAGTGTCTATTGTGGAAGGTTCGCTCGCTCTCTCAATATTGTACAATTCTTTTTCCTCCTACTGATAACACAAATTGAATGTTTTTTTTAAGTCACTCCGTCGCGTAATAGTAAAGTCAACTTCTTACATAAAGTGGAATTAGTGGTTCATTTATTGGATTAAGGCTTAAAGGAAAAGGAGGGAAGTGGAAAATATTTTAAATTCACATACAATTTTTTTCCGTTTTCTCACATTCGACATAAGTACGTCCTTTTTACACTGTGTGTGATAAAAATAGATCCTATGCGAAAGTATATTGATTTTTCCATCGAGAAGAAGCGTTTGGTGAAAAAATTATGCTTTACAAAAACATATGGAAGTAGATTGAATATGAATCTAGTGATTCTAATTCTTGCCTTCCTCGCACTATTCAGTGACTATGTTGCTGGCGAATATTCAGGTAAATCCATAAGAATCTTGTTGTGTCGAAAATATAAAAATGTTAAAACGCAAAATCATTTTTGGATCTTAACATGAATGTTTAGGGAGGCGAAGGCATCAGTATAATTTACAAAATGTGAATGATAATGACAAAGAGTACTTAATTGAGCAACTTTCGAATTATATTGAAGAACAAGCACGTCGTAAATTTCAACAACAGATGCAGTTCCAACAGCATCATCAAAAGCAATATGCATCTGTTCCACAACAGATTAATGGACCTGGATTTTCTTTCCAACTTCCACAATACACTAATGGAGGATTTGGAAGTGTGAATGATGATTTTGACTTTGCAGTCACTCCATTTGATCCACGTTATTATGAGCCATCTACACAAAACTTTGAGGATTTTGACGAGCAGAATGTTGACGACGATTTGACTCTTGACACAGAAATAGGTGTTAAGACAGCTAGTGTTGAAGTTCCAATGAATGAAAATAAAAATAAAATTTTAATTCCATCACCAATGCATGTAAATGATGCACCATCACCAACTGATACACAATCACAACGCATATTACATCGTGCTCAACAAAAACAATTACAGCAACAACAGCAACAGCTTCTTAATAAGCAAACAGATGTGTTACAAAAGCCATTGCAAGTAGAATTTGATAATACAACAAGTTTGTATATAGTGGCTTTGATTGCGGGTCTATCATGTGCTTTCTCAACAGGCGTAAGCATCCATCAATATCATAAAACACACTTTTTTCCACTTACATTGACGTCATATATTTTTATTAATTTTTTCTTTGTAATCTGTAGCTGATTGCACTGGCTCTTATGTACTATACGCTGAAGAAAAAAGTCAAAACAGGTACGCTATCTGCTATTTTCAAATCATGCTTTCCTGTCACGTGTTCAACATCCATTTTCCTTGATTTTGTCGTTTAGATGTTCTTAATTATTTAAGAAGAATGTTTTTATATCCATTTATCATATGCCATTACTCTCACGTGTGTGGTTTGGTTGGATTTATTAAATTAATCATAACTTCAAGTATAGATAAGTTTAACGGAAATTTTAAGCTCCAAAATTTTTGTGAAGTACTAGAATATGAAGCTTGAATTCTAGAAACCCGTTAAAAATTATTTGAATATTTCTAGTACTTCATTTAACCGATAAAATTTCATTCTAATTCATTTTGATCAACAATCTCAACCTTGAACTTTTACGATAGAACTTGCATTAATAATTCATTCATACGAAAAAATTAATAACAACAGTTTCCTTCCTTCTATTACTGCGACTAATATATCATCATAACATCTCCTATTTCTCCCTCCTGATTGATTATTTCATTTTTCTTTTTATTCATCATATGTTCACTTATTTATCAACATGCAGCTGACCCATGCGACTATGCATGTGATTATGCTATTGTTGGGCCTCGAAATATTAAAAGTATGGATCCGCAACTCACATTAGGTGATAAAAAACTTGCTCATTCAGCACAAATGTTTCACTATCAGCACCAAAAGAATCAAATAATTGCGATGGAAAATAACCGAACTGAAATGGGCCATAATGACGATGAAAATGATTCGGATGAAAATGAAAATGACTTTACTGTTTATGGTAATGTGAATTAATATAAAAATAGAGTTTTACTGTCAGTAAACTGTCATCTGTTGTCTTTGAAATCAGGAAGAGTGTGACAAGCTGGTAAAAGTATCTGGTGGTTAATTACTAGCAAGTTGTCATACCCGTCTGAGCTTGGAGCTTAAACAGGCACAGATCGATACCAAATTGCCTTTGATATCTTCCTGATTACTCATTTTGGATTTAAATCTATGGATTGGTCTTAATCTTAACTTCAATCTATGGATTTAACATTGATATTTAAACCAAGATTAAATTTTAAGTTTAATCCCAAGATTAATCCAATAATTAAAATTTAAAAATCAACTTAATCTCCACAGAGTGTCCAGGTCTAGCTGAATGGTCCGATTCAGGAATAGAAGTTAAGAATCCGCTGTTTTCCGAAGAAACTCCAGCAACAAAAACTGAAAAGGCACAGCCTACAAACAAGACCACAACTAAGAAGTAAAATTACTAAACTTAACAATTTACGATACCAGATATGAACGAACATTAAATTGAAACAAATCTATATTAAGGCACAGCATGCAAGTCCTTTTTTACAAAAAAAAATATCTATTTTTCAATTTCCACTTCAAAAGACTTAACAAAAATGCAAGACAAAAAAAAAACTTAATTATAACATTTCATAATCATTAACGGATCTTTTGCAGTCAAATTATTAAGAAAAAAAAACAAGGAAAAGAAAACTTTTGTAATTTAGCGAACGAGATTATAAATCTCTAGGACATAGGAAATGGAGAGTATAACTTAACATTTTGAGACAACAAATAATAAAATAAAATAATAAATAAATGTGTAACAAAAAATATTAGAGAGAAAATCTGATTAATTAATATTAGGAATACGTGTGTGTCCACTAAACCTAATGCTTCTAAGATCATAATCATTCATTTAAATAATAATGTGGAGAACCAGCAACAACTTACAACGCTCTTAACCAAGGAAAACAAACTGATTTAATTATGCGCGGGTGAAAATGCAAAAAAAAATAAAAAACGTGAATTAAGGCTTTAAATGAAAATATAAAGATATAAAGAATAATAATGACTTTATGTTATTTTAGATTAAATTACTATATATTTTATGATGCCGGAGAGACGATCCAGAACTAATTAAGAATGTCATATGATGAATAATGATTATGTTTATATATTTAAAGAGAAATAATAACTTCTATAATAAAAATGATGAATAAATGTATACTAATCTATTTTAAAAACCTCCAAAAAATCGCTTTATCGATGCACTTGTCTATTAATCACGTGATTTAACATTTTTTGTCCGTTACAGATTTAATTTGAACTCAGTCTCGTTTTAATTTCTAAAATTCAAATATTTTTTGACTGTTGAAAATTCAAAAATATTATTGCCGTTAAATATTTCAACTATCGATTTCGTTTTTCCCAATTCATGGAAGCAACTTGAACATTCCATGAATCATCAATTTATTTAATTGTGAAAAAGAGATACATTTTCACGCTGAGACAAATAATTTACATAGTTTTGTGTTATTTAAGAAACTTCAAATAATTGAATCTATTTAATTCTTAAGGGCTTCACGTTGTTCGAAATCCTTCATTCTCTTTTCAATAACAGGTCTGAAATGTCTAATCAAGCCTTGAACAGGCCATGCTGCACCATCTCCCAATGCACAGATCGAGTGACCTTCAATTTGTTTAGATACCTCCCATAACATATCAATTTCTTCTGGGCGTGCATTTCCGCTCACAAAACGAGTCATAATTTTATTCATCCACGAAACACCTTCACGGCAAGGTGTACATTGTCCACAACTTTCGTGTTTATAGAAGGAAATTAATCTGGCAATAGCTTTAATTACGTCAGTTGATTTGTCCATAACGATAATTGCAGCAGTTCCAAGTGATGTTTGACAAGCAACAAGTCCATCAAAATCCATTAATGCTTCAGCACAAACATCTTTTGGAATAATTGGGGTAGAACTTCCACCGGGAATGATTCCGAGCAAATTATCCCATCCACCACGAACACCACCGCAATGACGTTCAATCAATTCTTTTAATGGAATTGACATTTCTTCTTCTACTGTACATGGATTATTGACATGTCCAGAGATGTTGAATAATTTTGTTCCTGAATTACGAGTTCTTCCGAAACCAGCAAACCAAATTCCACCACGACGACAAATTGTTGGAGCTACAGCAACAGTTTCAACATTTGATACAGTCGTTGGACATCCAAAAACACCTACATCAGCTGGGAATGGAGGCTTCAAACGTGGCTTTCCTTGCTTACCTTCCAATGACTCAATCAATGCTGTTTCTTCTCCACAAATATAAGCTCCAGCTCCACGATGCATAAAGACATCAAAATCATAGCCTGAATTACATGCATTCTTTCCAATAAGACCAGCTTGATAAGCTTCAGCAATTGCAATCTGCATGTTTGATGCTTCATTGTAGAATTCACCACGAATATAAATATATGCAGCTCTTGCTCCCATAGCCTTTCCAGCAATTAAGCATCCTTCGATCTGTTAATGGATTAATCGTATGATTAAAAATAAATCCATAGATTTAAATTTTCGAACAAAAATAGTTCAAAAATGTTTGTATCGTATTTTTATACTGCATATGCAGTATAGATATTTGTATTTCATAACATAATGCAACTCTTACCAGTTTGTGAGGATCGTGTCTCATAATTTCTCTGTCCTTGCAAGTTCCTGGTTCTCCTTCATCAGCATTAACGACAAGATATTTTGGTCTACCGTCTGATGGTTTATTCATGAAGGACCATTTCATTCCTGTGGGAAATCCAGCACCACCACGTCCACGCAATCCAGAAGCCTTCATTTCATTCAAAATCCAATCAACACCTTTATCGAGGATTTCTTTTGTTTTGTACCAATCCCCACGCTTTAATGCACCCTTTAATCTCCAATCATGACGCCCATACAAGTTTGTAAAGATCCTGTCCTGATCTGACAATCCACCAAACTTTGTTTTTGTTTGAGGAGGTGGTGCTGAAACTTGTGCATGTCGTACCTGAATATTTTGGTATTTATGTGACACTGGCACTGCAAGAATTGCTGCAAAAATCGATATAAAGTAGTCATTATACGATCATTTGACATGAATTAGGATGAAAAGTCGCAATTCAAGATTATTAAAAATCTGAACTTCAATGTTATGTAAAAAATTCAAGAAAATTCTATTTTCTCGAAAATGACGCCTTAAACTAATTGTTATGCTGCCTAATTTGGTACAACAAAAACCTTTTAAAATACACTTTTAGGATATTGTATTGTAACTTACCAAGCTGTTGTTTTGGAATAGAAGAAAGCCGTTTTATTGCTAGTGCCATTTCTATAAAAATTTCTTCTTTTTCTTCTGTCTAATTTGTCGAATCTCTTTTTCTTCAAAACATAAACTAAATGATAAATGCTCAAGTATGCTCACTTTGTCTAATCGTATGCAGTATATTATGTATTTTTAAAATATTATTTTCGAAAATTTAAGCGTAAAATCTTTAAGATTCACTGAAACCACAATGATTCAGATTCGGAAAAAATGTTCAAAAATTCCTTGTGCACAATATTTTTCGGACACATTAGAAAATTGAAAGTTTTTGTTAATTTCTCTTGATTTGATTCTTTTAGCATCTTCTACATAATGTTTTCGTTCATTGCTCAAAAAAATCAGTCCTTAATATAAAGAATAAACATGATTTTTTACCAAAACTTTGTAAAACTTTATCAAAAAATATTGTGAATGATCAAATTTTGAATGAAAATTGATGTAAACTTTGATCGCAAATATCTCGAAAACGGCATGTCCCTAGTTGTATGGGAGATAGATTTAAGGCTTAATAAGCAGATTTCTTTTGAGTTGGTTGTTTAAATATGTAAAGCTAAGCTTGAATTAGCTAGCAACTGCTTCCAAGACATCCAAATAACAACTTAAAGTAGAAAAAATCATATTTTTTTTTTTTCACACACAAATTGTAAACAAATTTTGGGTGAGATTAAATTAATGATTTCTGGAGTTAGACATCAAGGATCATTTTCATAGGATATGCCTCAAGTTAAGATCTTAAATTTGGCATTTAAAAGACATAGTTTAATTAACATGAAAGTTTTATTGCATATTAAAAATCTATGGAACAGTGTAAAATACAACTAAAACCTGCAAAAATAAATGCGCTCTAGACGAATAGAACTAGTGACTTTTTAAAATAATTCGTAGTTCAATGTAAACATCGAAAATTCGAAAGAAAATCATAAGTTTTTAAAAATAACAACATGCTATCGCTAAACTCAAATATATTTAAACATATAGTGAATAGAACGTCATGTCTGTTCTATGCTTCAACAGCAGCAAAAAAGATAAAGACTAAAGAAAAGAGAGAGCCGTTAATCACCTGTAAAAATAATAAATTAAACCTTTATTTGAATGATACAAAGCAAATAGATCAAAATGAAATAGTATTAGCATCAAAAGGATGGCAACATTATAAAGCTAAGGGCGATTATTTTATCATACATCAAAAAAAGGATGCTTCAGATATCTTAAAAGATGCCCCAGAGTATAAATCATTAGGTTTAAATCCAGTTTTAGTGAAAAATTTGGATGAGAAACATGACATCACTAAAGCTACAAAGTTACAGCAAGAAGCGATAAAAGAAATCCTCGACAATCAACATGTATTGATTGCTGCTGAAACTGGATGTGGGAAGGTAATAAACTAGTAAATTATTGCTTACTGGATTTATGTTATAGATAAATCCAACAGATTTAAAAATTAATCCAAGGATTAATAATTATATCGTTCACAGACTCACGCATTTCTAGTTCCATTAATTGAGAGATTAATTAAGGAAAAGCAGCAACATGCTGAAAGAAAGTTTAACTCACCACTTGCAATAATCTTAACACCATCAAGAGAATTAGCAGAGCAAATTGCTCGAATGGCTGAAGATTTGTCGGATGGACTAGACTTGAATGTTAAAGTGCTTGTTGGTGGAAGTACAAAGAGGAAGATGATGGATCCATCATTTGAGGATGTAGATATATTAATAGGCAGCATAGGTGCAATAAGTAAATTAACAACAACTGGAATCTACAGAATTGATGATATAAAGTTTGTTGTATTAGACGAAAGTGACACACTTTTAGATGATAGCTTTCACGAGAAGATTACTTATTATGTTCGAAAGTTTCCATTTCATTTGAATACCCAACTTGTTCTCGTATCAGCCACAATGCCAACAAGCATAGATGACGTTTTCCAATCGATTATTAATACAGAAGGCTTAAAGAAAGTTGTTGGAGATGATTTACATAAAATACTTCCATATATCACTCAGCAATTCATTCGAATGAACAAGACTGGACGTCCTGAGCAATTATTACGAATAGCTAAATCGGAAGTGAACAACAAACGACCATTAATTGTTTTTTCCAACAAGACAGCAACTTGTGACTATATATCAATCTTTCTCAACAATAATGGAATCAATTGCATTAATGTAAATGGAGATATGCTACATAAAATTAGAACTGGTCGTTTAGATGCCTTCCAAAATGGAGAAGTTAATGTCTTATCAACGACCGATTGTCTTGGACGAGGAATTAACACAATGCGTGCTCGTCATATTGTAAATTTTGATTTTCCTCTTTACATCTCTGACTATATTCATCGTTGTGGACGAATTGGACGATTAGGTGGAATCAACAACAATTGTTTAGTGACCAATTTTATATCATCACTTTTGGAACTAGATTTGGTGAGGAAAATTGAACTTTCAGCACGTACTAATTTTGAATTACAGAATGTTGATGCGAATATCGGAAAAATCCTTCGGACAAGAATAGAAAAGGAAATAGAAAAGTACGAAAATAATATGATTAAGAGTCATGCACGATAAATTTGTATTGTGTGTGTTTGTAGTGTCCGGCAAAATAAAGCATTTTATTGAAATGATAAGTTTTTCATTTGCATATTGAATTTACGTGTTTTGTAAGCAGTGACTATTTTCAGTAAAATGTGGCTTAATTTCAGAGTTTTTGAACATATATACTGTCATTTGTAATTCAAAATTTATGAGCAAAAATCGATAAATCCATGAAAAAACTCATTTGAATTTCAATCAAAAAGTCATAAATTAATCATATGTTGATAGTTTAATGAGTCAATTTACAGCAATTCTAAAAATACGTAGTATTTCATCAATCATGGTATTGATTGATAATAAATAAGGCTGTAAGTGATCAAAAATTAAATATTTGTAAAGACATAATCGACAGTGAATCAAAATTATAAGGAGAAGCATAAAAAAAGTATCGAAAAAAAAAAGATTTTGACCCACGTTCATAATTGATAATGTATATCCTTCTTGGTTCTTTGCTCAAAAAAATTTTAGGATGTTTTATTTGTATTTGTTTTAAGCACTAGAATATTTATGCAAAGTTTCAATCCATTTGGATAAACCCTCGAAGAAAAAAGTGACAAAATTTATTTTGACTAGGGTCGCCCCTAGTCCAAAATTGAAAATATATTTCCTTCTTGGTTCTTTGCTCAAAAAATTTAAGATGTTTTATTTGTATTTGTTTTAAGCACTAGAATATTTATGCAAAGTTTCAATCCATTTGGATAAACCCTCGAAGAAAAAAGTGACAAAATTGATTTTGACTAGGGTCGCCCCTAGTCCAAAATTGAAAATATATTTCCTACTTGGTTCTTTGCTCAAAAAAATTTAAGATGTTTTATTTGTATTTGTTTTAAGCACTAGAATATTTATGCAAAGTTTTAATTCATTTGGATAAACCCTCGAAGAAAAAAGTGACAAAATTGATTTTGACTAGGGTCGCCCCTAGTCCAAAATTGAAAATGTGTTTCCTACTTGGTTCTTTGCTCAAAAAAATTTTAGGATGTTTTATTTGTATTTGTTTTAAGCACCAGAATATTTATGCAAAGTTTCAATCCATTTGGATAAACCCTCGAAGAAAAAAGTGACAAAATTTATTTTGACTAGGGTCGCCCCTAGTCCAAAATTAAAAATGTATTTCCTACTTGGTTCTTTGCTCAAAAAAATTTTAGGATGTTTTATTTGTATTTGTTTTAAGCATTAGAATATTTATGCAAAGTTTCAATCCATTTCGATAAACCCTCGAAGAAAAAAGTGACAAAATTGATTTTGACTAGGGTCGCCCCTAGTCCAAAATTAAAAATGTATTTCCTACTTGGTTCTTTGCTCAAAAAAATTTTAAGGATGTTTTATTTGTATTTTTTTTAAGCACTAAAATATTTATGCAAAGTTTTAATCCATTTGGATAAACCCTCGAAGAAAAAAGTGACAAAATTGATTTTGACTAGGGTCGCCCCTAGTTCAAAATTGATAATGTATATCCTTCTTGGTTCTTTGCTCGAAAAAAATTTTAGGATGTTTTATTTGTATTTGTTTTAAGCACCAGAATATTTATTCAAAATTTACTTCCATTTGAATAAACCCTCGAAGAAAAAAGTGACAAAATTGATTTTGACCAGGGTCGCGCCTAGTCCAAAATTGAAAATGTATTTCCTTCTTGGTTCTTTGCTCAAAAAAAATTTTAGGATGTTTTATTTGTATTTGTTTTAAGCACTAGAATATTTATGCAAAGTTTCAATCCATTTGGATAAACCCTCGAAGAAAAAAGTGACAAAATTGATTTTGACCAGGGTCGCGCCTAGTCCAAAATTGAAAATGTATTTCCTTCTTGGTTCTTTGCTCAAAAAAAATTTTAGGATGTTTTATTTGTATTTGTTTTAAGCACTAGAATATTTATGCATAGTTTCAATCCATTTGGATAAACCCTCGAAGAAAAAAGTGACAAATTTGATTTTGACTAGGGTCGCCCCTAGTTCAAAATTGATAATGTATATCCTTCTTGGTTCTTTGCTCAAAAAAATTTTAGGATGTTTTATTTGTATTTGTTTTAAGCACCAGAATATTTATTCAAAATTTACTTCCATTTGAATAAACCCTCGAAGAAAAAAGTGACAAAATTGATTTTGACCAGGGTCGCGCCTAGTCCAAAATTGAAAATGTATTTCCTACTTGGTTCTTTGCTCAAAAAAATTTTAGGATGTTTTATTTGTATCTGTTTTAAGCACTAGAATATTTATGCAAAGTTTCAATCCATTTGGATAAACCCTCGAAGAAAAAAAGTGACAAAATTGATTTTGACTAGGGTCGCCCCTAGTCCAAAATTAAAAATGTATTTCCTTCTTGGTTCTTTGCTCAAAAAAATTGTAGGATGTTTTATTTGTATTTGTTTTAAGCACTAGAATATTTATGCATAGTTTCAATCCATTTGGATAAACCCTCGAAGAAAAAAGTGACAAAATTGATTTTGACTAGGGTCGCCCCTAGTCCAAAATTGAAAATGTATTTCCTTCTTGGTTCTTTGCTCAAAAAATTTTTAGAATATTTTATTTGTATTTGTTTTAAGCACTTAAATATTTATGCATAGTTTCAATCCATTTGGATAAACCCTCGAAGAAAAAAGTGACAAAATTGATTTTGACTAGGGTCGCCCCTAGTCCAAAATTGAAAATGTATTTCCTTCTTGGTTCTTTGCTCAAAAAAATTGTAGGATGTTTTATTTGTATTTGTTTTAAGCACTAGAATATTTATGCATAGTTTCAATCCATTTGGATAAACCCTCGAAGAAAAAAGTGACAAAATTGATTTTGACTAGGGTTGCCCCTAGTCCAAAATTGAAAATGTATTTCCTTCTTGGTTCTTTGCTCAAAAAATTTTAAGATGTTTTATTTGTATTTGTTTTAAGCACTTGAATATTTATGCAAAGTTTCAATCCATTTGGATAAACATTCGAAAAAAAAGAAATGAAAAACTAGATTTTGACTAGGGTCGCCCCTAGTGCAAAATTGAAAATGTATTTCCTACTTGGTTCTTTGCTCAAAAAATTTTAGGATGTTTTATTTGTATTTGTTTTAAGCACCAGAATATTTATTCAAAATTTACTTCCATTTGAATAAACCCTCGAAGAAAAAAGTGACAAAATTGATTTTGACTAGGGTCGCCCCTAGTCCAAAATTGAAAATGTATTTCCTTCTTGGTTCTTTGCTCAAAAAAATTGTAGGATGTTTTATTTGTATTTGTTTTAAGCACTAGAATATTTATGCATAGTTTCAATCCATTTGGATAAACCCTCGAAGAAAAAAGTGACAAAATTGATTTTGACTAGGGTTGCCCCTAGTCCAAAATTGAAAATGTATTTCCTTCTTGGTTCTTTGCTCAAAAAATTTTAGGATGTTTTATTTGTATTTGTTTTAAGCACCAGAATATTTATTCAAAATTTACTTCCATTTGAATAAACCCTCGAAGAAAAAAGTGACAAAATTGATTTTGACTAGGGTCGCCCCTAGTCCAAAATTGAAAATGTATTTCCTTCTTGGTTCTTTGCTCAAAAAAATTGTAGGATGTTTTATTTGTATTTGTTTTAAGCACTAGAATATTTATGCATAGTTTCAATCCATTTGGATAAACCCTCGAAGAAAAAAGTGACAAAATTGATTTTGACTAGGGTTGCCCCTAGTCCAAAATTGAAAATATATTTCCTACTTGGTTCTTTGCTCAAAAAATTTTAAGATGCTTTATTTGTATTTGCTTTAAGCACTTGAATATTTATGCGAAGTTTCAATCCATTTGGATAAACCCTCGAAGAAAAAAGTGAGAAAAATGATTTTGACTAGGGTCGCCCCTAGTCCAAAATTGAAAATATATTTCCTACTTGGTTCTTTGCTCAAAAAAAGTTTAGGATGTTTTATTTGTATTTGTTTTAAGCACTAGAATATTTATGCGAAGTTTCAATCCATTTGGATAAACCCTCGAAGAAAAAAGTGAGAAAAATGATTTTGACTAGGGTCGCCCCTAGTCCAAAATTGAAAATATATTTCCTACTTGGTTCTTTGCTCAAAAAAAGTTTAGGATGTTTTATTTGTATTTGTTTTAAGCACTAAAATATTTATACAAAGTTTCAATCCATTTGGATAAACCCTCGAAGAAAAAAGTGACAAAATTGATTTTGACTAGGGTCGCCCCTAGTCCAAAATTGAAAATATATTTCCTACTTGGTTCTTTGCTCAAAAAAAGTTTAGGATGTTTTATTTGTATTTGTTTTAAGCAATAAAATATTTATGCAAAGTTTCAATCCATTTGGATAAACCCTCGAAGAAAAAAGTGACAAAATTGATTTTGACTAGGGTCGCCCCTAGTCCAAAATTGAAAATGTATTTCCTACTTGGTTCTTTGCTCAAAAAAAGTTTAGGATGTTTTATTTGTATTTGTTTTAAGCACTTGAATATTTATGCAAAGTTTCAATCCATTTGGATAAACCCTCGAAGAAAAAAGTGACAAAATTGATTTTGACTAGGGTCGCCCCTAGTCCAAAATTGAAAATGTATTTCCTACTTGGTTCTTTGCTCAAAAAATTTTAAAATGTTTTATTTGTATTTGTTTTAAGCACTAGAATATTTATGCAAAGTTTCAATCCATTTGGATAAACCCTCGAAGAAAAAAGTGACAAAATTGATTTTGACTAGGGTCGCCCCTAGTCCAAAATTGAAAATGTATTTTCTACTTGGTTCTTTGCTCAAAAAATTTTAAGATGTTTTATTTGTATTTGTTTTAAGCACTAGAATATTTATGCAAACTTTCAATTCATTTGAATAAACCCTCGAAGAAAAAAGTGACAAAATTGATTTTGACTAGGGTCGCCCCTAGTCCAAAATTGAAAATGTATTTTCTACTTGGTTCTTTGCTCAAAAAGTTTTAAGATGTTTTATTTGTATTTGTTTTAAGCACTAGAATATTTATGCAAACTTTCAATTCATTTGAATAAACCCTCGAAGAAAAAAGTGACAAAATTGATTTTGACTAGGGTCGCCCCTAGTCCAAAATTGAAAATGTATTTTCTACTTGGTTCTTTGCTCAAAAAAAGTTTAGGATGTTTTATTTGTATTTGTTTTAAGCACTAGAATATTTATGCAAAGTTTCAATCCATTTGGATAAACCCTTAAAGAAAAAAGTAACAAAATTGATTTTGACTAGGCTCGCCCCTAGTCCAAAATTGAAAATGTATTTTCTACTTGGTTCTTTGCTCAAAAAGTTTTAAGATGTTTTATTTGTATTTGTTTTAAGCACTAGAATATTTATGCAAACTTTCAATTCATTTGAATAAACCCTCGAAGAAAAAAGTGACAAAATTGATTTTGACTAGGGTCGCCCCTAGTCCAAAATTGAAAATGTATTTTCTACTTGGTTCTTTGCTCAAAAAGTTTTAAGATGTTTTATTTGTATTTGTTTTAAGCACTAGAATATTTATGCAAACTTTCAATTCATTTGAATAAACCCTCGAAGAAAAAAGTGACAAAATTGATTTTGACTAGGGTCGCCCCTAGTCCAAAATTGAAAATGTATTTTCTACTTGGTTCTTTGCTCAAAAAAAGTTTAGGATGTTTTATTTGTATTTGTTTTAAGCACTAGAATATTTATGCAAAGTTTCAATCCATTTGGATAAACCCTTAAAGAAAAAAGTAACAAAATTGATTTTGACTAGGCTCGCCCCTAGTCCAAAATTGAAAATGTATTTTCTACTTGGTTCTTTGCTCAAAAAGTTTTAAGATGTTTTATTTGTATTTGTTTTAAGCACTAGAATATTTATGCAAACTTTCAATTCATTTGAATAAACCCTCGAAGAAAAAAGTGACAAAATTGATTTTGACTAGGGTCGCCCCTAGTCCAAAATTGAAAATGTATTTCCTACTTGGTTCTTTGCTCAAAAAAAGTTTAGGATGTTTTATTTGTATTTGTTTTAAGCACTAGAATATTTATGCAAAGTTTCAATCCATTTGGATAAACCATCGAAGATGGTTGTTTGCTTGTTTGCTTGCTTACAGAAAGCATATTTTTTGATTTTCTCAGCAATGCCGCAACGAATTTGAAATCTGTTTTTTGCAAAAGATGTGAAATTCAAGGCACAAACTTTTTATGCTTGAACATTTAAAGCTATCTTGCTCCATATCCTCACAAAATTCAAAAAACTGATTTTTCAATCTGAACAAATCCAATAGATTCACACATGAAAACGGTGTGAATATAATAATTAAGATCTTAAGTAATAAAAGTGAACTAATCGTAACGACAAAAGGCAGTTTAAAGGTTTGGTATGTAATAATAGGCATGAAGTTGCGTCTCTAGTCATTAATTTCTCTTCTTCTCTTCCTATTTTTCTTATTTTTAGGTATGTATGTAACATATATATCTTGACTTACGTTTGTTAAAAGAAGAAATTTCTTTTTTTACGTTGGATAGTAAAAAAGCACACAAGCAACCAAAATGTCTGTGATAACATTAAAATGTTTTAGTGCAAAATCGAATTCATAAACGCAAAGTCGTTTCTGTAAGAGAGAAAATAGAAATTTTTCTATTTGACAAAAAAAAAATTAATTATTTGAAGTTAAAAGATAATGCGCGAGAGAAAAATGTTGCCAGCATATCAAAGATTAAAAACGGATGAGAATCTACAGGATGGCAGCAAAAAAGCAGCATTTACTATAGCCTTTGGGAACTTTTCATTGATGACTGTATCTTTACCACTATTTTCATTCATCTTTTGTGTCGCATACTCAATAATCTTTTTCTTCGAAGAGTCTGTATCAACACACTGTCATGTGTGGAATTATTTGCCATCTATAAGTGCAGCAATAGGTGCTTTTCAGCCTCAAGCGTTTGTATGGCAAACGGCAATAGTTTTACATTTTATTCCACGATTAACAGTTACATGGATGTACTTTAATTTTTATACACAACAAATTAAGAGGAATAGACAGAATGTTGCAAACGTAGCAATCTTCCTCAATCTAATTGAGAACATTTGTCTTCTCGGATTGTCGCTGTATAATTCGACAACTTATTATGGTAAACACATACTCAATTAATTAAATGCCTGTATATCTATTAATAGAAACATGCTCAATGTCATCTTCTTCTCTTGAATATTTGTAGATTACCATAAAGTATTTTTCTGTACATTCATTGTAACATCGGAACTGTACATGATGTTAAGCTATTATCTCAATAAATCAGCACGACGAAATCCCAATTTAGATCAACGAGAGATGAAGTCACTGAGACTTAAGAGGAATTTATGTATAATCAATATCATATCCATTCTCTTAGCAACATATTTCTTTATTAGACACAACGATCACTGTGAAGGAGGAAGTAAGTATTAGACACAAAGAATCACAATTTCTCAAAAAAAAAAACCTTCCTTTATTAATCATATTGCTGTGAAACTAAAGTTATAATGAACACCTTTGTTTATTTTCAGTATACACTCTTTTCGCATTCTTTGAATATATTGTCGTCCTCACAAACATGGGCTTTCACCTTACGTCTATTTACGATTTTCACAATCAACATTTGATCTTTGATTGGACTTATGGGATTAGAGTTCATTATCAATAACGTGCTAATATATTATAGGAGTGATTCACGAATGAAGTGACCAATATTGAACTGACTGTTAAATTTTTAAAATTCACTAACACAATTACAAGAATTTTGCATGTAAAACAATGTAAATGTTTGTCAAAGTGTTGGTGGAACTATGTGAAGTTATTTGTGACCTTTTCAGGGTCATTATAAATGACATCTGGGGGAGATGGGGTAGGGGTGAGGGGGTAGTCAGACATGAACAGACCGCCTTAGTTAAACTTTAAATCAATTCTATTTTTGATATTCTCAACAAAAAACTAAAAAAAAATCAAAATTTCCATTAAATAGTTATTGCTGATTACTTAGGCTTATAAATTTCAGGCGATAAAATTTCTCTACAATTATTGCTATAACTAATGACAAAAATTGCTATTTTTAAAGTCTTTCAACAATGCGTAACAATAACAAAAAAGATTTTTGTAAATCATCGAAAAGGTTTAGGTAGAATTAACATTAATTAATTTATAACAAAAAAACAGAAACAGTGGTAAAAAGGCTCTTTTATAATAAAAACAGGAAACAATAAAAACTTTGTACATAAAGACCATAAATTTAAAAATGTTAAGAAAAATGCTTTAAAAAATAAATTATGAATTTAAAAACAAAATTTATGCTGGAATTGATTAGTCTTCAGACCTTTAAAAATTGCACATGAGACACAAGTCTTTCATTTTTTTTTCAACAGATATGAATGAGTGGCGATTCTGTAGTTTTGTTAGAATTTTTCTTGTCTTATCAGTAATTCTCTAATCGTGGCGCTTTACAAATCTAAATGAACTTTCGACTTTATCAGCAATCATTTTGGCGATTGATAAACTGGAAGTAGCTCCGGGACTCGGTGCGTTGCAGCTAAAATTGATTTAATGCAGATTAGATAAGGTTGTGATTTGAGTTCTCTAACGTTTTAAGTTTTAAATCTTCAGGATGATTTTTTTAAATCCAAGAGATTTAATTTTAATCCCCAGATTAATCTTATTTTTCCTATACTCACCAATGCAAAATTCTTGTTCCAATTTCACCTTCACCATACTCAAATATAAAGTCGTCAACTAATGAGCCGTCGCTACGTAAAGCTTGAGCACGAACGCCAGCGGGTCCTTTACTGATATCTTTAACAGTAATTTCAGGTATGAACTTTTGTAATTGACGCACTTGTAATGCTGGTATTAATGATTGTGTGATTTCTTTGATACCTGCTCCAATATATCGAGTTCCCATACGAATCAAGCCTGCAATAAAGGATGTTGTTTATTTATATCAGCATTTATGGTTTTTTAAAAAAAGAAAAATCTTACCTGGATATTTTATGGCATCAAGAAATTCGAAAAGATTAAAGTCCGTCCATGTATATCCTTCACGTTTGAATGCAAGAACTGCATTTGGTCCAAGCCAAATACTTCCATCCATACGTGGTGTAAAATGAACTCCCAAAAATGGGAACCGAGGATCAGGAACAGGATAAATATTTCCTTTAACCCAATGAGCTTTGTCTGGATTTAACAGCAAATATTCACCACGGAAGGGTACGATTTTTGGAGGGGTTTTGTTGCCAGTTAAAGCTGCAATTTTATCTGCTTGTAAGCCACCACAAGTGAGAATATAACGAGAATAAACTTGCTCGCCATTAGCTGCTATAACGGTTACAGGATGTTCAGCATTGTTAGTAGATCTAAAGAACTTTTTGACCTCAAAGTTTAAGAAAATTTCTCCACCAGCATTCTGAAAATCTTTAGCATAATATTCAGTCACAAGAGCCCAATCAACGATTCCAGTATGAGGCGAATGAATTGCTCTTACTCCTTTACAATATGGCTCAATCTCCTTTATTCCTTTGGCATCAACTAGCTTCAAATCTGGAACTTTGTTCTTTAATCCACGATCATACAAATCCTATTGATGGTAAAATATAAATAACGGTTAAAAAATATTTGAAAACATAAATTGCGTTGATGTTCCCCTGGATTATATTAGTAATATAATTTAAGATTTCTGTCTGACATTATTGTTAATCTTACGCACTCAAAAGTACACTTTTTGATAAGAAACAGCTGTAATAGTACTTAAGTTTCTTACATTACGTGTCAAAAGCCAACAAGTGATTTTTTTAGGGTTCGCCAAATTGACATGCGCATGCATGCACATGCAAAAAAAAAATATGTCTCAATAATGATTATTTGGTTATGAGGTCAAATCAGAGGTGTTCTGATGTAGGAACCTGTCTTTTTAAGCAGTTTTCAAAGCGAATTTCCACATTTTTATCATATTTTTTATGAAATTTTTGATAAACATGATAAATGGAATAAAATTAAATAGGAAAATTATTTTTGTAAAAATTGTTTACATGCGCATGCATGTGCATGGGAAATTTGCATGTATGCGCATGTGGACGAACCCTAGATTTTTTTCATGAACAGACATTTGTGTACCTGATGTGCTTAACAGGCTATGTCTCTAGTAGAAATATAATGGGAAAATAAGATTTAAGAAACGTCAAAGAAAAATTAAAATTCAATATGTTAAAGCCAATTTTTTTGCTAATAGTCACATTATTCATAATAATAGACGCTAGAAAGCATCATTTAGAGATAAAGGTAAGTCAGGCAAAAAGGAAATGTCTGGAAAGTTGATGAAAATTAAAAAATCAATTTTTCTCATAAAGTCCATCTTTTTTTTTCCTTAAAAAACTTAACAGAATGACATTAGACAGTATATATCGTTGAGCTCATTTGGATTCTATAAGCAAGCACATCTAATTGTTAGAGTATCAGAATTTAAGTTACTCCATGGACAGGATAATAGTGTTGTAAGCTTAATTATTAATGACATTGAATGACGACATAATTCAAAATTTCATGTCTTTATAGTTTGGATTATCACTTGATAAGACCGTATCGGATGCGATGCGACAAAATACAGATCTACATCAGGATAGATGCTTTTTAGAAGAGAAGAATCTGATCATGCCAACGAATGAGCCTGTTGTTTTCTTTATTATGAATTTTCATACCGAAAAGTAAGCTAGATTAATGATGTGTAGCTATTATCTTTATTGATTGATATCTAATCTATAGAGTGACGATAAATTGCTCAAGGAATTGGCACAATATGGATATATTTCCAGATTTTAAGAAAGATGTTCACAGTAAGTACAAGAGAGATACTAATGAAAGAGCTTTAATTAAATTATAAACATTTCCAGATGATCCAGTTCAATATAGTAATGGATCTTTCGAGTGTAATATTCCGTCATTAACGTTGACAAGAATGAGACAAGATGATACATATAAATATTTCGAGTTTAAATTCGTTATGTTTGTGAACACAGATGATGATGAGGGTCTGTATAATTTATATTTCCATGCCTGTCCCAACTATGATCCAGATCCGAGAAGAACCTATTTCTTAAGCTTCAATGTGGATATTGAGGAGAATAATAATGGAAATTATTTGTCAGCAACAGAAATGCCATTGCCAATTCTATACTTTTTGATGTCAGTGATATACTTCCTATCTGGACTATTATGGATATATGTTTTGAGACAAAGCAAGCATCCCGTCTTTAAGATTCATTACTTAATGGGAGTTTTAGTGTTTTTGAAGTCACTTAGCTTAATGTTTCATTCCATAAATTTCCATTTCATTGAGATTAAGGGAGAACATGTCGAGACATGGGCAATACTCTATTATATAACACACTTATTGAAAGGTGCCTGCCTGTTCATCACAATTGTGCTCATTGGAACTGGTTGGACATTCATTAAACACATACTTAGTGATAAGGATAAGAAAATCTTTATGATTGTGATTCCTCTACAAATTCTTGCAAATATTGCCGAAATAATCTTCGATGAGAGTGAACAGGGAAGCTTAGAGCACTCGACATGGCGTGACATTTTTATATTAGTTGATTTATTGTGCTGTGCAGCAATTTTGTTTCCTGTCGTGTGGTCAATAAGACATTTACAGGAGGCATCTGCGACTGATGGAAAAGTTGCTTTGAATCTTAAGAAATTAAAGCTTTTCCGACAATTCTACATCATGATTGTGTGCTACATCTATTTCACACGTATCATTGTGTAAGTATCCCATACTCAATTGTCGTTTACCTACTTTTTTAAGGTCTATTTGCTAATAATTTATTTTTATTAATTTAATATACTTGAAAATGTTTACAGATTTCTACTGAAAATCACCGTTCCATTCCAATATGCATGGCTCGACGAGTTATTCAGAGAGATGGCGACATACGTATTTTACGTTCTAACAGGCTATAAATTTCGACCAATTACACAAAGTCCATATTTTAATGTGAGAGATCTCGAGGATGACGATGAGGTCGAGGTTTTGACACAAACTGGACTCACAGAAAACATTCGTAATGTAACGAATAGATCAATAGGATTAACTGTTGTGGAATCGTACAATGAAGACGAAAAGGAGAACTTAATTAGTAAGCGAGAATCAAGCCACGAGTATGATTAAGTTTTAACGTTACATTCTAGATTGTTTAAAACAAGAAATACTGTCGATTGATCAAAGAACTATTATCACTTTTTTTTTCGTATCATAAATGTGCTTAGGTAAATTTGTATAGCGTATTAATCGTGTGATTCAATAAACTTTTTTGTACATAAACGTCTAATTTACCAAATAAATAGAATCACTTCAATTTTATTTTCTTTTCTTCTTTTTACTTGCTTGTCTGTCGTACTTTTCACACACCTCACTCTCGGTTATTTATCTCCAACAAGTGTGCTAATACGTCAAGATTTTCGGATCATTTTTACTTGGCTGTCGGGATTTATTTTAAATCCCACGATTAATTTTAAATCCAATTCCTTAAATCTCTTAAATTAGAACTCTGATTCATACATATTCAACTTTCAGGAATCAGGATATATTTTATCCTAGGATTAATCCAGCGCCAAAAATTAGTCCTCGACAATATTTAAGTAGGCCAAAGAAAGAAACAATCGCACGACAGAAAGAATCTGAATAAAGCTATTAAATGCGAAGAAATTTTTTATTTTCAGAATAATACACGAAAGTCTTGTTTTTCTTTTCTTCATTCGAATCTAGTATCATAGTTCGTATGTATGTTACGCCACTAATAAAAATCGAAACGATTCCGTTGTGAATGAAAGTGAAGGACAATTTATGTAATTCATCTCGCACTGTTTTCGAATTAAAAATATTTGCTTTTCTTGTTTTCAAATTTCATTATCACCACACAAAATTATTTGATTATGATATTCTTAACTCGTGGGACAGGCAAAATGATCAGTAAAAAAATATTAATTGAAATCTCTACGGATGGCTTTAGATATCTCTAGGAAAAATGCTTAATAATAGATGTGACAATAAATTGTTTTCTGAGTGCGTAAGTAAGGCAAACATCAATGTCATGGGAATCGGATAGATGATAACCGTACTTTTAGGCATAATATTTACTGACCTTTAATCTTTCTTCTTCGACTTTATTTGTTGCAACGATCAATTTACCAACTTTCTTATATGGAATATTCTTTTCATCACAATATTTGTATGCTAAATGCAATCCTTCGACACACAATTTGGCCTTGAGGGATCCTGGCTTATAGTAGATACCCGCATGTATTACACCACTATGAGAGATGTCAATGACATTGAATAAATAGATGTTAAATATAGTGATTTATTTCTCAGAATCATCCGTGTTTAAATCACCTGTTATGACCCGATTGATGTACTGCAACTTTTTTTTCTTTTTCAACAATTGCAATTTTTAAATGCGGATGACGATTAATGATCTCACGAGCGCTAGCAACACCAACAATTCCACCTCCGACTATAGTTAAGTCAAATGCATTATTAGCTGTGCTATAACACCTAAATCCACTTGATAGTGCACTTCGTAACATTATCATTTTTATCACTTAATTCAATTAGAATATATTGCTTATTTAAGTCCCGATAAGACGTATCGCGATATTAATCAACTACCAAACTGTTGATAAAAAAAATTAGTCAACTAATTTTATTTGTCTCTCTTTGAGGCAATAAACATTCCCGTCATTCAAAACTGATGTCACGACAATGTCCATTTGAGCATTTTAAATTTCAATTTGTCGTTATTCTTGACTTCTTTTTCTTCTCTGTCTTATTGGGTAAAATCTTTTATTCAGTAAAATAAAGGCTTAGTCGGAAAACTTTATATGAACGTTATTTTTTCTGAAGAAAAATTGCAAATTAGTGGAACGAGTTTTCAGTGTCAGAAATGATCAAATTAAGACCCTTAATTAAAGCATTTTGTACTTATGAACGACAAAGCCCAGTGAAATTTCATTATAATCTTTTTAATCTTACACTTCAGGAGTCATCAGTTGTTTTTCTTATATTTCTATTTCCAACTTTTCGCTTCTTAAATACACTTGGAATTTCATGTGAATCAATTGAAAAGGAACCGACTGTTTTCTCTTTAAATTTCTTGATTGGTGGCTCGTCTGTTTTTACATTTGCAATAGCATAATAAACATCATTCTGTTTTGGCAATTCCAGATCGACTTCTTTAATTGTCTGCTCTGACTGTTCAACAACCTGCCATTCGCCTATACTAGTGCCATATTCATCTGCATAGTGACTTGTTGATGATTCTGTTAATTTTTTTGGCTCTTGAGTAATCGTCTGATATTTCTTATATTGTTCACGCTTATATTTCGCTGCAATTTCATCGGCATTCTCAATATTATATTTTAAATCTGTCTGACGTGCTTCTTCTTGTTGTTTTATTGCTATTTCATTCAGCTTGTTGTATTCCTTTAACGTCATAAATCCCTCTTTCGGTTTTTCCCACACAGACTCTAATTGATTTTCAATAATTAAAAGTAATTAGCAATTATTATTTGATTCGCAGCGAGAAAACATTAAAGCTCTCTCTCTCTTACCATTTGTTTTGATATTCCAATAATATGTATCTCCATCGTCAGTCACTGCCTCACACCATAATGATGCTGGCGGTGCTTCTTTTTCTTGACTCTTAGCTGCACTTGTTGATGGCTTTTTTGAAATATTCGGACCGTCTTCTTCTTCATAATATGGTAATGCCATTGGATCTACTGGTTTGTTCATTGATGAGGCATGTCCAATGGATCTTGAAGTCATATCAGTTCCACCAGAAATATCTTTAGAATACGATTTCATGGCAGCCTCATTAATTTTCCGTAAATCTTCATCAAATTTGTTTTGTGCCTTTTTATCTGCCTCACTCTTTTTGCCAATATCATGAATTCGTTGTTGTACGTTTGCTTTATGTCGCTTGCCATTATTGTGGAAATCTACGCTCTTGACGAGGTGGAAATAAAGAAAAATTAAATGTTTATTTAAATTTCAAAATTTTAACGGTATTTTAAGATTCAAAATGAACTGGAACGAATTTTTACGAAAGCATAATGTTTGAATATAAAGCGACCGTTATTTTTAGAAACTTCAATAAAGTCAACATTGGTCAACATGTTAAAGGTTGAAAGAGAAAACAGAATGTGTATAAAATTTTATAAACACAAAAAAATTTGTTTATAAAGACGCTAAATGATGAGGGATAGAAGAAGAAGAAAATTGCTTACCGGCTTATTGTCTGTTATCCAACACTTGCAAAAGTCACAGAAAATTCTGTTTTGTGATTTCCAATAATCAGCCCTTGAGATATATAAAAAAGAGATGAAAAAGAAAAAAAAAATATGAGATGAAAAATAATAATAATACAAGTCGAAATGATTTCTATCTTTATCGAATGAAGAAAATTTATATATTCATAGGAAAAATGCATGAAAAAAATCATAAATCTAATTTTGCGGCGCTTTTTTTTATTTTTAACAACATAAATCGTAACATATGAGAAAATCAGCATTCATCTACATCGCATTATTCATTATTATTAAATATATATCAAATATACATCATCTATTACATATATATAGATTGAGAGAAATTTGTCGGCGGTTCTATTTATTTTACTGGGAATAATATTTCATAACATTTCTTCTTTTCTCAGTTTACTCGCTCCTTGTTGACATACACAACAAGAATCAGGTCATTGAGCTAATAGCCTAGTTATAGAATTACCATTATGATTTTAAAATTGTACTACAATGTTCAAGCTTAACAATACAAAAAAGGAATAAAAATTATTATTTGACTGTTTTTAAATGGGAAAGTTTCAATAGAATTGGATAGTGCATGTCTTCATTGTACAAATTGGATTTAAGGAATTTCTGATGCTTCTCCCATATCTCCTTGTTATAATAGGTGTGCACCTGACAATGCAGTCCTTTTGAGATGCACTTTTTGATAAATAAACTCATCGATTTGCCTCGCTTCGGTGCTATTACTAACGCTATTCCATTTTCCGATAGGAAGTAACAGATACTGTCGACGAGAGCAGCACGTGAATCATCAAAAAATAAACAATCAGCACATAGGATGAAATTGTATTTTTGTCTCTCTAATGGACATTGTTTAACTGAATCCTCCCATCTCAGAACTGAATGATTTTTTTTTTTTATTTAAAACAGAAGAAAGAAATGATTTTTGAACATCTTGTTATTATTATTAGCCTTGCATATGCTTATATTCTTTTCTTAAATACCTGAAGCTTTCATGAAACAATCGAATTCGTTTAAAATAACAGACTTTTTGACATTTTGTAATGAACTTTGATTTCCATCTGTTAGATGTACAGCAAATGAGTTGCCATATTTCGCAATCATTAAACCGCACAAACAAAACATTCCACCACCTAGCTCTAGCACCCATGAGTTATCAAACATTGACAGATTTTCCATCGCATAATGACATAGAGCAGCCTCTGACGTCCAAAACGTTATGTTTCCCGTATTATTGAATCCAATCAAATCCTTTACAGTCCACAATTTTTCTAAATGAACATTACACTCGTATCGCTTACACGCTACATCAATTTTCATAATTAAATTATTTCTATCGTCTTTTCTTAATTGTTCTATTTTTACGAGATCAAAGCCATCAAAATTTTGTGCGATGACATTTATCGACGGCGCGATTGAATGTGCTTTAATCATCATTTGTTCATGCTTTGACTCTGATTGAATTGCTCTCGCAAGTAATTTCCAACGATTACGAGCATTCTGTTTCCTAATACTTAAATCCTTAACACTCTTATTAGTATTACTACTACTGCTTAACGACGACTTTAATATGCTTTCACAATTCTTTATTAGATCATTATCATCAACAACATAATTCTCAGTCATTTTCACAAATTAAACCTTTTCCCTACTTCCCGTTCCTGATGCTGTTTTATTCAACTGAATCTATCGACTAACGGACTGAATGTTAAAATTAAAATACAAATTTTCCTCGATCGTATTTTTAGTTTTTCTTTTTCTCCTTTCTTTCTTTCTAAAGCGCTTGCTACCGAACTATATTCATTATTATACTCAATTGTTGTTTTCGCTAATAAACAAATCTCTCGGAACATTATAGATAGATCGAATGAAGTGTGTAAGAAACGATACGATACATTTTTTCCTCATCAATTCTAATCGACATTCTCATAGTTTTTTTTTTTATTTTATGAGCCATTTTCTTCACCGCATCGCAAAATTCATCTTCCTTTTGTACTGCTTTATGCTTATTTATTTTATCCAATGATCGTAAAACTTAAATTTCCTCATAAATTAAAGAATTCACTCAAAACGATTTTTACTCAAATGTAAACATTACAAATGAATTAAAACTTTACTGCCTTATATTTATTGCACTCACATCTCTTTGTTATGATTTACTTCTCCACTATTTTCACTAGACACTTGTTACTTTTACAGCTTTTCCGGCTACTTCTTTCGCTCTTAAAACAATTAAAATCAATTTTCCAATTTCACTCACAATTTTCTTGTTATTGTAGAACTTGTTGTGATAAAATTGTCTACCAAAGTCTACTAAGCATTTGAATTTATTTTGAACGTTATGTTTCTTTTGTTTCTTGAGCAGCTAGAAATGACGAAATGAACTTTAATGAATAAAACCATTAATGTAAAAGGGATCGAATGACTTTTTCTGCTTCGAATAATATAAAAATTGAAGTTGACTTTTAACGGTTTCTAGGAAATTCAAATTATCGCTTTTTATCACTTGATTTGAAATCTGTCACGAGAGCTTGTCATTTAAATTTAATTAATCGGCTTAAAAATGATTAAAACTGAGTATTTGGATGAATATATCGACGAGGAAATATTAGTCGATGATCATCCTACAAATTATACCATTCAGGAACTCGAGAAATCATTGAAAAATGAAAATTCTACACATGAAAATGAATTTGTACAATTTTTGCAAGCTGGTAGTTCCCAAACACCTGACGAGAAGCCTGCACAGAAGGGGATAAAACGTAAATTGTCGAATCAAACATCAGTAAAGGTAAAAACACTTGATTTTAACATAATTCAGTTTAAGTTTAAAAGATCCAGGAATCTTCCAGAAACGCAAAGTTGAAACACCAAAGCCTAAAAAGGAACCAGGTGTTGGGCATGTAATTAAATTGTATGCATACAAGGATTGCCTGGGCGAATATAATTCTCTTATCCAAAATCCGGATATGCCGTTATGGTATCGAGATGGTTCATGCTTAATTCAAAAATATTTACGCCAACGATGCAATGATGATGAATTGTTTTATTTCTCGACACAAATCTATTCTTGCTGGGAAGAAGACCGCGAAAAAGAGTATGTGGAACTAGAAGCAGAAATTGTCTTAAAGAAAAACGTAAACTTTGTTGTTAAAATTCGTGATATTGATATTATTGAGGATATATGTTCAAACGGTAATTTTAAGGAACTTGGCTTGACACCTTACACTAATTATCAAATGCGAGCCACTGATAATCCTGAAATCGAAGTTGCAAATGCATTGACATTCAAAGTCAACACATCTGATGAAATCTCAGACTTTGATTACGAAGATTCACAGGATAAACAGGATGAAAACACATCGAATGATGTAACTGAACAAGTCCAAGATTTTGAGCCCTAAATTTAATTAATACTGTTTTCCTTTTATAATTTAGTCATGGACTGACTATACATTACATTCATAAATTATTTGACTCAGCATATAACTCATAAATGACTGAGAGGAACTGAAATATTGAAAAATGGATGAAGAATAATAAAAACAAAACTTTTGAAACGACAAATTAAATTCACAGTTATTGGATCTAACATATTAAATATGAAAATATGTATGCATGCATGGAGGTTTTTTGTAGCATGCATGTCATAGTTTTTGCAAAATAATAATAATTCATTGCTGTGGGCTTTTAGAAGGCAAATTTTTTAATGATTGGTAAAATCAAAATTTTCATCCAATTATATTTGTGTAGCTACGTGCTAAATATTATTGCCGCTCAATGCATTTTATTAATGTTTTTCAATTTTCGAAAAACCAGAATTTTTGAGCACATCTACGACATTGGAAGAAACTAAATGCCATTTTGATTTTAATTCCAAATTTTATGTGTAGTATTTCATGCGTTTACTATAATTAATCAAAGGTAACCTTAGGCTACACGAATTGAATTATATTCTCTTTAGACATTATAAATTGAGTGACAGCAAAAAAAAAAATTATATGCTTAACGTGACTTCAAAGGCTTTTTTACACCGTTCCGAATAATCCAACCTTCCTTTAATATCCCTGATAGGAACAAAGTTGCTATGCGACTCCTTTTCAATTCCTCTAAACATTTCTGCTGGTCGATACACTTCATTGAGAACAACATTATTATTATGCTACATAGATTAAAAGGCAAGCGTATAAGATATTACATAAATATAAAATCACTGATTATACTCGTGAAATGAACTGAATAAAGGATTCTTTAAAAATCAATTTAAATATTAATTGTGTAATTAATTGTACAATTAAAATTGCTCACTTTACTGTGATAATGAAAAAATCGGTTCCATAAAAAGGCTACCAACCTTTAATATTTTTTTAACTCGCTGATATTTGATGAATTATTAACATTTTAAATGATAATTCCATGAATAACACATTCTTTCCAACTTGGAGTTTATTTAATTTGCAGAATGTCTGCTGTTTATGCCTTTCTAATTTGTAGAATTTTGAAGCAAAGTGACATCTAGCTTTTTATTTTTTAACGTGTTTTCAAATTTTAAAAATTTCAAGTTATTTTTTTTCGATGGGGGGGGGTATGATTAAGAGATATTTTAAGATTTTTAACAAGAGCTTTAATTTTGTGAAAAAGTAGGAGTGTTGATTGGAGCCACTAAGAATATGCGTCTCTCGTTCATCTATTCTTTCCAACTTGCTCTTTTAAGGACACAGAAAAATCAATCTGGAAAAAATGTTATAAGGAATCTATTATTAATTAAATGAAAGTAAAATACTTTTAAGATTCGAAAAGGCAATTTGAAACTGCATATGTATGGCTTTCTTTTTTTTTCATGAATAAATAATTTAAAATATAAATAAAATAAAATTAATTAGTGAATGAATGAATCGTACACTCTTTCATGCTTGCCAAACTGGCAATTGAAAATCTCCTTAATTAGAAAATTAATATTTCAAAATCGCTAAAATAAATAAACAGAAGCGAGTAAAACATTTAAGCACATCGAACGTCGTTCGTTCTCTCGCTGATCTGTTAAATCATCATACAGTCATGGATATTATCCAACGTACAGCATTTCAGAATTATATGCGGTTAAATGGAAAAATGCTTGCAGCATGTAATTTAACCATTTTTAAATGTAAACATTCAAGAATGAGAGAGAAACAATAAAAAATCAGCAAAATTTCCCTGGATTTCGTGTATTATCGTGGTTGTTATGTTTGCTCTCTGCTGATATTGTTATTCCGACAAAAAGGGTTGAGGAAAAAAAAATACAATAATATAGTATATACGATACTGCGGCTACAGAAGAGAACAACGAACAAAAAAGGTTAGCGGAAAGTTATCAAAAATTCAATTGTTTGTGGTAATGAAATTAAAAAAAAATTGGAAGCACTTAATTATTAAAACATTAATTACAAACATTGTACCCTTAATGAATTAAGAATCTAATCGATTAATGTTTTAATCTTTGTTAAAGCAACCTCACCTCCAACTTGCTCCAAAAAAAATGAATAAAAATCTGAATAATTTTCAGACATCCTCATCCACTTCTAAGATAGTATAAATACTTTTCAAACAAGGTGTCGATTGAAGCCATAAACATTATGAACTTATCGGATGTAAATCTTCGATTTGGTCTGCATATAATAGAATCGAACATAATGTATACTTTATATTTACTCTCCGCATGGTACAACTTATAGATTTGTCTGTAAATTCATACTACATAGTGAGACACCAATGAGATAACTTTCATTTCTTTCTACATGTTAAGCTCCGCCTCATCTTTGATGATATTTCTCTATGATGTACAGTAAAATGACAATGGATGACTAAATAAAGCTGCCTTTTGTATGTATTTTGTGTTAGATGTGAACATTGAAATCTTTTTTTTTTATTTTCACTTAATTCAATCCATGATTATAAAGTTTCATTTCTTCATTTAAATGAATTTTTTTTTATACCAATAATAAGAAAATTTACAATTTAATTCTGAGAATATGAAGAATATGTGTATGTAAAGAGGATTAATTTATAATAATATTAATTTTTTTAGGATGTATATCTTTTTTGTGTTTATTTATGTGATAGACTGCTTTTTAATTTAAATTATTGCTTAAGCTCTGGTGACACATTTCATTTTACTTCTCTTTATCCATCATATTGCAAGCAAACAATGAAGAAAAACATTTCCAATCACATTATATGTCTTATTTAGGCTACCTCCAAATCTGATTCATCTGAGAAATTTGATGAGTTGTGATGAATTGAATTTGTGTCAGTTTGATCCTCAGGTGTATGATTATTTGAAGGATTTGTGTGGTCTTCTTGAAGTTTTCTTATTCGTTCTTGCTCCTCACGCTTCTGTTTTCGCCATTTAGCTCGTCGATTCTTAAACCAGACCTAATATCATCCATTTAAGTGAAACAAAAGAAATAAAGAATAGAAATAAATTCATATTAGTCTTGTTAACAAGTAGGATTACAATTTTTGTATGCGGCAGATTTGTCAGATGTTAGTAAGAAAACGAAAATTGAATTATAATTAACTCTCTCACGTCTATAAGACTTTTTTAAGGCTACTCCTATGTGATGATTATTATTATCCTTTCTTTCATGAGATGCTATTAAAACGAGAACGATTCATTGTTTGTTGGATGGCAGTAGCTGAACATATGAGCATATGTCTCTCAAAGGATAATGACATTACAAAAGACTACAAGCAAATTAAAAATAGTCCACTTTTATGAATTGTTTGAAGAGATGTAGAGAAAAATGAAAGGATTATATGGGATTTAGAAAATTGCTTGCTCCTTTTCATCATCTCCTTTCTTGACTCTCTTTTATTTTTGATCTTTTTTTTTTGGCAAAAAAAAACTATGTTCTTTTTGTGCCTTCTTAAATTGCTTGATTGTGCTTTCCTATGAAAGGATGTATTCTTTAACAATTACACAAATTCATGTTTGACAAATTTGTGGGCTTTTTGAGCTACCGACGGTTACTGTGCATACAATAGATTTTATAATAATTTTCTGATTGATTGACAGATTTTTTGAAAAGTTTATTAAAAACATGTTGGCTTTTTATGAGAGACTCAAGTTAGTCTTTTCAATATTTGTGTGTCCAAAAATAAAGATATGCATGGGAAAAATATGAAATGAGGTTCCAAATAAAGATTTTTGAAATTTTTAAAGTTTCTGTTATGTTCGCTTAGATATTTATAAGTTAAGCTTGAAAGATTGTTGTGGATCTATAGCTTTCATATCAATTCAGTGTCTCTAAACTGAGTTCCGTGAAAAAATCTTCTGTTCATAATACCGTTGGCATGTGGCACTTGAACACAACTCTACCTACACCTTTTAAGCAAAAAAGTCAAACTCCTTAAGAAGGAAAAATTAAGCAATTCATTGTTTTTTAAATGTTTTTGGTTCCCATGAAATCATATAAAGTCGTGTTTAAACTTAATTATAATAATGTCCTAACACTCGGACTGTTCTAAATATAAGAATTTTGAAGCTTCTGAAGAAATTCTGAGACTGAAAAAGTCGAGAGGATTTAAATTTTATGATGTTAATAATCTTTAACAACTTCTCAGTCCATGGTTAAAGATGATTGATATATGCTAGCTACGATTCACCACAAACACTGCATTAGATCCAATCCTAGCACTTCAATCAATTAAACACTTGAAACAAAATTAAAATTGCGTCTTAATAGCTTCCATCGTGCAATATAAATAATATAATTATAATTCTAATCAAACATTAAATCATCAAATAAGATGGAAATCAAAATAAGCGTTAAACAGATTTTGAATAAATGACTTGGGAATAAATAATGAAATTCAGGAAGGGCATTGTCAATTATATGCAGTGAATTTGCTGTGAGGGTGATGACAAATTGTACATTTACACTTCATCATTGATTGTTAAATAAACGAAACCGCATTAGAAACAACAAAAAATTAATAGAAATGTCAAAAAGGATATTCGAGGGTGAAAATGAAACCATAAAAATTAATAGAAGCATCGCATGAGAGACAAATTATACAATAAGGAATTTTCCGTTTGGTATTTTGCAGTCATGCAGCAAATGCTGAGTAAATATTATCTATTGTATTGAGAGTATATACATCAACCCCTTATTAATAGAGAGGCACTTAAAGTTGATATTTGATAAGATTTATAAAATTCTTTCCTTGCTTTTTTAATGCATCAAATGGGATTGAAATAAGCACTCGCATTCCGTCTCTTACTGACATTTTGTAATGATTTTTTAATAAACAAATATAAAATCTTATTTACACACCTCCACACGTTCCTCTTTAAGATCAACTTTTATTGCTAACTGCTCTCTCAGCACAACTGTAAAAATTATGTCATTAGCATCTTATCACACTGAATCTAAGGATTTAAAAAGAATTCTCACCATCAGGATAATGTGTTTTCTCGAATGTGGCTTCTAATGACTCTAATTGTTCTTCTGTGAATATTGTTCGATGTCTTCGTTTCCGTTTTGGTGGTGGTCCATGACTTAACGATACATGACTATGAATTTGAGCTGCTTGTAACATTTGTGCAGCATGCATATAGTTTGGATAGAAATTTGGATATGTGACTGTGTGGAGAGAAAAAAAGTTGATGAGATTTTTTTTAAGGATTCATTCAAGATTTAAGAGCAAGAAAGGTCTTAAATACTTTAAATATGACACATTTCTTCAGCATCTTTAAGGACTAAATGTGATGAATGTATAAAAACTTATTATGTTAATTCAAGCGCACTTAAGAACCCACCGCAAAATAAAATAAAAATCGTATGGAAAATGCAAATAAAAAATGTTTTCTTTTAAATATTACATTTCCCCGAGGAGCTTCTTCCTTCTTTCCCATAAAAAAAAAATGTATATAAAAATGTTATTTCACTAAGCACTAAGAAGGAGATCTCCCTCTTATCCATTCATAACACTCAAAGGGGCTTTTAAAGTTGTGCTCATGCAGCAAATGTATTTTGACAAATTTTTTTGTTCATTCTTTTTTTTTTACCTAAAAATTCTGGCGAGCCGAAATTTGTTGCTAGATGTGTGATATGTAAGCCAGCAGTAGCACTCGGATGATGTTGAAATAATGCAGCTGGAGGCAATCGTGCTGTTCGATTTGAAGGGCTTGTCGAGCGATTTTTGTTAAACAAATTATCGTTAATTGGTGACATTGATGGCGATCGCTCGTTGTAGCGTGTTTGTTTAGATAAAATACTATCTATTGTGAATAATGAAGTGGAAGATGCGGTAGATCCGTTTATGTGCTTTTCAGTTTTACATAAATTTTCACTATTTTCATATTTTTGATTATCACTAAAACTATTCCTTTGTGCATTCAACTTTTGCTCAATATATGAAAGATTTTGTGATGTTAATAACATTTTTGTGCTTAGGAAATTTTTTGATTGTGGAGATAAGTGGGGAGGTGGTGAAATTCCACGAACTTTTAATAACGGCGAAGTTGTTTCCACCATAGTTGGACTATTTGATGAACTACTATCGTCTTCCGATAAATTATATTCCCTTTTAATGACTGTAAAGCCACTCAGTGGCATTAAAGACGATTTTGCTATAGTTGATGCCAATTTGAATGATTTAATTCACGTTTTTAATCCTTAATTATTTTTTATATATCCACAAGAAATTTTATTTGCATTAATTATTTAAAATTAATTTCGCTTGGATTATCACTCTCGTAATCACTTTAAACTACTTCTCATGACTCAAATTCCAATAAAAAAAATTATTATAATAATTCACAGAGCCAATTTATTTTCAGTCCGACATGAACGATATATGATTTAACTCTGACAGTAGCAAAGAAAATTGATTATTATTAAACGCAGGCCACGCCTTCCTCATCTTCATCTGTGTACAAATTTTCCCCTCGTTTTTTTATTATATTCCATTCTTCTCTGTTCTATCGTGCGAATGCTATACTTGTACAATCTTTTTGTGCTATACATATATTTTTAGAATATAGTGAGTGACTGACTGACTGGAGATGGTATAAATGGAGGAAAACATATAAAAGCATAATGTATTAAAATGATTATGCAAAATTCACATTTTATCCATTACTAAGTCAATTAATTCAGATAAAATCCAGTGAACCATCAAATTTTTCGCTCAAGTAATCTTACATATCATGTGAATGTTGTGCTTGTAATGGATGTAGACTGAAAGATTTATTCTTATATTCCGCCTTCACTATGTTAATCATGATCTTTTATTAGATTTGATATTTTGAGGATTTAAATTTTTGGTAAATTCAGATTTGAATTATCAAGTAAAACTTTTTTGAACGGAAGAAGAACAGAAGCAATGATAAATTAAGATTTTTACTTATTGACTAATCTGAAAGTCGCTTACAATTTGATTTTTGCGCTTAAGTCTATCGATCAATAACACGAAGCCTTTATTTTACTTTTCCTTATGTTTAAGGTTCATAAACTTCTTTAAAGTCTTCAATTTTCCTTTTAATTCATCTCGTGCAGTGTATCTTTGTGTTTTTATGATAGAAAATGTATGAGAATGTTGACCGCTAATGAATATTGAATGAGAGGAAAGAATCAAACGACAATGGCAAGATCGAATATATGAGAATAGTATTTGGGAAAATAAAATAAAAGTCCCTTAAGTGAAAAGTTCGTTTTCCTTCTCCTGTGTATTTCTGTGTGTTTCTTTCCTCTCTTGCTTTTTTTGTTCGTTTAATATTTACTTATTCTTTCATTTGGAGAAAAAAAGGAAGTCTTTTAAAGTTGTTTTAAAACTTTTTATTTCTGTTCTTTTCTCAAAAATGGTCCATTTTTATATAATTAGCAATGACATTGTCGCTTTTGTCCTCATTTCTAAGAGCTTAGATGGAGTTATTTCCAGATGTCATAATTAATTATAACATAATTTCATAATTCGACCTATTACTTGTTACTTCATAATTCTAAAAGAATTCACAGATCTCTGCTTAAATAAGAGTCGGCTGAGTTGTTCTGATATAATTGAAGCCACAAGCATTTCGTCGACATTATTACATTATATTGTTTAACTGACTATTTTTAGTCTAAAGGAACACTGAAGTTCTACACGTTTAGAATTACGCAGTTTCTTCGACAACTTTCCAAAGAAAGAATTTTTGGATTAAAAACAATTGTATCACTAAGATACACGTACTGCGTTGTTCAAGACAAACTACGTTCTATAACAACTGTACGAATTCGGAATCAAACCAAAATTAACATTGTGGGTGATCTATCTCTAAAAACTGAGAGTCAGGTCATATCTAAATGTCTTTAAATGAGCAGCCATGACTTTGTTCGACTCTTTACCTGGAAATGAAGTAACAGTCTTTTGGATGATCCTGAATTCTGTCATTTGCCAGTTTCCGAATTGTGTCATTCAAACTATAATTCCAACATGCCTTTTTTAAAGCTTGAAATATCTTTAAAATTGAATTTTGAATAGAATTTAATATCATGGTTCTTTTTTTTACAGATTAAGTGTTTTGCTTTAATTTTCCATCTCTTTTTCCTCCTCCATTCTCCTAAATGGTTTCATTTCATGAATTAAATTGTAATATGTGTAGTAAAATGTCTCATACCTTTTGTTTGATATACTGGTATTATTTCTATTGTGTACCAAAATAACGTAACAATAAACAACAATTATATATCACAATAATCCTTACAACTAATAATATATTTGTAAACATTTGTATTAAGGTGTATTTTGTGATATGTGTAATATATAAGCATAGAATTCATCATGCCATATAATATAAAGTATAATTCCTTATTTTTCATGAAAATTCATCAGTCTCAGTTTCGTATCAAATGCCACGCATTGGATTTAAATAAAAAGTATTGTTGAGAAAGTTTTCGCTTGAAGCCTAAAAAAGCAGCACAAATAAAACTACAGGAAAAAAAAAGGAAATTCTGTTCACATATCAGTGAACTTGATGTGATAAAAAAGTGAGTAACATAAATCCCAATCAGCAGAAAGCACAATAACCACAGGCACTAAAGATTCGTATATTTGGATTTATTGGAATTATTTTTTTTTTTTTTTTTTTTATGGATTTTTTTTTTTGTTTTCTTGATTGAAAAAGATTTTTTATAAGTCTTGCTTTTGGAAAACTTCATGTGTGAGGTTTTATGTGAAATTGCTTTCGCTTTTGTTCACAGATTCTTACCTATGCGATGGAATGAAGAAGTTTGGTATACTTTAAGATTTTCGCAAACATCAATGTGAAATGGGTAATTCTTCAAGGAACTTAAACTTTATTTTTGTTGGTTCTGCATAAATATTGATATCCTTAGAATTTAGCATTCGAATCAATATCTTGTAGTATGATCTGAACAATTTCAATGTTTAAATTTCAGCTGAAAGTTGGACTTTAAGATCTAATTCAATCATTTTCGATCTTGAGAACTTATACAGCTTACATTAAGGATATTAGAACAACTTAGAAATGTAAGTTATATTTAAAAATTCTTGATTCAACATATGGAATTGTCGCTAAAAAGTTAAGAACTTTCTTGAGAATCAAATCATACGAAATAAGCATGTTGATTACAAAAATGGCAAAATATTTTGATGGACTTTACAAGATTTGATTCTTTACTTTTTAATTTGCTTGAAGGCATCTGAGAATTTCTTACTTAGAAATAGTTCACTTCCTTGTGTGCTTGTGCATATAAAGACCCTTTTATTGTTTTATTTGTTATATTGAGTGTTTTATGATCCTTTTCAATCCTTCGTCATCATCATCAGCATTCATATCATTGCCCTTTAGTAAATTAAATAGATTTATATGAACAACATTTGCTGTGACTGACTAACTGCTGTTTCCATTTCTATTTTTATTATTCGTCGGATCTAAAAGTGATGAACATAATAATAAGTTGATTATTATTTAAATATTAATGATTTCTGTCAAAAACAGAGTAAATTTTTTTTATATCATGATTATAAATCATCTGAAAACAGAGAGCAGCTTGAGCTCATAATAAATATAACAATGGAAGAACAATAATAAATAATTTTATTCTTCTTTCGCCTCAAGAGTTTTTCTTATTAAATGAATTTATTTTCGTTTTGCAAATTCAAAGATATTTATTTAATTTCAATATAAAGAATTCATAATTCATACTACGGCTGCTCGACTTTTTGAGCTTTAGCGTATTTCGAGGATGATGATGATGATGGAGATATTTGTAAAGTTACCGCCTTCTTTCATTTCTTAATTCTTTTTCTGCTCCCTCTAATTTTCTTATACATTATTATTTAAATATCATTTTCCATCTTCTTATGTCTTTCAATTTGTATCCGTTTTATCTTGTCGGATTTGCTGCTCTAATTTTATTTATTTTATAAAGTAAAAAGTTCCTTTCACTCCGCCCTTAAATCCAAATCATTTTATTTTATAAAAAGAAATGAAATGAAAATAGAGTAAGTAGCAAGTAAGGAGGAAGAATCACTATGATGACAATCAACTAACTTTGATACACAGAAATAATATACAACAATGACAATATATATAATATGTAAGGAACTGGGTAGAGTGTGTAACAATATTTTCCAATAAAAGGAAGGATGCTTGCGGCTGTGTATACGTTCGAATGAGAGCATGAATGTTGAGTAAGGAGAGGGAGAAAATTTCTTAAGCTGCATGGCAATGTAAACACAACACAATATTTTTTTCACGGTATCGTGGCCTAATGTTCTTATAATCTCAACAAATTGCTTCTTTGAATTGAATAAATTGATTCGATAAATGGAATAACATTTTTAAAACGGACTAAATAACACAATGTAAATAGCTTGAAGCTGAAAAGTTCCTTTTCGTTTTCTTTTTTTCCCTCGATTTTATTTATTTTCTAAGCATAATGATTTAGAGTCTCTTAATTCTGGTTAAGAATGTAAATATTTTGCAGCCTGATGATATTTTTGACGTATCAGATTCGCTAACCTAACGGTTGCTTCAGATTGGTATTAAGTCTTGTTATAAATTATTATTTAAGAACCAGGCTTAGAAATCTTGGTTTTTGACATGACTCAAAAATGTGTTATATTAAAAGAATATTAAGATTACTTTTGGCATATCCATAAAAATGTCTCTTAATAATAAGAATCTTATCATTTTCAGTTTCCATGACTTCCTTTTTCTTTCTGCTTTAATTCTCCTCATTGTCATGTACGCAGTTCAGTGACAGAATTCGTGTATTACCGAGATAATGTTGCTTCCAAGCAACACAATGCGATTCAATTCACTTTTAAGGCTTCTCACATCAACTTATTTATCACAAAAGCATTTGATATTTTAATTTATAAAGTCCTACAAGTTCACTTCTTTAACTTTTTCATCTCTCTTTTAATATTTTTATTTTATCATAAATTTTTCATCTAAATTTGGATGTGATAATTCCGGGTAAAATGTATTCATCTCGTGATACGCGTGGCATATCCGTACATGCATTGTTTTCCTTTATTGAAATATTTTTAACCCCATTGAATCGCTTGAAAAATAAATTTATTGATGGTTATCTATAATAGCATCAAGAAGCAGCATTTCTTTCATTTATTGGCCTCATACCACGATATTTAATCCATTAAGTTAAATGCTGTTGAAATAATGTACTTAAACACATCTTAGAGAAGCAAAGAATAATAAGAAGGAACAGGCGTTGAGTAAAGCAGAAGCATTGGGTATAATTTACATTTTTAGATATTTTATGGAACAAGTCTTGATAAAATTTTGGAAATATGTTTAGAAAGCATGCGTTCAAAGGATAGACCTTAATACAGTGTTCTCGATCAGACCGCTTTTACGGATGCTGCTTCAATTTCTGTCAAATCTGAAATGATTGATCGTAATTAAACGTCTCAGGCATCCGTTAAATTGATGTCCAATAATTGTGGTCTGAAAAAGGAAATTAGCAAACACAGACATCCAGACCCAGCACTTAATTTGAGACAAAGTGAATGAAATGATGCACATCAAGAGATGACGCGACTAATCTTGTAAGTGGTAGCATCATATATTGTGAAGAATCATTCAATTACAATTCACATTCTTTTCTATCGCCGTTTCTTAAGGCTCTTGAGAATATGGATGATGATTTTCATTTCTCTAAAATGATAAAATGAACGAACACCTTTCGTTATGTTTTCTTTTCTACTTTTATACTCTTTATTTTGTTGTCCATAGCCGTATTTTATTTTATTTTTTCAAAATCAAGTCAAACAAATTTTATGGAATTTTTCAAAAACCGACAATGTGTGTATAAATGCTGACGATGTCGACGACACTCAGACTTAAAAATATATCTATATATCGTCGTCCTAATATTGTTCCATCGTTGTGGTCATTAAGCAAATATTTGCTTTTTGATTTTTATTATTCTATAGCTTCTTTTTTTCCTCTATAGTTGAGTATGAAGTCTCGAAAAAACAGTAGCTGTGAGTACAAGATTTGTGTGCTGTCAATCTTGTTATGGTGACTTATAACAACTCATTGTGTGCAATGATTTGTTTTGGTTTTTTTAACTTCTCTATCTTTCTTTTTCTACCTAACGTAAAATTACAGCTCTCCTTCCTCATGTACGTTACGGTTGGTGGCGGCAATTAAATATTTGAAGTGACAATCAAGTAGCATAAAATAAGATTTTCGATGATAGCTTAAGATTTAAATCATCTCTCTTGCCTAAACTTACTCTATTGTGTGTTGAATGAAGACAAAAATTCAAAAACAAATATTAGAAATATCCACAATAATATTAAGTATGATGAGAGACCACACACGATTTTCTATAACAAAAACGTCTTTTAATGCAGCATGAAATGAAATATTAATTTTGATTTAATTTATTTAACAACATTATCAGATAATATTTATCGATTATAATGAGGATAGGGTAGAGAGGCTTTATCGATTTTCTTCGACGATTTTGTTTGGATAAATTTTGAGAAAAGAACAGCTTTTTAGGTTTCACTTTGTTATTTCAAAGAATTTTCACATCTCATCTTCTCAAAAGGGATGCGTTTTTGAATGACGTGGACTCTAGATGAGTTTAAGCAACGATTAAAAAGCGATCTCTAATTTGCAAATTGTTTAAACCATTTACCAATTTTTTGCAGTTTTTCAACGTGTTTCTTACTTTGTTGTGACCAAACTTTCAATATACATCATTTCAGAACAACTCAAAATGCTTTCCTTCAAATGCAAAAATTGATTTGTTATTCTTATCAAAAAAAAGAATGAGATGGAAAAGAAATATATTCAAATTAAAGAAGTATATATTTAGAGAGAGTCGAAAATCTTACGAATCGGATGAATGCATGAAGAAAACGTTCCTTTTTTTGGCTTAATGTTTATTTTCTTTCCACAATTATTGTAGGATTTATTTAATTCAGTCAAAAATAAATTTTTATTTAAATAGCATGAGAAATTTAACATGCAAACTATATAAAAAGTTAGATTCTACTTTTTTCAGCATAAATTTATGCAGTAAAACATTGGAAGAATTTGAGATTTTTCATAGATCATCATTTCTTAAAATAACATTGTGGAGTTTTTCTTTCTTTCCTTCCTCCCTCTATGAAAACATTGCGTACATAAATTTTTGCGTGAGGATATCTGTGTATGTTTTATAATATCCAAATTGAGCAATTTAAGTGTATCATCAAGTGTAGAAATCTCTTTATTTACACCTTCTCTTTTAAACCAACTTTTGATATCCTCCCTCCCGTTTTTAAATACACAAAATGCTTCTAAAATGATTAGAAAAATGTTTTGATAGCCTCAAGGATTCTTTCTCATATCGTATAGAAGAGTTTTAGGGGAATTGCCTCTAATGAAAATAGGTTTTTCAGATATTAATGTAATTTTGTTTGGACTTGATTTAAAATTTTTGTTGTAGGTTAATCTTCACTGCATTTGTCTAGGAACATTGAATATTCTTCATTCTTCATTATTTTTGACAAAAATTTTATAAAATTTATCTTTGAAATTGAAGTTTCATTCAGCTGCTTGTGGAATTTGCAAACCTTCATAAATGATGCAGCCATCAAATCAGGAACCAGAGGAAGAAATGCAAGATGCTTCAGCAGGAACTACTCGCCGTCGAACTGCACGAACTCGTAAAGTCATGTCAAGTTCTAAAGATAAAGTCACTATGCCTTTGCGAAGACAAAGAACAGCATCAAGTGCATCAAAACGCGGACGAAGAACATCTAGAAAGCGTACAGCATCTCGTAAATCAAACACTCGTGGACCTAGCCGATCTCGAAGTCGCTCAAAATCTCAAAGCACTCGCAAGCCATCAGTTCCCCAACGTAAACGACGTGTCTAAACTTTATATTTTTTCATTGGATATGAACATTTTTTTGCCAATAAATTAAAATTTACCGTGCTTTAAATTTTTGAGACTTTTGAAATCTTAACCTTTCAATATTTGCGAATTTCATGTATAGGAAGACATTCAACTTTTAGGAATAGACTGAATCACATTGAAATTGAGTTGCTAAAAGTATTTTATCCCCTACAAAACAGCTGAAGGGTATAATAGCTCTCATGTATTTACTATGGAAAGTTTGTGTTACAGTTAGCATTAAATTTAATTATTTAACATAATAAATCCTTGTTTGTGGATATTTTCATTCAATTTTAATTTTCATATTAGAAAATATATGTCGACTTGTAAAAATATCGAGGGTCATATCTTCGTATTAAGACAACTTAATGTTCGTAATATTTTCATGCTACTCTCGTAAGTAAGGAGTCATGACAACAAATATAAAAAAAAATCATTATGATGATAATGATAAAAATAGATAAGTGTTTTTAAGGTGATGATGCAAAGCTTGTTGCTTAAGGGGGCGATTGTAATGCTCTAACACCTGATTACTGTTTATAGCTGAATTTAATTAATTTTCGCATTAGTCAGAGATCAAGAAAATAAGTGTACAACAATGTATATTTTGGGAATGAAAAGAATGAGCGGAAAGATGAAAAAGAGGATTAACTCAGAAGTATAACATGGATAATCACAACATGAGGTAGCCTCAAAAATATTTTTTAAACGCCGACTACACACAATAATAGGTAAATTTTTTTGGTTTAAAGAAGTAAATTGTTCATTTTTGTGTGTTAAAGTGAGCGAAAGAATTTGTTAATTTTTGTCTGATCAATTTTTATTCATTGTGTGTGAATAGAACAAATGACTATGAACAAAGGAAGTTCCTAAGCAAATAACATTATGATGTTCAATTTCTCATAAAGGATACGAAAAAAGTTTAGCAATTAAATGTTTTTGAACGCATTTTTATATCCTCATTCGATTTGAAACCATTAGGAGTTATTTAAGTCAAGCTCCTTATCACGAAGATTGTTCCTTGAATTCTGAATATTTTATTGATCAAAGTTGAGATAAAACTTTTTGTTATCAATCATAACCATAAGAACTTTGGTTATCATAAAAAATTTGGATAATTGATACTGATCCCACTATCTCCAAGGAAGTGCTGTTTAGGTTTTTGTTGCTTCAAAAACAGCAAAAACTTATTTTCACATAGTGTTTTCTTGATCAAAAAGTATTTATGATGTCTGACTTTTAAAAGAGAAATGATAAAATTAATTTATTAACTGAAGAATCTTGATTAGAAATTAAATTTGAAATTAGAAATTTTAGGAAATAAGAAACCAATGAGCTTTAATAACTGAATATTAAGGAACTTTTTGTCATTTCTACCAGCAAAACTTAAAATTTTCAATTTAAACATGATTGTTTATGACAAATGGTTCATTGATGATATATTGTTTCATGAACAAACATCCAGCATGTCATAGTTGTTGCAGTAAAACTCTTTATCCTTTAAAATAATGCGTTTAAAAAAATGAAATTTAATATCGTGATATTCTTTTTTTATTGGCGTCAATTAGGCATAAATGATGTTGATGACATTTGCATGTTATATAATATTTAAAAAAATATTGCGTACAGCAAACAGGAATGCTTATTAATTTTTTTTTGTCACACCTCAATCAAATAAATTCAAATTCTTTCATTTTATTCATAAAATATCAAATCTCTTTACTTAATAATCAATCGATTGAGTGTAAAAATATGAAAGGCTCTCTTTTATAATCCTCACAGTGATTTAAAAAATTTTTTAAACATTCATAGAATTGCTAAATCGGGCATAAAAAATGCATTTCTTTTTTCTTCAATTGTGAAATGGAAATTTATGAAAAAAAAAAAGATTTGCTAAAAAATATTTCATTTGAAAAGAAATATGGTTGATTGAATCTCTTTCACTCACTCTCACTGCCAATATTCATGGGTGAATAGACCAAAAAATTTCCTATATAAAGGTATTGATACACACTCTTTTCCGTAAAAAAAAAGTTTTGGGTCATTAATAAATGATGCCAATTGATCATTTATGTAATGTCTGAAATGTAGGTATGAATCGGTGATCTTGAGATTATAGTGTGATTCTAAAATACTTTATTAATGAAACTTCTGATTAAAATCTACAATGAGAAGTTGACAGCTTCATCTTCAGCATCTATTACTATGTAAGAGAGTACATACCATAATTTCCATACATCATTCATTCGACTAGTCCACTATTTTATATATTATTCCAACAGTATTGAACATCATTTCGGCACAACTCCCTTCAGATCAGCATAAAATCTCTCCATAATTTTTTCGCACACATTCACACGAAAATCGTTCATTATTAATAAAGAATCCATTTTAAAGAAGGAAAATCTCTTTCCTGCTAATGTATACATGGATCAAAGGATCAACAAAATAATCTAGCAACTATGCCTAACACGATATTCGATAATCTAAACAGTGTGCAGCTGGATGAAGACTAAATTAACAATAGCTGTAATACATTTTTATTTTTATATAGCCGAGGCAGACAAGGCTAGCAGGGTATAATAATGATTATGTCATTTCTAAATACAGATCTCTTCCAAAATCTGCCTTGATTAAATATTTTATACATAAAGGGAGGTCTGTACACATATAAACGATTTACGGTTGAAATCTCTTACATTCATGCATGTTAAATTGATAGTTTAATCCGATCTCATGTTATGTTAATTGACGAACATTTTGCTGTTCCCTTTTCATTACTTGCTATATCCTTTACTCTGAGAAACTAGTTTATGTCATTTTTATATTTTTTACATCCTTAAACTTATCATACTTTCAGGAAGAACATTTGGATTGGAATTTTAATTCTATGGTTTTTCGTGTCTTGTAAAATTCCATTTTCAATAGGTAAATTGCATATCATGCACTATAGGATAAAATCGATTTTTTTTTCCAAAAATTATTTTACTGTCTTATTTGAAAGGTCTTTATTCAAGGAATCAGAATCTATTTTAATTTTGGCCCAAAATGCAGCAGTGACATAGCCCGAAATGTATTTTGATGACCTTCGGTAGTTAATATTTTCAATTTATCAAAACTTTTTCTTGTCTCAACCAATTTTCTTGAAACTTTTTTTAAATGACAGATATAAGCCAAAGCTTTAATATAAATATCAGTCACATAAGTTTTACTTCATGGAAAGTGCATAAAAATTGACGAAACTTCAAATGTTAGTAGTACGGCACACTTTTTTTGAGTATGTGGATTTCTTATGCACTTGAATGTTTTTCTTTTTTCATAAAATTGTAGCTTTTTACTAGATCTACAAGAAAAATATCCCTTTCAAAGTTTAAAATTATTTTTATGCATCAAAAAATTGAGATTTTTTCAAAAAATATACGGTTTTTACTATGTTTTGACTTCAATTGACTATAACTGCATATACCAAGTGAGTGGAGAGACAAGTTTTGAATGTTTTATATAGCCCTCACTTGTATCTTTCTAAAACTGTCAAAACCTGGAAAATAGTTCCGCAAAATTTTCAACTTTGAACCATTTGAAACATCTCATCTGCATGCACCTCAAAAAATCTTTTTCAACTTTTTTCATCAAAATCATGTCAAAACTTGATAAAGCTTTCAGGAATGTTAGAAAATAGTGTTTTTGATATTTTAAAATCAATTTAAGTTTTTGGCATGGACTTGGACCATTTTAATTTGAAATGTCATCATTTTCCATTTTCAATGAGATGTAAATGACTTTAAATACACTATATGCTAAACAAAAAGTATTTGTATTACCTTTTATGTTAAGCTGCTAAAATTTCCTTTCCAACGATATATAATATGTCATATATGAGTACAATATCCCTGAATAATGTTGAAAAAACTGAAAAATTACTCAAAATTCGAGATGTGTGAAGAACCATACTTAACATTTTTGCTCGAAACTATATAAAATCTCAAGTATGTATTTTAAATTTGGTTCTGTTGGAAAGATAAAAGTACTGGCTATTAGATAGTTCAAGTATGTTTCTGTAGAAAACATCAGAAAAAATAAAATTTTTATTTTTACTGTATCTGATAGGGCTGGTCAAACTATGACATGTTTCCCATATGCTAGCAGTGCCCTGGGTAAATTCTCAACTCAAAATTTGATTTTATCTTATAGCCAGTACTTTTATCTTTCCAACAGTACCAAATTTATAATACATACTTGAGATTTTATATAGTTTCGAGCAAAAATGTTAAGTATGGTTCTTCACACTCCTCGAATTTTGAGTAATTTTTCAGTTTTTTCAACATTATTCAGGGATATTGTACTCATATATGACATATTATATATCGTTGGAAAGGAAATTTTAGCAGCTTAACATAAAAGGTAATACAAATACTTTTTGTTAAGCATATAGTGTATTTAAAGTCATTTACATCTCATTGAAAATTGAAAATGATGACATTTCAAATAAAAATGGTCCAAGTCCATGCCAAAAACTTAAATTGATTTTAAAATATCAAAAACACTATTTTCTAACATTCCTGAAAGTTTTATCAAGTTTTGACATGATTTTGATGAAAAAAGTTGAAAAAGATTTTTGAGGTGCATGCAGATGAGATGTTTCAAATGGTTCAAAGTTGAAAATTTTGCGGAACTATTTTCCAGGTTTTCACAGTTTTAGAAAGATACAAGTGAGGGCTATATAAAACAGTCAAAACTTGTCTCTCCTCTCACTTGGTATATGCAGTTATAGTCAATTGAAGTCAAAACAAAGTAAAAAACCGTATATTTTTTGAAAAAATCTCAATTTTTTGATGCATAAAAATAATTTTAAACATTGAAAGGGATATTTTTCTTGTAGATCTAGTAAAAAGCTACAATTTTATGAAAAAAGAAAAACATTCAAGTGCATCAGAAATCCACATACTGAAAAAAAGTGTGCCGTACTACTAACATTTGAAGTTTCGTCAATTTTTATGCACTTTCCATGAAGTAAAACTTATGTGACTGATATTTAAATTAAAGCTTCGGCTTATATCTGTCATTTAAAAAAAGTTTCAAGAAAATTGGTTGAGACAAGAAAAAGTTCTGATAAATTGAAATACATTTCGGGCTATATCTCCAGCATTGCTGCATTTTGGGCCAAAATTAAAATAGATTCTGATTCCTTGGATAAAGACCTTTCAAATAAGCCAATAAAATAATTTTTGGAAAAAAAAATTCGATTTTATCCCATAGTGTCATGTCCGTAAAATATAATTTTTTGGTTCAAAAGTTTGTTCCTAGTGCATTAGATTGGTTCCGATTGATGTTAAATTATGAATTCATATATGACAACAGACTAAAAGGATGCATACCTAGGACAAATTAAACAGACACAAGAAAATCTCGTTGAAGAATTAACTGTCATGAAAAATTCAAACTTGTCGTTTTGGTTTTAACTCCGTCGTGTTTTTCATTCCACGAAATCTGAATTTTTCTTGCATTAAAAAAATATTAAAATACTGTGGTAAATTCACATAAAATCAATTAAGATGGCATCAAAAATGATAACAACAGACGATGGGACTTCAATGACGATTCCAGAAATGCTGAAAAGTATCGAAAGGTAAGTAAAACAATAAAATTTAATTTGTGTTTCTATTAACCTGTGAAAGGTTTACTGCAAATTCTATTAATTCAATATTTATCACTTTTAGATACAATCCAAAGCATTTCCCATTCTTGGAAAAGTATGTTCAGGAACAAGCAAAAGAAAATACATACGACCTTGATGCAAATCTTGCTGTTTTGAAGTTTTATCAGTTTAATCCACATATGCTGAATATGCAAATAACACAATTGATCATGATTAAAGCCATTACAAACCTTCCATTTAGTGATTTTGTGCTCTGCAAATACCTCTTACTTCCCGTTCAAATGAGAGATGATACGATCAAGGAAATTATTTATATTGCTGATATTTTGGAGCAGTGCGATTTTGTGCTGTTTTGGCAACATGTTCAGAACAAGGATAAGGCTGAATTGTTTGAAAAGATTACTGGATTCTATGATTCAGTGAGGAAGTTCGTATGCCATGTTGTAGGAACAACTTTTCAGACTATTGATAAGGTGTACTTGTCAAGACTACTCGGAAATGTTGACGATAAGCAGCTAGCACAATGGGTAAAGAAGAACACTTGGACATTGCAAGGAGATTTAGTGACTATTATTAAGCAAGAGGAAACGATCAAAACAAAACACATTTCAGAGAAGATTGATTTTGAAAGTCTCGGCGGTGTAATTGCAAATTGCTTGTAATTTAATCATATTCATGCATACATACTTTTTTTTGTGAAATAAACTTATCTCATTAACTCCACATAATTGTATTTTATTCCATTAAATCAAAGTATAATAATGTCTCTTAAAATTAAGAAAAGGATTGTAGAAAAAACACGTAAAATATTGAAAAAGCATCTTCATTGATAGCTTCTCAAAATTCCACATCCAGAAATTTCATTTTATAGAGCTTTATAAGTAGGTGATTTTTGTGAATCTTAGTATCTATGTTGTTCTGTATACTTAAGACTTTTTGAATGACTTCAAAATTGGAAAGATGTTGTCGAATGCATCATAAATCTCCTTACGAACCTTTGCACCAGTTAATACGACTTTTCCACTAACGAATATCAGTAACACAATTCTCGGTTTAACCATACTAAAAAGGAGTTAAATCTAGTAATTCGTTGGATTTAAAAATTAAATCTAAGACTTACCGATAAATGAGTCCAGGGAAAAGCTCAGGTTCGTAGCTACTGAACTTGCAATGTGTGAGAACAAGTCCTTCTAGTCGGATAGGAAATTTTACATCACAGCTCCCTACCATATTTTGTATTTTAAAGTCTAAGAACTTAGCATTAAAGCCCAATTTTTGGATGATTCGAGCGTATTTCCTTGCTGCTAATCTTGAATCGTCTTCACTTTTAGCTCCTGTACATACCATTTTGCCGGATGAAAAGATTAAGGCAGTCGTTCGTGGTTCACGAATCCTCATGATAACAGCAGCAAAACGTTTGGGATTATATTCAGCATTACGAGCATGAAGAGCAATTTTCTTAAGATCCAGTTTACAATTTAAATTAACTGTCGAGACGATATTTTGGAGTTGGGGTAGTATCGATGAATCCATTGGTGTCATAGCCATCATTGGACTCGCATCAATTGCAGGCGTATGTACCTCAGGCACAGCTGGAACCATTGGCACGAAAACCTGTAAAATTATTATTTCTTTGAGCATTGCTCGGTACATTGGATGATAGTTCAATAGCTTACCGGTGTTTGTGGCTGTTGGGACATGTGAGACATCATCATTGGAGGTGGAGGATAGGTCATCTGTTTCGGGAGATAGACATTATTTTGTTGCTGTTGCTGACTAAAGCTTTCAAATTTTGCTAAATCTTCATCCGGAATATGCAAAGGTGTTGCACCCATGCTCAAATTGGAATACGGACTAAACATGTCCATGGCTGATGTCTGACTATCTATTTTTTTGATATTAATAATTAAAGTAAATTTTGAGAGGTAAACAAATCAAGTTTATGAAATTTCCGAATTAATTTTAAGGGATGTCAACTAGTTTGTGCGGGAATATTCAAAAATAAACAAATTTCCGTTAATTTTTCTTTTCAGTCGTTTATTTTGTGCCTGTAATTGTTTACTGGCAATTTAAATTAGTCTTGTTCTATACATCAAGTAATCAGCTAGTTAATCAAGCAGTAAGTGATTAAAAGCAAAAACATTAGGGATCTCGATTTACCGGTATTTTTGAATAGTCCGTTAATTATCAAGTTGATATCCCTAAGATCCACCAAGAAAATTTTCGGTGCTCAAACAATTTAAAAATATTACAAAAACAGTGCAAAACTCAAACAAAATGAGCGTAGAGGAAGAAGTACTGCGAATTCACAAGAAGTTGAGCAAAATGACATCAAGTGGAGGCGTAAGGATGATATACTTTTGATTAAAAATTGACTAAATAGTTTGCGCGGTCTGTGTATTAAGGAAAAACATTAAGAATGTGTTTTTTATTTTGTTTTAATAGGAAACTAATCAAGCTCAGGCACTGGATCTTTTAAAAGTGCTACAGGGACTCAAAATTGATCTCGAGATATTGACCAATACAAGGTACATAAACAAATGATTCCAAACGATAGGACAAAGGATTAATAATTAATAATAATGAAATTTCTAGAATCGGAATGGCTGTTAATGAATTAAGAAAATGCAGCAAGGACGAGGAAGTAATAAATTTGTCAAAGAAACTCATAAAAAATTGGAAAAAGCTACTTGCCACTCCAGATAGTCCAAATACAAAGCCCTCAAACGGTAATTCCAGCAGTAGTTCGATCAAGCCTCCAAGTAAAGAGGAAAAGTCTAAGGAATCCAAAAAGAGCTCGTCTCAATCATCTTCATATTCATCCAGTAGCTCAGTCACCGATGTTGTTCGCATAAAGTGTCGTGAAATGCTAGCAGGCGCTATCAAATGTGATGATTATCCAGAAGGTAAGAGTGAAAGCAAACATAATAATAAATAATAATAATAATAATAATAAGGTCGGTTAATTTATTTTTATAATCAATATAAAGCTATTAACATTGTTGTTTAATACTTGACAGGCTGTGCGTCTGCTGAAGATCTAGCAGAGGAACTTGAAGAAGCGATTTTTGCCGAGTTTAAGAACACAGACATGCGTTATAAAAATCGTGTTCGTTCACGTATTTCCAATTTAAAAGATTCTAAAAATGTCGAGCTTCGTGGAAACTTTATTCGAGGAGCTATTCCTGCTACTCGGTAGGGCAAAATTAGTCTTAGTGATTTAAAGCCTTACAATTGTTAATTTAAAACATTTGTATGGTTTGGGGCCATTCACTTATTACGTTACGCAATAAAACGACCCCCCCCCCTTTTTTCACCCCCCCCCCCCCTTGTTACAATATGTTACAACTCACCCCCCCCCCCCCCCTGAACGTTCATAATTTATTTTATTTTGATAATTTTTTATTCTAAAAAGACGGTTAAATTTCTTTTGTTTTTTTTTTTCTTAAACATCAAAATACTGTACAGCTAAATAGGTCATGTTTTGATTGATACCAGTGTTGCAAATGTAGATGTCTACACTAGATGAAGAATGTAGATTCTTCAATAGTTTTTGTCTAGCTAAGAAACTTTCTTCATAAAGATCGATTCTACATGTAGAAAGAAAAAAACCATCTACATGTAGATTGTGTCTACATGTAGATTCGATGTAGATGTCTATAATTCTACATTTTTTCCAGGTCTACATCAGAGAAGAATGTAGAATCGTAGACATCTACATTAAATCTACATGTAGACAGATTCTACATGTAGACACAATCTACATGTAGATGGTTTTTTTCTTTCTACATGTAGAATCGATTTTATGAAGAAATTTCTGTCTCAGAATTTATCTGATCCAGACAAATAGCCAGAATGCAACACTGATTGATACTATTAGTATTCTCATGAATTATTGGATTGAGATATAAAGCAAAAATTTGTTTGTTTTTTTGAAGAGAATTCAAAAATGTCATGAAGAATATTATACCCGATCGAATTTTGGAAAATTCAATCAACTTTGAATGTAAATATTACAATGATGGGATCATATTAATCATCATATGAATGACAGATTTAGAGAGATTTACTTTTAAACTGGTGATTGATTTAATTTTGAAAATTTGTGAATTTGTAATCAAATATTTTTTTCGTGAACTTTTATTTAAAAGACAGACGACAGTTTGAACGTTACATACTTCTTAACACCCCCCCCCCCTCCCCCTATGTTACATTTGGTTACAATTTTTCAACCCCCCCCCCCCCCCTAAAATGCGAACGTAATAAGTGAACGGCCCCTTTTGAAATAACCGTTATTCATTTAAGACATGTGCTTAACTTTACAGCCTTGCTAAAATGACTCCAGAGGAAATGGCCAGTGACGAAATGAAAAAATTGAGAGAAAAGTTCGTCAAAGAAAGTATCAACGATGCACAATTGGTAATTAACTTAATTAAGCATACTTTTTATAAGATTGATAATATTTTGTGCATTTCTGCACGCAGGCAACCGTTCAAGGCACGAAAACAGAGATGCTCAAGTGCGGTAAGTGCAAAAAGAAGAACTGTACCTATAACCAACTTCAAACAAGATCCGCTGATGAACCTATGACAACATTTGTACTTTGTAACAACTGTGGAAATAGATGGAAGTTCTGCTAAACTTAACAAATGAATAATAAAGATAAGTAACAATAAAAGAAACATGCATCATATAAATCCAAATAGTTACAAATATTCGATGAACTTTCATATTAAAAAAACTTTTAATTCGAGTTATTAGATGTAATGCTTTCAATTTTTTTATATAATTATGTCTTTTTTTTTTTTGATTTGAGCAATCTTTGAAAACTTATTAAATCACCAATTTTGAGTTGTTTATCCTCAAACCAGTGTCTTTTAAACTTTGTTTTGTATACGATCGCTAAGATTAAAGCTGATGAAAGATATGAATAGCCTGGCTGAGACATTTAACAGTTTTTGATGTTAATAAACAGAATATAGAGTGTTTTTGTCATCAGAATTAAAGATACATACCCAAAATCACATAAACAAATAGCCAGTCTTACTATCTGCGGAAATATTTGCATTAGAAACGTTTCCATAGTCACAAAATCTAGTTTAAAGACACTGACTTACAAACCTTTAATATAAATAAAACGGAGAAAAGATTTGCAAAATTAAAAACAATTTAGAACTAATCGCGATGACTATATGTTCACAAAATGTCATTTATTGATGAAAAAATTAAAAATAAACAGTTCACAATTTGTGTGTGAAAAAAATAATTAAATAGTAAGGAAGGAATCTTAATTGACTGAAATCACATCAGATTTTTGGTTGACCCAGAAGGTTCCACCGTTTCTTGCGACTGTTGCATAGACCACGACCTTTTCAGACAAGTTTGCTGGGGCTTTCCACAACATCTTTACGGTTCTAATTCCATTTGTGATCTTTTTGTGTGTGACGGCGTTCTGAGAATTAACAAACAAAAAAATTCGAGGAATTGGAAATTAATGACCATGAATATGTAAGAACGTGTCATTTCTGTTTTTGTGGATATAACTTACGCCTTTGCTGTTTCCACAATCATTCAATTGGATGTATTGAGAGCTTGGTGAGACATCAAAAGAACCGACTGCTGTATCTCCAACACGAGCTTGAACTAAAAGTCCTTTGAAGGTGTCATCAGCAGTCTTGCCTTGAACTGTGATTTCAATTGTGTCACCGGCACGGATTTTGTTCTTTGAAAGGATGATGTTATATGGGAAGGAAGACTTTTGTGGATCAACATGATGTCTAGGTGTCATTGACGAACATTCCTGTTGATTAATTTGGTTAAGTGCCATGGATAATTTTATTCAAACATGTCAAGACTTACTGAACTGGGTGCACCATCAGAATAGCAGTAGCTAGAGCCGACAAAAGCAACCAATACAATAAAAACTTTGAATTCCATTTCTGCGTTCTGCAAAGTTAAGAAAATAAGGCAAACAACTTAATGTCATGTTAAGATTCATAGTTCAAACCGGTAAGTTCATGATCAATCAATCAATTATAATACAAACTAGCAAGAGTCGCTTAAGACGCAATGTTTAACTAGTCATACTTAAAACAAAAAGCTTCAGACAGGTTTTTACGATTTCAATTACAATTGAACACAATTTTTGTTCTTTAATTTATGCAATTATTGCTGTCTTGAGATTTTCATATAGAGATTATAGACTAAACATGCTAGCTTTACAACCGGTTTCTCAATGCAATTGCAAAATTTTTGACCATATATATATATATATATATATATATATATATATATATATATATATACACATCGTTTAGATCTGCATACATTATAATAATTTATTATAAATAATACTAGTGCATCGGATCTGTTGAGCAATAGAGATTGTTAAATGTGAATGACACTTAATGTGAGATTTTAATCCACGGATTAAATTTAAATTGCAGGATTTATTTAATGAGCCTCGTCACAAATAAATTTTATTGTACGTGAGTGACGCTTTGTTATTCTTGATTATCTCCTTATCCTTAAAAGTGACAAATTTGAGAGTTACTTTTTTGAAAAGAGAATTAAAATTCCCATCTATTGTTGTACAATTCATTTCTTGAAACTTTATAGTTGCTTAAAAAAATCACTTTAACTCAGCGTCACTCAGGTACAATTTTTGGGAATTTTGCTATATCTTCATTATTGTAGAATGATATTTTGAATTTTTTCGGTTGTGATTTGTTTGTTTACAAACAAAATCGAAAATGAAATTTTAAAAGTCACGAAATTATCACCCAATAATGATGTAAAAGCTCTTAAAATAGTCAGAACATCTAATGTATCATCTACTTTTCGTATTCAAATCATGATATTTGGGATTAATGATTGAATAATCAAGAATTTTGAGAATTTAATTTTTGATGTTTTGTATGATAGTGTTAGTGAAAAATTCAAATTATTTTTTTCCGTTAAGCAAAAATCTTTAAAAAAAGTCGAGGTCCTAATACAAAAACTTTTGATGGTCGATTTAATTATGAGTTTTATCTGCAATCCTTTAATGATCGTTATTTTCAAAAACCATTAATGAATAAACTCTTCATATCTATAAGTAGCAGACAGGCCAGTGGCAGAAACTATACTTTAAAGTATATGTTGACATTAATTCAACAGACCGAGCATTTTCTCATGCATAATTGCTGAGAATGTTACTGAGAGTATAGACAAACAAAAAAGTCTAATTAAACGAGCTATCGGAAATGGATAAAACAAAAATTAATATGTCGATTTTTTGCTTGATGATACTTTGTAATCATAGAACCTTGACATCTATCGCTTCTGATGTTTACGAACGTTTCAAGTATAACCACTTTTCCCATAAAATACGACACAGATTTATCCAAAAAAAAAAGATTATGATTGCCGTCATTGTAATTTTATATTTGCGGAAAACTTTAATAAGTGCTTGACTAGCATGTCTATGATGTCAATTTAAATAACTTAATTTGTTTACTTTTTATGAAATAATGGATAGTCAAATATTGTCATACCGCGAAACAAATGAATCTTAATTTTATCACGACCAAAATCAGTTACTTTCTCTTTTTAAAATCATTTGAATGTGGACGAGATGGAAGTCGGCTTAATTAATTAAACTTATTATTCCATCTGTCATGATCGAAGGCTATCAGGCACTGACAATTCTAATAACAAGGTACTTAAATCTATTATTGACTTTCATCGAATATGCTGATGACTTCCGTAAGATTTAATTGATCTCAACATCACGAATCTAATGACTAGCTTTAAATATCATAATTATTGATCGCTCACCTTTTAAGCTAAGCTATTCCGATGTGAATTCGTTAAAGGACAAAATAAGACTAATTTAAAATCATTGAATGCCTAGATTTATAATCAGCGAGAGCATCAAGTCGAGAAAAGTGGGGAATCTAGAATTAACAAAAAATTTAACATTTCCTTCAACGTATTTTTTACTTTTGAAAATTCCACGCGAAAAATACATAGTTTATAATTTGAAAAATCCTCAGAACTTTAATTGACTTAACGACAATTACAGCAAATAGTTATCACAGGACATGATAAGGAAGACTGTAGGTATGAGTAGGATATGAATCAATGACAAAATCAGGAATGGTGGGAAAGCTAAAGTAAATTATTCAGTGATCATCCCTTTGTAAGTTGTGAAAAAAGAAGGAAAAAATTAAGTTTAATAAATAAATAGCAAAATCATATATTTTAGTCATTAATTAGATTTTAAAGAATTATGTGGTGCAGTTAATAATATTATTAAAGTGAGATTAAGTTGTTAAAATTGAAGGTTTCATTCAAATCTCTTTGTAAACGTAAAAAAAGAATTTCTACGTCGGATATTGTCTGTAAAATTAACAAATTAGTGAATTTAATGCCTCTGCTATTGAGATAATTACAGCTAATGATCACAGTGATATACATTTATTAAGCTTGATTTACTTATTTCTACAAATGATAAGAAAACTTCATTATTAAAATTAATTTTTTAAAAAAAGGTATTCTTTTTTTGCTTTCGTGGATATTTCTCATTTTCTTATTAGTGTATTATGTGTACCTTTTTATATGTACAGTAAGAATAATTCAATTACTCAGAGTGTTTTGTTGCGAACGCTTGTAAGAAACTTATCAGAATCTTGTTGACTTGAATGGCTTAATAGTTGATGTTGGATAGTCAAAATTTGATCCATATTAGGCACACAAAAGTCACCTGTGTGAAACACTTTGACATTAATCAAATAAGAAAGCTGTGTGATTCATGCAATTTGGCTGAGCCGGTTTTGTTCACTTAGTGCTTCTTATTTTCTCTTATTTTATTTTATTCTTTATGTTCTTCGTGCTTTCGGCAAACAACATTAATATTTGGTTCACATAAGATTGCACATAATCTCATATAATTTTAACGGTGCTGGATGTAAGCACCCAAATAAGTTTTGTTTGCTGTAGAGGTCACGGAAAAATGAGTTTTGAATGAAGCATTTTAATCATAATAGTCGCATCTTAATTTTAACTAACCTTGTGCATTTATTTTATATTTGATAATTGTGTCGTGGCCTGGCTTGTCTTGGCTTGATCTTAAAGGAAGTTTGAATGAGAACTGAAAAAATTTCATACATCAACCTGCACCAACAACAAGATAATAAAGCATCAATGTCTGGCTACTCAAGAATGTTTCGAGGCAAACTGCGGATGAGTACATGTCGAATAATTCTCATAACATCACTAGCATGGCTTCTAATCGACGTAATTTTAATTATGAAATACTCAGACGGATTAAATGGAGGAATTTTTAGAAAATCTAGACATAATGAGGTGAGTTAATTTCACTTGACAAATTTTTTCATTCATTCATGCTGTCATGTGTGTTATCAAGACTTAAAAATCAGCTTAATGCTCTCAACAAAGGCCAATATTTACTCGACTATCTGCTGGGTTTAGAATTCGAAAGTGAAAGCAGATTGAAAGGAAAATCCACAATTTTTTTGCTGTTGTGCTTTATTTTTCGTAAGCCATGCATTGAAATTTGTACCATCATTAATTACTACAAAATACAACATGCGTACTTCTGTAGGAATTATTATGAAATATAATGTATACAGTTGTTTTATTTATACTCAGTGTTTATGCAGCGAAAGATAGTTTTTGATGACTCAGTTCAAGTGTGCGGTAGTGATTTTTTATTCCAAACATTTTAACTTAAAACAATTAAACAGTGCAGCGAATTTTTCTTTTTAATTTATTAGGTTGTTGTTTTGGTTAATTTCCTTTCAAATCACTGATAAAAACTTCAATTATGGCTTTTTGAAATAATTATGATAATGAAATGCTTGCAAGCCGCAAAGTTTGTTTGCTTCATTGGTGCAATGTCCGCATTTTAGACTTCATTGCAGTGTTTTTTGCATTTTGGCATTTAACCTCTATCTAATTCAATTTATTTTTGGTTTGACATCATTTGGTTTGCATTTTGTGGACATTGCCTATACCAAGGCCATAGAACTCCCAAAATAGTATAGCCGCAAGTGAGCATTGTGCAGTGACGTATACAAACTATTGAGTAAAATTAAGTTAATATGAGCAAAGTGTAGTTAAATATTGTAAAGTAAACCAAAGTATAGTAGAATGTAGCAAAGTGTATTAAAAGTGTAGCAAGTGTACTTAAGTGTTTTAAAAGTATAGTCAGTATAGTAATAGTATAGCAAGTGTAGTAAAAGTATAGATAGTGCAGCATCCTAAAACTGTTTAAAATGGTTTAAAACTTTAAAAATCAAAATGTTTAAAGTTGATGTGCATTAATTTTGAAATAACGCATATTTTACCATACCATTTATTTATAAACAGTCAATATTATCGCAACTTAAGAACTACTTATTATTTGAAATTTAATGCATTAAAATTCTTTTAAGTCTTGAGGAAATATAAACAAAGATAAAATGAATCTTTTCTTATATAAAAAAATAAAACTGTTAAACTAAATTCAAATATTTCAACATTAAGGATGTCTTCCAAATTTCGAAGAACAGTAACAAAAGAAAAGTGCATTCATAGAAATAATTGTATGGTTTTGAGGAATATCAAATATTCAAATATTTGATTTTTCCGATTTTTAATTTCAAATATTCGATATTTGGTTTTTTCCAAAATCATACAAATTCTAATGTTTTTTCTATGAGTGTGAGAATCAATGATTTTTGATATTGTTGGTTTTAGGGAATATGAAATGTTATCAACACTTTTGATATTTATTTTTTAAAAGTTTGTTAAAAAGTTAATCTTGTTGAAATAAAAAACTAGCATATTATAAAATGAATTTAAAATATTACAAACTTAAGGTATTAATTAGAAATTTCTTTGACATCTGAATCCAAAGATTATAGATAGCACGCTGTCAGTTAAACTAAAAATATTTTGAATTTTCCCGCAATTTTTTCGATGTTGTTTACGAAAGTTCGAAAATGAATTTTTTCATGAATTCTCAAAATTTCCTATTTTAAGTAATTTTTGGTTCTATTTAAGCATGTTGCTGTAATTATTCAGTGATAATAAAAGATTTGCAACTGTCATAGCTTAAATTATGCTTTAAATAGATGAAAAAATTGCAATTGAAAATTTTTGTCTTAAATTGTAAACAAACTTGTTTTGTTGACAAAAATTGGAAGATAAGAATATGATTTGAATCAATAAAAAAAAACCTTTTTACAGCCTTATAAAACTAAAACCACTTAAATACAATATAATTAAGGAGTTTTCAATCTTTACACGTGCATTTAAAATTGTAAAAGCAATAAAATACAATATGAAAATCATAACGTAAATAACAATTTCAAAGTTTTGTCGCGAAACTTTTCGAATAACAAAAGCTGATGAAAATTCGAGTAAAGTGCACTAAAGTGTAGTAAAGTATGGTAATTTTAAGCTTAGTGTGGTAAAGTATACTAAAGTGTAGTAAAGTAAAGTAAAGTGTAGGTTAGTGTACTTAAGTATAGTAAAGAGGAGTTAAGTGCAGTAAAGTTTAGTAATTGCAGTGATTGTGATACATTGTATAGTAAGTGTACTGAAACATAAGTAAAAATTTATAAAGTTGAGTAAAAACGTAGTGATTGCAGACATAGTACAAAGAGTTCTATGGCCTTGGCCTATGGGCAATTCCACGGATTGATTTTTTCAAAAATTTCGTGTTTGAGATCATTTTTCTCTTAATTAGGCAATCTAGACAGTCCAACGACTGTGCATACTTATGTAAAACGCCGAGTTCTATCTTCTGGATGTAACTGCTTCTTTCTATATGCATTAATTAAGCAAATATTTGATTTTTCGCGAGCGTTGCACTATTTCAAAATATGGAATTCTGATTTTAAAATTAGTTTTTTTTTACCTTTTAAATATCTAGACAAATATTGAATGTTTTTTTCCTGTACAACCTGAATTGCTTTATGATTCTGTAAAGTCTTTGTAGCCGTTAAGTCACTTATTAATCAGAAAAATAGAATTTTGTAAAACATGTATTGAAATAGTGCAACGAAAAGCGTCTCCTCAAAATTTTAGTAAAATTTGAACTTTTAAAATACGTTATAGTTAATTCAATAAAATTTAAGGTGATTGTTTACGATTTTTGAGTGTGAGAAAGATTAGGAAAAAAAAGTGTTAAAAGATAACTAAATAAAGACGAAAACAAGTTAATTTATAAGTTTATGGTTTTGAGCAAGATTTATAAAATATGTAGAATAATCGAATTTGTTTGTTTCTCAAGTTTTTATTATTCCAAAATCTAACGGTTTTTTGAAATTCAAATCTACAAGTAGAAAAAGAATTACAATTTGCTTTTTCTGAAATTCCACTCATCTGTGGAATTGCCCCTATACTCCTTGAAAACTATCAAACAGTTTTGAACCAACTAGTTATTATTCAAAAATTATTATTTAAAACAATAAGCATTTCTTTCAAAATCACACGCATGACGCGATTTTCACTATTTATTCAATATTTCATTCCGGTTGCCTTTTTCCTCATATTTCTTTCCCGTCTATAGCCCAAAAATCATGTGTCTTTGTTTTCACAGCCAACTGCTGATAAATTAAGCGGCGTCATCGATGAAGATCCAATTGTAAATGACGAAGAAATTGACACAAATCTTAACAATGTCGATCACGATTTCAATAATGATGATGAAGGTGGCATACACATATCCAAAACATATCGATCGACAGATATACGAAAATGGAGGCCAGCACCAGTCGTGCGTGAGAATGTTGGAAAACCTGGAGAAATGGGAAAGCCAGTAAAAATGAAGCCCCATCAACAAGAGGAAATGAAAGAGAAATTTAAAGAAAATCAATTTAATTTATTAGCTAGTGATATGATATGGTTGAATCGATCATTAGCTGATGTGAGGCATAAAGAGTAAGTTGCCTTAATTATCTTCTAAATAACATCATTAATATATCGTCAATTCACAGCTGTCGATCAAAATCTTACCCCAACAAATTGCCAACAACAAGTATAGTTATAGTTTTTCATAATGAAGCTTGGACCACATTATTGAGAACAATTTGGAGTGTCATAAATCGTTCACCCCGACCTTTATTAAAAGAAATTATTTTAGTAGACGATGCTAGTGAAAGGGATTTCTTGGGTGAAAAATTAGAAGAATATGTTAAGACACTTCCAGTTTCAACATACGGTAATTATCCATCACATCATCAATATGCTCAACTTTACAAATTTATTATTTTTTTTTATTTTTTTAATTAACAGTTCTTCGAACAGTTAAAAGATCTGGTTTAATTAGAGCTCGTTTGCTTGGTGCTGCAGCAGTTAAAGGACAAGTAATCACTTTCTTAGATGCTCATTGTGAGGTAATATTGTCGTCACTTTTTATCTAATCTAATTTACACCTGTTGTAAAAAAAAAATGTTGCGTTATCTTAACAGTGCACTGAAGGATGGCTGGAACCATTATTGGCTAGAATAGCACTCGATAGAAAAACAGTCGTTTGTCCAATTATCGACGTCATTAGTGACGAAACATTCGAATATGTCACAGCATCTGATCAAACTTGGGGTGGATTTAATTGGAAGCTTAACTTCCGATGGTATCGAGTTCCTTCTCGAGAAATGACACGTCGAAACAACGACAGAACTGCTCCATTAAGAACACCAACAATGGTAAGCTGAATTTTTAATTTATAACGGTAAAAAATATTCAAAAATTTTGTTCAGTCATTCATAAATTCATTTCAGTTCAGTTCAAATATATTTGAATTTCAAATAACTGTTTAATTTTATTATTCCAGGCTGGTGGGTTATTCTCAATTGATAAAGAGTATTTCTATGAAATCGGATCATACGATGAAGGAATGGACATTTGGGGTAAGTCAAAATACCAGTCTTGTCAATTATAATTTAATATAAAACATGATTTTAGGTGGCGAGAACTTGGAGATGAGCTTTCGTGTAAGTATAATAATTAAATTAAATTTCTAGATCAATTTTAAATCTTTAGGAAAATACAAATAGATATGGCAATGCGGTGGAATTTTGGAAATAGCTCCTTGCAGTCATGTGGGGCATGTGTTTAGGGATAAAAGTCCTTACACTTTCCCAGGCGGCGTTGCTAATATTGTCCTTAAAAATGCTGCTCGAGTAGCTGAAGTCTGGCTTGATGAATGGAAAGAATTTTACTATGCAATGAGTCCAGGTATTTTCAACAAAGTCAACCGTTGAAGTTTATTAGCTACTAACTGTCATTGCCATATTAACACAAACATTAATTGAAATAATTATAACAACATTTAAGCTAACAACTCATTAATTAATTTAAAACATCATTTTGTTTCTTTCCTTGTGCTTCTATGCTTACCTTCATTCATACTTACTTACCCATTCATTAATTCATAAAAATCAAGGTTTGGATGTGTGGTGGCTCGCTCGAAATTGTCCCATGCTCTAGAGTGGTAGATATTATTTCCTTACTAATAAATTTAAATTAATAACAATTTCTCATGCATTAACATAACATTGCTAATCATATTTTATTAACCTGCTTTGTGTGTATGTATCAAAAAGGGACATGTCTTTCGCAAAAGTACTCCATACACATTTCCTGGCGGTACTTCATTGATCGTCAATAAGAATAATGCTCGTTTGGTTGAAGTTTGGCTTGATGAGTGGAAAGAATTTTATTACAATATTAATCCTGGTAATTAATCTCACTTTCATTAGTTGTGGACGTTCGTAAATGATGTGATACGCTATTTATGAACGACCGTCCTAGTTATCTCATTATTATTTTTTATGTTAACAAAATTAACCACGATTTAACGATTAATTCCTGTCATTTGTACTAAAATGAATTAAACTTTCTAGGTGCGAGAAAGACATCAGCTGGGGATGTTTCTGGCCGATTAGCATTAAGAGATCGTCTTAAATGCAAAAGCTTCCGATGGTATCTTGAAAACATTTATCCAGAAAGTCAAATGCCTTTGGATTATTATTTCTTGGGAGAAGTAATTTTATCACTTATTTACTTAATTCTATTAATAATAATATTAAATTTCACAATTTAGATTCGAAATGTTGAGAGTCAAAACTGTTTAGACACAATGGGCCACAAGTCTGGTGAAAAGGTAGGAAGTAGTTATTGTCACGGATTGGGCGGAAATCAAGTTTTCGCTCACACAAAACGGCAGCAGATCATGTCAGATGATAACTGTTTAGACGCATCGAATGCTCACGGTCCAGTTAATCTAGTGAGATGTCATGGAATGGGTGGAAATCAAGAATGGAATTATGATGAGACTGTAAGATAATTTTCCTCAATTTTCAACGGTTTTTAAGAAATTTGAATTTTTTTAAATCGCTTGATTAAAAGTTTCAATCTTATGATTTAATTCAACTCGCATCCGATTTAATGAAAATAATTCAAACTTAATTTTAGGAGCTTACAATTAAGCATGTAAATTCAGGAAACTGCTTGACTCGACCGACTAGAGAGGATCCATCAACTCCATTGCTTAGACCATGTAATTATTCCAAGGGTCAGCAGTGGCTCATGCAATCTAAGTTCAAATGGCAATCAAAAAAAGGCACAGACGATGAAGAACGAAGATAGGGTTTAATAAAACTAGCCAATATGGATTGAGTGTATTTATTTTCATATACGTTCCCAACAACCACAACACAACATGATGATGTAAATTTATTATGATTTACAGACAAGATGAGAAATGTTCGTTTAGTTGACTAGATTTATATATATATAGATATATACAATATAATAATATAATATTTACAAAATACGATTTCCATAGACAATCAGTTATTTTTGTGCAACACTTAGATTAGATAGATTGTGAAGAGAATTATGTGAAATCATGAAAAGGAGCATAGAATAGAAGAGAAGAATATTCTTCGCAGACCTAAATGTGATCAAACTATAATTTAAAAAAAAAATATAAAGAAGATGAGAAAGGACCTTTATTGATTATTTTTGTCTTTAAATTAGCTACTATAATTATTTTTATTATTGAGTTAAAAACTTGAAAGCATTTCTTTAGTATAATTGCATATCCCGAGAGAGAGAATGCAAAGCACAAATAATCAACGGAACAATTTTTGACATCAAATCAAATGTGAATAACTTAGAGATTCAAGTATGAATTATGTTGTGAAAAATCAAAACAAAAAAAAACTGGAGATCATCGCACCTAGTTTGTAAGTAGGAATCAAATTAAAGAATATTGAATTATGAACATAAAAATAATAATATCTCTTTGACGTACTATGTGCCAGATAGGATCATATTTGGCAACGAAAGGAAATACTTTCAATGCATTCATTTAAAAGCTCTATCAGACATCATCATAAATTAGCTAACAGTATCCTAAAAGGAGAATTAAATTGCATTTTTGCCATGTAGAAATTCAAACGGCTTTTTAAAATTCATATTTTATCGGATTTTCTAATTTCAAATTTTTAACAGTTGATTTAACGTCAATCCTAGAGTGTGTTATTGAGTGCTGAACGCCAATTTCTAATCAGACTCAACTATATCAGACAGCACGACAAAAAAGTAATTCCTGCAAGGCAAAAATGCTCCAAATCAAGACATTGTAAATACTTAAAAACAGATCAAAAATCGGAGTGTTTTGTATTTTCCCGAAAAGCAAAATAACGAATAACCGTTATTACGAATTACAAATTTACGAAAACTTTTAAAGTAAAAACTTATAGGATATAATTTGAATCTCAAAAACCGTTAATTAAATCAAACATTAAAAGACAATTAACAATCATTTCATCATTTAAATGCGATTAGATATGATATAATAATTATTATAAGTTCAAGGTTTAATAGAACTACAAAAAGATTTGCATTTATTTAGATTATTTAAATATTACACATTCAAATAAATGCAAATCTTTTTTGCAGTTCACTTAATCCTTTATCTTTTATTAATTATCAAATTATGTCTAATCACATTCAAATGATGAAATTAGTTTTGATTGTCTTAATATTTGATTTTATCCAACGGTTTTTTGAGATTCAAATTTTATCCTATAAGTTTTTGCTATAAAAGTTTTCATAAAATGGAAAATTCGTAAAAATGGTTTTCGTTATTTTGCTTTTCGGGAAAATACAAAACACTCCAAAAATCATTATCATTAGTACAGAGAATTTTTCTATATATCTGGTGTAGGTGCAATCTTTTTACTTTTTCATATCCTTCGAATCAATAATTTAAAAAATGATTGAAAACTATAAATTTATTTAAAAAAAGAAATAGAACATAATTAAGGATGACGTTTAATTGGTAACAAGATGAGAAGATTTATGTAAACTCGCCATTAATTTATTATTTTTTTTGAAATTAATTAAAAAGGAAATTCAGCATTAATGAAAAGAGAATTGTTTTTCATTTGCTTAAAGTAATTTTAAATAAAGAAAACTTTTTATAAATAAGAAAATCAGTATCGAGTTCTTCCTGAAAATCGAACAATAACACACTTGACACAAGTAACTTTTGGAACTTAATTGAAAGACTCAATTAACTTTTATTCATCAGATGTTATGGATTGATGTGAATGGTATTTTAGTTCATTTCTCTCAAACGTCTGACTGCTGAGCGTACTGTTGCGGCTGCAGTTGTAGAATATACCCATGCTCCTCCAGCGACTACTCGTTTACATCTCTTACAGCTCCAGATTCCAACGCAGGTTCGTTTCATTGCGTCCTTACCGCAAAAACTGCATGTGTACTTGCCGTGCTGTGAAATTTCAATTTTCTTCACCATTTTTCTTAAGGATGCACCATAACGAGTACCGTATTTTCCAACGATTCCGACCTTCTTTGTACGCTTTGCCTGAAAATTGCACAAAAATATATTTTTGGATGTTGTTATTATAATTTAATTAAATCAACATTCATCATCATTCAATAGATGTTGTGCTACTTACCATTTTTATAAAATGTTATGATCAAATGATCTTCCTGCAAGTATACAAAATAAATAGATATCAACAATAAGTATATTTCTGTACATATTTTAACCTAGAAACAATCTACAAATTAAATTATTTAATTTTTCTACACTAATTCACATTTCTGCGTGAATTCTTTAAGTGATACTAGTGAGTGCTTATGTTAAAAACAATATCCACTATAATTCACTTAAGAGAACAAACTTTAACTATATTTAATTAAGAATTTTAAAGAAACAAACCTTTGACGAATGGAAAAAAATTCAGAAAGAAAGAAATTCACAAATTTTGTCACGCAAGTTCATTGTGGAATAGAAATTCAAAAAAATTTTGACTGTTATTTTTCATATATTTTTTTATTCATATTAAATCCATTCCAAAATACATCAAAAAATCAAACATTTGTGCTACATCAAGAGATTTTTCATTAATTTATTATTTTTAATAATATTGATTATTCATGTTTTCATAACACAAAGTCATATAAACTGCATGCAATTTAATTGGCCCACTTTGTATTACTCCAGAATCCTTCAAAATCATCGGGAACGTCATCACTGTTGCTTTCGTAATAAATCTTCTCATCCTTATTATCTGTAAAAGCATTCAAGTTGCTGCCTATCATGTCAATCGGATTAGTATTTTGCATGTAAAACGGTCTGGCTGATTGATAGTAGGGTGATGTTTTTCCATTACGCATTTTTAAGTGCTGCCTTAATCTACATAAAAGAGATGACAAAAAAAAATTATGTAAATTGCAGCATTAGCATTTATTATGAATCTCATGAAGTGTGAATGACTCATTGATTTCCTTAACTTGTCAAATTATTTCATTACTACGGAATTAAAGTTTTCTTAAGAAATTGTGGGTTCGGGGTGGTTTCGTTGCCTTAATCCTTGACTTTAGTTTAGTATTTATTTTAATCTTTGGATTTAAATTTTTAATCCTGGATTTAGCTTAGTCATTTGATGGATTTAAAATATCTAAAACTTTGATAATTTTTAAATCAATGCAAATGATTCTCAATAATCTGAATGACAAAAAGGACATCGGGCATGTAAAGTTGCTTTTATCAAAAAGTCATTATCAATTTTTGTTGAAGTTCTTATCAATAAAAGGACATCAGAAGTAATAAAAAATTCAAAATACCTGTCATTGTAGAGTCGCTGTTTGAATGGATTATCAACTCCATAATCATTTAAAAAGCTGTTGCTCCAATAGTCTCGCGCGATGTATGGTTGAGCATTTTTTTCATCTAGAAAATCATCTCATTAAATATTAATAAGACATATCATGTTGAGAGGAAAGAGAACAAGCGTATGTCAATAACATGTGTATGATTTATTTCAGGTGAAAAAATGAAAGAGCATTACCTTTAATTGGTTGGTTGCTCCAATTTGACGCAGTTGTGTCGTCAAGGATCATAAACACTAATATTGCCACTACAAAATAGCACTTCATAACTCTTGCTTTATTTTTTATTTTCACGATTTTAATAACTTGAAAGAAAATTTACAACTGAATTTGTCGCATGATGAACATTTCCTTTTATATCCTTGCTGCTGCACAATTTCCACAATTTCCTCGATTTGTATTTGTTGAAAAATTAACGGTTGTGAAAAATTTGAAATGAGTTCGAAATTTCGATATTCGCATTGCAAAAAAAATAAATAATTTTCATCTAAATTTCAATTTTAATTAATTTCTACGCATATTCTTAATTATTAAACACGCTAAAAGTGTAAGTGATAGTGAAAATCTGCTGTAATTAATCAATGGATGTTATTAGGTGAGTCATAATGTTGTTATCTGTGTAAAATTTATTTAAAGAGTTTTTATCGCAAGAAAAACAAATATATGTGGCAATATTGGACATAAAAAAGATCCAGTGACAATAAAGGAACTAAAAATATACTTCATTATCTTGTAGTATTCAACTAGAAACAGCATTATTAGAGGACGATTGTTCAGTAAATGAAATTTATTCAATATGTAGAGGCAAATATACATTTCCAGAATTTCTACGTGCTGATCTGTGGACATGTTGCTTAGTGACTCATAAGACAGATGCATTATCACATTTTGATGAAATATATGACTTACCATTTCAAAAACTTTTAAGACAAGATTGCCAAAATTTCATCGACACTTTGGGAAATGACGAAGGAGATAAAATCTCAGTTCTGAGTGATATTGAGGCAATTCTAACATTTTATTGTAAAAATCGCAACTTAAAGTATGAATCAAATAATGGATGGATTGAGACACTTATGCCGATCTTATCACTAAAGCTCAAACGGACGGAAATTTACAATATTTTTGAGGCAATTCGAGACACATTCATTCCAAAAGATAATATAAAGCACGGAAATGTTTATCATGTATTTCGCTTATTGATCCTTTATCATGATCCTGAACTTTGTGCAGTGCTGGATACTAGCAAAATTACTCCTGATATGTATGCAAATCAATGGTTCCAATCACTTTTTGCCTCAACTTGTCAGCTATCTGTTGTTCTTCCAATATGGGATTTGTACTTTCAACAGAGCGATCCATTCCTTGTATTCTTTCTTAGTCTCATAATGCTGGTCAATAGACGCGATGAAATAATTGGAATGAGAAAGGATGACAAAACATCGATAATTAAATTTCTTTCAAATATGCCGTGTGAATTACAAGCTGACGATGTTGTTGATTTCTGCTCATTAGCACAATTTTATTCAAGTAGAACGCCTTCATCATTCAAATCTGAAATGCTTAATCAGCTTTTTGGACAGCAAACGAGTGTTGAGGAACCAATTGTTATGTCACAGGCCTTATGCTTGCCAGTTTCGGTCTATGAGTTAATTGAGAATACGTCACAAACCAAAGAAGGTGCAGTACGATTTTTCCTAGTCGATTGTCGACCTGTTGATCAATACAACAGTGGACATTTAGCGACAGCTTTTCATCTAGACTCAAATTTAATGTTGACGGAACCGACGTCATTTCAAACGGCTGTACAAGGCTTATTAAGAGCTCAAAGAAGTGCTATAGATGCAAATGCAAGTGGTGAGCATTTATGCTTCCTCGGATCAGGCAGAATTGAAGAAGATCAATATACGCACATGATTATAGCATTTTTCCTTCAAAAGAGCACTCAATATGTGTCAATCTTAAGTGGTGGATATGCTGCAATACATGATTACTTTGGTGACGGCATGTTTGATTGTCTCGAGGATCATGACTTTACCAGATGCTTAGTATGCAACAAACCAGGAGCTGTGAATAGAAATCAAGCTAGTAATTTATTTCATCGACACTCAATCGCAACAAGTAGTCCACATCAACAGTCACAAATGAAAGATAAACAACAGCCACAACAAAAGCAGCAATTTGATTTATTTAGCAAATTATCGTTTGCAATGAAAACGAAAACGTCTGACGTAAAATCGAAATTATTTGATTATATAGCACATCCAGCAGCAAATAGTAGTGTGCCACAGAAACAAGAGGAAGTGACCGAGAGACATGTGTCGATGAGTGAGAAGAATGGAAAGAGATACAGGAATTTACCACCAGTTTTTGGATTAGATGAAGACTATGATCATGGTGGCAACGAGAATAATGAATTTTCATCGTCCGATGAGGTTGACTCGAATCGAGTAAATATTCAGGAATACATTAAAAGCATGCCAGAACTGGTACAGTCATTTAAATGCCAAGAGGTGCAGATTAACGGTGCTATGTACGATAGTTATTTGATTCTAACAAAGAAAAGAATCGAAGTGATACGGGATCTTGAAAATGGAATGGGAAAGGTCTCAATAAAACGTCCTCTGTCCAATATTGTAAAGATTACAGCCAAGAAGAGATATCGTGACTTAATTACTTTCAAATATGGAGCTCATGATGAAAATGGTGAAAATTTGATAATAACAGGTGAGTCAACAATCTAGCATGTGTCGCGTTGTTATTAATTTATTTATCAAGCCACTAATCAAAATGTTTTTCCTTCTTTCCATTTCGTGTCATGTAGATATGGATAGATTTTTAATACCAAATTCACAAGAAGCAACAAAAATCATTTCCAAATATATTTTACAACAATTATAAAGTTAAATTCAGTATTGGATGAAAATTATAACGGTTATTTAAGCTTTTAAAATTTTACAACATAGTTTTTGAATTCAAAAAGATTAAAACCGTCATTATAGATTTAAAAAACAGCCTATTTTAAGGGCTATTTGAGATTTGAAAAATATTTCAGCATGATTTTTGAATCTAAAAAGTCAGTTAAATAGTCAAAAAGGTTAACGATTTTTCTGAATTCAAAAAAGCTTAAAGCATAAGTTTCAAATCCAAAAAGTTCGTTAAATTGCCAACCAGATAATATATATTATTGCTACAAAAATCTAAAGTTAATATTTAACATTCAAGTACTTGAATCTTTATTTCTCCGTTTAGTATTAAAATGCATAATTTAAAGCAAAGATATCCATAGAGTGAACTTATTTTTATTGTTATGTCATGACTCATGAAAAAAATGAAAAGAAATAAATAATAATGATTATTAAATAACGAATGCTATGAAGGAGATGTCATTCATTTTTCTAGAGTATTACACTAGTATTACGAGTGTATGAGTAAGCAGGAAATAACGGCCGTACAATTTGAATAAGCCCAATGCGATTCGCAGGCACAACAGAATGTAGAAAGGAAAAATCGTTGACGAAACGCGATTTTTTTTGCACAAAAGTTCATCTTTTATTTAAAAATAATTTAGTTAAACTGAGTTTGGCTACTGAATTTATGTCAAAAAAATACAGACGTGCCATAGAAGTTTAATTTAAATATCGAGTACAATTTGTGTGTAACATCAATTAATTTATATACAAATTTGCCAGGTATTTGTCGTCAATAACTTTTGACTTTTTTTTCTACACTTCTTTTTTTTTTGTATATTTAAATTATTTCCATTTCCTGATTGTATCGAGCAGTTTGAGTGCTTAACATACATGTATTCATAATTATTAATGAATGAATTTGGGACAATCGCTCAAGTGTTTTTATTGTGTTTATTAGTGTTTGCCAAAAAACTCGTGATTCTTCATGTGAGTGTGAGGTCTTTTTTGGGGGGTTTCTTTGACACCTGTTTATTTTTCAAGTATACGCAAGCTCATCAACTCAAAATCTCGCGAAACTAAGAGAAAAAAAAAAAAATAAATAACTAGGATAGACGTGCTCACATGTGATTGACGTACGCGCATTTTCTCTGTGTATACAGCATTGCTGATATATATATATTTCACAAATATCCGGTAAAAGTTGATTTAAAAATTTAACGGTCAAGAGAAATTCAAATTAAGTTCGATAAATCTGTTAAAAAGATTTGAATTAGAACAATCCGTTAAAATCATCCTACAAAGATAGTCTCTTATTAAGCACCTTGTCAAACTGCAGACAGTTTTGGATGAAGACGCGCTAAGAAAAAGAAGTGTGTAGAAGAAAAATAAATTTATTTACACATAATACTGTTGCTGAAATCTTCACATCACATTGTACTGACGAATATTATTATTATTTTTTGCTTCTTCTCCGTGCCTTAAACATTACAGACAGACAGAGTTCACTCGACTTATACAGAAGCATCAACAGCGAGTAATAATTGCCATTATATATAAATATTAATAATAAAAGAGAAAACAAAACAATTGTCAAGAGCATGAAGACTGATTGGAATGAAACGTTTAAATTTGAGGAGCAAGAAATTGACTTGGAACAGCTGACAACAGCAAATAGTGATACAAATGGAAGCATTGAGTCGTTATCAGGTGAGTTTATTCAGTGATGAGAAAGAGTTTTTCATTATCATTTGTCATGGCTCCTTTATCCGTTACGTGATTCCTATCGAAAAAACAACATGCTTATCTTAATGCCTTTTGGAATACACAGCACAGGGGAAAAAAATCTATAAATCTAGCAAAAAAGTCTACATTTACTTAGGAATGAATGACAAAAGGGCATTTTATGCCGCATAGTATCAGTGAAACTTAAGCATGTGATTATTGGCAATGAACTTGTTTTTAACCCATTAATGGCTGGGAATATTCATTGGATTGGAATATTTTTGGTTGTAATTAAGTTATTGGGTAAGACTTTGGGTTCTTTTTGTGTAAATCTTCATTGTTCAATGTCTGGAATTATTTAATGGACATCAAATTTTAATCAGACTTAATTAATCCGATTGGATTATTTTTTAATTTAAACCGTTAAATTTTAAATCCTAAGATTTTTAGGAGGGGGGGGGGGGGGGGGGGGGGTGTGTATGAGGATATGAATTTTTTATTTCTGGATGGTCGTCATAAGTTAATATACCCTTCATGACTTATGGCGACCCCACTCAGACTTAATCTCACTTAATCGCAATCTAATCAAAGTTACACAAATGTCTAGCCACACAAAGTGAATTCCTTACTGCTTTGTCAGTTAAATGCACTTAAAATATAGTTGCACGAAGAAGCGAAATAAAATCTCATTTAATGACAGATTTACGAGCTAAACATATGTTTGCCGCATGCGGATGAATTTATTCAAGCTTGCAATTTGAAATAGCTAAACAATGACTGGTTGTGCATGCATACCTGGAATTGAATGTTTATAAACATATTCATGACACTGTCGAATCTTGATTGCTTTTTTTTTGCTAGATCAATGCCTATATGACCTTCAAATCATTCGATTTTTCCTCTCTTCTATCACGTGTAAGTTCATCGCGAGTCAGACCTTTTTTCCATATATTCTCTTTTTTTCACTTTAATACTCATATATGAATATTTATAGTCATAACAAGACGCGCGATCAAGTTGTTTTGGTGATATGAGACTCTTCGATTATACATGCACTGGTTGTTATGTGCTTTAATATATGTATAAACAGACTGTTCCATAGAAAATTTTCACTTCTGTCGCTAATTACCTTTAAAAAAATTATAAATATGATCTAATTACACAAACATCAACAAGTTTCCAATTTTATGCAAGATATTCTAGATTTTCTGTGCCTTATTGTTTGGTGTGTGGGATTTTTCCGTCCTTCAATATTCAATTTTAAACTTTGAACTCAACAAGAACTTCTATCTTGTGATTTCCTTACAATCTTGAAATCTTTATTGTCCAAATAGACGAACAGGTAGCATAGACACGCTTGTTTTTCATTGATTAATTCTTTTTTCGGCAATAAAATCAAAATATGTCAGTCACAAAGTCTAACAAGAATAAGAATTTTTCAAAAGGCTCTAATGATAAGCATGAAACATCTGCCGACTATTAAAGACTGGTTTTTCAACATCCAGAGAAAAAAAAATCCTCTTCAAACGAATGCTTAATATTAGTAATCAAATACACAAGAATTCGCTGATTCGTCAATGCCTGATGCAAATTAATTTTATAGAAATAAGAATGCATGCACTGCTGATATCAGCAGAAAATTATTAAGTAATCGCTACTCTCTCGCCTTCTCAATTTCTCAGTTCGAAAACTTCCAGTTAGATCTTATAAATCTAGTTATGTCTCGCTCAATTAATGATACAGTCTGCTAAATGGGACAATATTGTTCATCGTCGCTCATTCTTCAATTAATTTGCACATTTTTTGTTCCGCATATATCTAGCTATCGCCCAATGAAACAGATTATAATACAATTACTAAAAAACGCAATGAATGTCAGCATTTCGTAAGAAAAATGCGCCGTATTAATTGCTTTATATTCTGGATAAAGCCAGTCACAAAAATAAGGTTGATGTCATTTTTTGTGTGTTTTTCGTAGGCGGATATACCAGATTGTGAACAATTCGAGGGATTTCTAATTTCGGGGGAATTTTATTGTGTATTATTTGAGCGATAACACATATTTGTGGAAATTCCATTAATAATCTTACATCCTGACTTTTTGCGCAGTGAATTTCTTATTTGTTTTACCGGCTTTTTTGTTTTTAAATGAATTAAACTGAAATTAAATTATTGCTGATGAACAGACAAAACATTCAGTAATCCAAAAGTAAGTTTCTTTTCAGTTCAAATTTTTGAAACCATTTAAGATTAAAATCTCAAAAGTACGTTAGAAATTCAAATTCTTAAAATCCGCTACAACATAGTCGATTTCATATTAATTTCATTAAATAATCAACTTAAAACCAGTGTTGCATTCTGGCTATTTGTCTGGATCAGATAAATTCTGAGACAGAAATTTCTTCATAAAATCGATTCTACATGTAGAAAGAAAAAAACCATCTACATGTAGATTGTGTCTACATGTAGAATCTGTCTACATGTAGATTTAATGTAGATGTCTACGATTCTACATTCTTCTCTGATGTAGACCTGAAAAAAAATGTAGAATTATAGACATCTACATCGAATCTACATGTAGACAGATTCTACATGTAGACACAATCTACATGTAGATGGTTTTTTTCTTTCTACATGTAGAATCGATCTTTATGAAGAAAGTTTCTTAGCTAGACAAAAACTATTGAAGAATCTACATTCTTCATCTAGTGTAGACATCTACATTTGCAACACTGCTTAAAACCCATAAATCAATAGAGTTGTGTTCAAAATCAATTCTCTTAAGGAACTTTCGAAAAATTCTCTTAATAGGCATCATCAGCTGCCTTTAGACTCCCTTCATTTGGCATACATTTGTCGCGTGCTTGTTAGTCATATTCTCTGAGAAGATATTTCGTAAAGAAGAAATTCTCACTCATAAAACAGAAGGCAAAATCACGTGAATTTTATAAATACAAGTCATACGTCGCTGATATTCATCAGTTCAAGTTGTTATTTCAAGCACATCGTTTCGTGCGAACGGAGAGAAAATAATTTTTTTTTCTTTTAATTTTTGTCATTTTAAAGAAGCTAAAAGCTTACATTGTTATCCAGAGGGAAAAGTGCTATAAATATAGCAATAAGGAGATTACCATTAAACTATAATAAATATTCAGACAATAAAGTCGATCACTGCAGTTCCTATAAATAATAAAGTAAGTGAATTAAAAACGCATTTGCAAGCATAGAAGTAAAAATGATTGTGAGACATACAGAAGAAAAAAAAAAATAATTGGAACAATGACGATCGAGTGCATTTAATATTGATGAACATTGTGATTTGCGGATTTTTGCATTGAAAAACTTGTTACGCAAATTCGTTTTGTTTTACAAAATAATCAGATCGCGCGCGCGTGTCCAAGGCTTTTAATCTATCAATCAAAAAAATTTATTTAAAATTAAATTAAATTGATTTATAAATAAAACTTATCTAATTTGCAGCTACTACCGGAACAAACTTTAATATGTCATTGGTTGGAGTACGTTCAGCACCATTCTTGTTAAGTGACTATTGCTCATCAATTCGTAGTGTAAGCGTGTCATCATCGTTATCGGACATGGCATCTAGTTCGTATGACTTATCATCAGACACACTCAATCTCGAAGACTTGAAGGCTCAATTGGGTCAAAGCTGTTTAAGTTGTGGCGTTTGTTGGACAGATGATCATTTTTCATTTGACTGTGCCGAGTGCGGTGGATATGCAATTACAAAACCATGTCCCAAATGCGATGGCTCGTGCGGAAATGTCTGGACGAGAGATTTCTCAATGGTAAATATTAAGCTTGCATTTTGTTGACATAATAATGACACATGATATTTACTTTTCTATCTATAGACTCATACTTATCGTACTGCAAAGTGGAGTGGAATCTGTAAATACTATGGCAATCCATTTGAGACTCGTCCTGCAGAATCAACAATTACTTTCATAAATCCTTCAACCACCTCATGTAGTATGAGCCATTTTTATCCCAACGACTTGTGTCGACGTCTAGAAAAGTTGCACGTTCAGAGTTAAATTCATATGGATGTCTATATTTTAGATCCATTGTATAAAGGCATCATCAGTCATTTTTTTAATTAATTAGATAAAATTTTATTATTTAAACTGGTCAAACCAGAATGAAAAGTACTTTTTGCATATAACATGTAATGTAATATTGTGTGAGGTTTAAGATAAGAAAAGGGGATGCTCGCAAATGACGCCAAGGAATTTTGTATTTTCAACTGTCTTAGATCCTTCAGAAGTCTCATAAAGTTGGATTTAATTTAAGTCTTGAGATTAAACATTGGATTTAAAATTAATCTTCATCTTCAGCTTAAATTTGAATATTCGGACCTCCAAAAAAACCAATGTTTTGAGTGACGTCACTTGAGAGCGACCCCCCAATTAGACAAAAAAGAGTTTAAAACATTTTTTGAAAGAGAATTGACAGGGATCAAATATTTTTGTTTCCATCATTATTATTGCAAAATATAAATATAAAAAAAAGTCCTTAACTTAACAAATGCAAAAATCGTGAAAAAAATGTGATATGTATTCGAAGACACAAAAGAAATTTTTAAATATCGTAATAAATTTTCTACAATAATTGTATATTTTTCGAATCTCTACGCATTTAAGAAAAGAGAAAATTTATTATTAATTATACTAGAATTATTCTTTAAAAGTCGTTTTCTGCATCAAAGAGAATTTTTCTTTCAATTTTTGTTTCCTTTTTTGTTGATTAATTTAAAATCTCCCTTAAAATTCATGAACTTTATTAGTTTTTTTTTGTGTTTTTTTTACAAAAAAACAAAAATCAAATTCAAAAAGATAAATTTGAAAAAATTTCACACAATGGAAATGACGAATACTTAATTTTTAAATAAATTAAAAAGTTCTTTAAGTTTTAGAAAAAGAAGAATGTTGTTTTAATTGCTTTAATTGAGAGTGTAACAATGTAAGTTAATTGAGTAATTAATCAAAATTTTCAATTACAGCAGAAACACGTGCATTCTTTGCTCTCTTTATATTTACTCTGATCTGTCAGATTTGAAATCTAAATTTACATTTTGGGTTATATTTTGAAATCTCAATTTTAACGAACTTTTCAAATTTGAATGAGCTAAAGTGAAATGAACTTTGCAATTTACTGAATAGTTTTCAAATTTAACGGTAGTTTGAAATTCAAAATTAAATGATCTTTTCAAATTTTAATGAACTGAACTGAAATGAACTTTAAAATTACTGAACAGTTTTATTGATTTGAATTCTTAATTTAACGGGTTTTTAATCATTTAATTTTTAATTTTAGGAATAATCGTCATTTGTGAATCCTGATAAAGCTAATCCTTAATCAATTGTAAAGAAAATTTCCACTTGAACTCCACTGATCTTAAACAATATCAGCAATAATCCTTGGATCAAGACATCAGACTCAGAATGCTCATTAGTCAGATGATTGATTAATTAGAGTACTTCCTGAATTTACCCATCCATCAAAAGTGAATATAAAAGCTCATTTACTTTTTGCAAAGAATGCGTTCATAAAGTATAAATAAGTATGACATAAAAAACACGTTTAACAAAACGACAAAAATAATAAAAGTGGAAATGGTAACAAATAAAATGCTGTATAAAATTATCATCCGTAATGATAATTGATCATAATAATTAGGCCATTTTTTCTATCCTCATTTCCTACAACTTCCAATATTCTACAAAACATTAGATTCGCGTAAACATCGTTAACATTATTTTTTTTTATCTTAATCAAAAAATTCAGTTTATGAAGGAAATGATGACTGCAAGTTGAGCAACTATTTTTTAATATTTTTCTGACATAATCATGACGAAGAGCGCTGACCATCCAGTAAATGGATAACATCCCATTCCTTTTCCTTGGTCACTATACTGCTCCCAAATGTATCCTGTAGTCTTGTATTGCTTCAAGACATTTGCCACAACATTATTTCTTAGTTCTGTATAAACTTCTTTGGCTTGTGTCGTATAAGGACCTTTTTGATGCATATAATAGTATAAACTTCTTAGTGCAAGGTAATTGATGTTGATCCAAATCTGTCCGCGCCAATAAGGTGGATCGTGCTCGGTATTACGTTTCATGTATAGTGGAGATGACTTTGCTAACGACCTCAATCCATAATTCGTCCATATTAAATCCGGATCTCTCATTTTTGTCAATGTTATGCCAAGTATTGGATTGTGTGGCTCAATAATTTGCAATAAAAATGGAAACAGGTTTACATAGCCGAATGTCGTATCAACAAGCTTCAATTCAGGATGGCCATATACCACGCGAATCTTATCAAGAACTTGTGGTCTATCATAAGGACTTTTATTTGGATTTGGCGGGGGAGGAGGGGGTCTTTTAAGTGAAACGGAATCTGTGTGCAAGCCATAGTCAGCAAATGATTTTGATTTTGATGAATAATGTTGACTTTGAAGGAGCTGATTGTCAGTTAAGAATTCATAAGTTTCTTCGTACTTTTCGACATTCTTTCCCAACATATTACCCAACTGAACCATAACACTTGATGCTAATGCTATCCAGCATCTTAAATCAACATGTCTCTCAGAATCGGTTGGATGTGACGATCTAGGAAAATCATCAAGTCCAGAAGTTAATGTTTTTGGATTTAATTCATGAATGCTGTTCTCTTGACGACCTCTCCATCTATAAGTTCCTAAAACTTCACCACGTTGAGTTGAATTAAACCATTGGAACCAAGCATTCAGACGAGGATATAATCTTTCAAGAACAGCTAAACGCCTACTTTTAAGCATTTCTTCTAAATAATTGTCAAGCATGTGTTTAAGTGTAATGAAGAATGTAGGAGGATTGGCATTCGTATTGTGTTGAACGACAAATTGTTCAGGAACTTTGGCAAGTGCTTCAACGCCCAGAATTTGCTCTCTCGGAATCCATCCTTCAATGTTAATGAGATCAAACCAATGACTAATGATGTCTAATTCTATATCGACATCCCATGTTGAAATTAACAAGCCATGAAATCCTTCGTCCCATAGAAATCCTGAAATGAAAGTTTATATTGATTAAATTTGATCTCGTGGATTTAAAATTAATCGTGAGATTAAAATAATTATTAGACACGTCAGTAACATCATCAGAATATAAAATCAATACGAACCTCTGGGAAAGAATGAACGTGAAGGAACAGCTGACAACAAAGCAGCCTTCCAATAGGGAACTGGACCTTTATTGTGTATGCTTTGAACTTTAGATGATCCATAAAAGTATCCGATACTTCCAAGCATATTCGATAATGCTGCTTCAGCTGCTTTAATATCCTCATCGCTGTATCCTTTCTGCTTCAATTGAAACACGTCTGAAAATCTCGTTTGGAACTCTGTGCTTTTCTTAGCTAATAGTTTTGTATAATCGTCCGCAACAGGTAATGGAATAAGGTCCTCAGAAAAAGAGCTAGTATTTGGTGTATTTTGAAAAGTTATATCTAACGTAAATGGAAGTTCAACGTTTAATTGGATAGCAACAAAATTAGGTTTGGTCTAAAATAATAGAAATATAGGGCATTTTTTAATAATAGTAATTAGACATGCTCAAAGGTAATTTGCGTACCGTTTCATCGAGTGTATCACCGGCTAATATAATAAACTTTTGCTTCGTAACTTTATCGCTGGCTAGACGCAAATTTGATAAGACAGTTTCTTTTAAATATTGCAGGCTCGGTGCAACTGTACTGAGGAACGATTGCTTAATAATTTTGCCTCGGGTACTATGTAAGTTGACTTTGAAGTTTCCTAGATTCTTTGCATCACCTTCAATGCCATACGTATTTAAATAAGTAGCTTTCAAATTTCCTTCCGTTTTCTCATCCAAAGCTGCGTACCAAATTAAAGACATTGGATCTGTTCGATTTGGATTCTTTGGTTGGACATTAATTCGTGCTGTCCATTCACCACCAAACTTGTTCGTATAGAATTTGATGAAGGAAGTCGTTATGAGAAAATCATCGTCATGTATTTCCTGAATACCAAAATTCTTTCCATCATGTTGTGTCCATCCGTACTTTTTTAAGCCATCTTCTAATTTACACCAATGTCTAATACCGTCGCCATTCTGTTTAAGCATATGAGGAAAATACCACATTAGACCGAACACAACTGAATGTGGATCTCTAGTTTTAAGTCCAAAATACGTATTTGCTCGATACGTATTCCAATAAGTCTCCGAGTCTGGATCTTTTGACACGATTTTTTTCTCATCAATTGGCGTATTTACTCTCGTTTCCTAAAATATATGGACATGAATTAAGCATACTTATAGCTAATCGATAAATCATGACTGGATCTTACCAAATATCCAATATACACAAAGTACATCACAACCCCAATGCTTGCGATTCCAACAGCAACATACCACGATGACAGAGACATCATCTTCTTTCTAGGTGGTGATGATCCTTGACTATTGTGTGTAGTTGATGTATTGTTATTTTTTTCTGATGACGAATTAGTTGAATTTTGTTTCGAGGAATTTTCATGTTGACTGTTTTGTTTTCTATTCCTGACCTATTTATTATCGTGTGATTATATGAATTAAATGTTATTTGATTGACCATGATGTGTTAATATATCTATTTACCATTTAATTTAATTTTTTCCGACCAACGATGAATTTTCGTTTCTGATAAGAAGTTTTGTTATTGGGCAATTCCAAAAATCGCTCAGCATAGACATTTATTCATGATTTTATTAAAATTGTTCAATGATTCGGTTTAGAAATGGTTATTTTTTGAGTTTTTTAAAGTAAATTGCGTGAATTGTTAAAATTCTGTTTTTAACGGCTTTTATTCGCCTAAAAACGTGACTGAAATTCAAAAAGTTGTAACAGTTTTTAATAATTTGAACGAATTACTTTGGAATGGAACTGTTCAATGACACGGATTAGCCAGTAATTCAAATAATTCATAACCGTTGAATGAAACAATCTTAATTTTCAAACAGTACATCACGAAAATGCACTTAATTTTGTTAATCTCATAATCCCCTGAAATATTCTTAAAGATAAAAGCATTCCTAAACATGAAAAGACTGTGATTTCGGTACGAATAGGCATATAATTTATTTTAATAGTAACTATAATTCAATAATTAAGCATAATAAACTAGATTGGTGGCACTAAGTCTAATAAAAAAGAATTTTACAAGAATGTCTCTTGTGAATAAATACTAATCTTTGTAACATTTTTACTAGTTCTACTGACTTCATATGCATCTGTCGACTCATCAAAATCCATCTCGAATAGCCTTCTGTGAATTTTTGTGATTATCGAACGAATAAATTCAGTTAATTCATGACTCGATGATGTCAATTCTAGCTGTTTTAAGGTATTAAGAATATGTTTAATGCTTCTACGCTTCGCTTTTGACTGAGATGAATCACAACAGTCAAGGTGATGAATGGTAAGAAAGATGTCAAAAATAAAATTCAAGATATTCTTGCTGGTTAGATGATAGTGACTTTTTCTATTCTGACTCATATTAAAAATTACAGAAGTCGTTTGTTCCTGGGAAAAAGAGAAAAACATGAATATACATTAAACCATTGTTCTGTCGTTAATTATAAATGTTCATTTTAATAGCATTCTTGCTTGCTGCAGCTACTCATTATCATTCAAATTGTTGGGATTCTATCAAAATTTATTTTTGAGCGTCGACAAAAGTGTTAAAGTTAAAAATTTACCGACCAATAAAATTTCAAGTTTGTTTACAAACACAATCAAACAACAACAACAACAACAAATGAAAAATCGTGAAAACACTATTAAAAGCAACTTAAAAGCAGTTTAATTATAAATTGCTGAATAATTGCAAGCCTTCTTTTCATAATCAAACAATCAAATCGTGATTAATTAGCTAATTGCTTTAGAATTCTTAAATTGAAGAAAATTTGCTTTTCCTTTGATTGTGTGCATAAACAGCATAAAATTCAAAATACTAAAATTCGTTAAAAAAGTCCCAATTTATTAGACAATGCCTAGCATAGAAAATGTGTATAAAGAATGTTCTCAACTTACCACAAAGAATACTGTATATTCGCCACTAATTTTCTGTTCAAAGACTTTCGTCAAGATTGAAAGTGTTTGATGTGAGACTAAAGAATAAGTTGATGAAGACACAAGACGAGATAAATTGTTTAGGACTGCAACACATATAAGTAGCGTTTGTGGATTTTTAGTCATTTCTAGTAAATGGCTAATTCCTTCAATGTAGTCATCAGCATACTCGACAAGCTCTTTAAAATTATTACAATAATCTGATGCTTGCCAAGGCGCTGTGATTGATGCTAATAAGCTTATAGATTCTCTCACTTCTTGTTCCAAGTGATCATTTGTTACTAGTCGTCTATCAATGATGATATCACGTAGAATTTCAAAGCCACTGTTTAATTCAAATTGTTGAATTGTCTCTTCTGTGGTACACGCGAGGGACAATGTCCTTAGTGAAAGAGCTCTTATCCACGAATTTTTATTTTCTAAGCAGACTAGAAGAAGTACTCGAACCAAACTGTTTGTAACAAAAGCATCGTTCAACGATGAAAATGTTCCTTCATATTCATAATTACTTGATATTAAATTTGCTATGTGGGTGATATTTGATCGTAACATAATTTCATTATTTGCGTGCTCAATATTTTCAATAATGGCATAGACAAGAACTTTAAATAATATTTTAATCGTGATTAAGAAATATCGCTTAATCAACTGCATATCATCATAAATTGGAAATTCATCGAGGTCGTCAGCGTCAATTTTTGAGCATATATTCTTCAAATCTTTCAGCATTTCTCTTAAACTTTGCAAATTCTCTGACAATTTCTTAAATTGCTTTGGCTGATGTGCAAAATACATTCGTCTTGATTCCTGCTTTGCAATAAATTCAATCAATAAGTCGGCTAAATGTTGAATTGCTGGCAAAAAGTCATTTCGATTCGGACATTTTTCAACCTTTTCGAATTCCTGTTGAAGCATGAACGACTTGATTTGAAGACTTTTAATTAATTTATAAGCATATGTTGGTGTCAATACGATATTCTCTGTTTCAATTGATTTTGATTGAAGTGTTGACATGACTTCAGATGAAAATGAATATTTAAGACTATCAATCCACGATTGTACAGATTCTAAATTTCCATTAAGCAAGAGATTCTTATAAACTACTGGTTGTGGTAATAACTCAGAAAGTTGTCTTAAAATTCCGTTATTCCTACTTTGTTGTGACTTTACTGGGGTTGATGTTTCTGTGGGAAACATTTCAATCTTTGCTGACGAACTAGGGGAATATAGCAGTGACTTTTCTTCCATTACACTATTTTCACTACCACATCCAAAATATACAGTCTCATTATTATATCGATTCTGATCATCTATTTCCGAATAATTGTTATTACTATCGACAGTATCATTCAATGAGCTATTCGGTCTTGTGCGTGTTGAATTTCTTGTTATCACTCGGCTACGCTTTAATTTACACGATCGACATGATGACCTAGTAGAGTCATTGATTGTATTCATGAGTGATGTTGTATTGAAATTGATATCATTGATTTGTGATTGAAGTTCAATATTATCGCTCATTACAGGCGATGACGGTGAACTGAACGAAATTCGTCTTGCTGTAGTGATCTCTTCATAAATGTGATTTTTTTCTGGTCGTCTGATTACTGTCGGAGGGGTTGCAATTCTACTGCTTGCAGATGGTGAACTTTGATTTGATTGGTTGCTGTCTGAAGTGTTCTTTGATACATTATGCTGGTTATTATTGCTATTATTGTTGTTATTTGTTGGTGATGTGTCTGTGTCAGAAAATCCTGAATCCTATATTATATATGCAAATAAATAAAAATAAGTATATGGAAATTCCATTAGATGACTGATGTAAGATTTATATTAAGAACAGGTAAAGAATGTGTTAATACTGTTGTATGTCTGCCATTTTTGAGAATTCAAAGAAACATTTGAGATTCATTAATTAATCAATTTGACATTCTTATTGATTTAAAAATGAGCATTAAAAGAATTAGACTTAAATACCGAAATCATCTTAGATCAAAATTTCTGAAAATTCAAAATAAATCCAATGATGTCATAAAAATTACCGTCAATAACTCGTCGGTTACACATGACATTATGCATCATAAAATCAGTAGTTTAACACTTTCTCTGACAATAATGCAATTGTGGTAAATTAATTTTTTACATACCTGACTTTTGTGACTCTGACTGGAAGGACTGTGTCGATTTCCCCAAATAAGGAAGCTTCGTTTACGCTCATCAATTGACTCGTTTTTCGGTGACGAAAATGATTCCTCTGTGATTGATTGAAGCGGATTTTTTGCATTATTGTTGCCATAATAAGTAGGTAACGAATAGAAATTATCGTATACTGAATTCTGCTGTGATCCAAACCACACTTTACTTTGAGATCGTTGAAAGAAATTTGATTGCATGGCTATAATAGTTTGTGAGGAATAGAGGGAGAGAAATTATGTAGATTGAGTTTAATATGAGCAATTGATTTCTAGCTTAATTGTTTCTAAATAGGCAGCACAATTATTATGATGAAACCGAGCAAACAGCATAAAAATTGTTCACATAAAGGTGAGTCACAATAAATTTCTCAAGAATATCAATTCGTAGTAAACGGCGCAGATAATGCCTGTTTGAGGAGTGAATATGTTTCGTATGGAAACTTGTAGATGAATGAAAATTATATACCTTGTATTAAAATGACGCATTCAGATTGTTCACGCGATTGGAATTCCTTCGAGGCATTAATTTACATCACATCTCATAGAATATTGAATCACATCTTTTTCCATAGAAAATACACATACTTGAACGTGCTGATTATTCTTAATCCAGTCCCCGACTACCTGTTTTGCATTTTATCATTTACTTAAATTCTTTCTTCTTCCTTCTTAATTTAATATTCACTGAAAGTCAATCACTATTATCACTTCCATTATGTGCTACAATTCTGTTTGCTCTACATTTTCATCTAATAACTGTCCTTATCCTGCATTTAGATCTTTTTATCGCTGATAGTAAGTATGTCATTCAAATTTTACTTACCGATTCTGATTTTTATCACAAATATTGTCTTGTCAGAAGCTATCAATACTTCTTTGTCCACCACACTTGTTATATCCAAGAATGTTTATTTTTTTTTTGCGAAATGTTTATTTATAATTTAAAATTCCTTTACACCTTTATTTGTTTAATTTGCTGTATATTTGCGGATCACGAAATATTTCTTACAGAGCACAAAATTTGTACGTCTGAACTCGTTTAATGCTGTCTCAAAACTGACGAATTTATGTGCAAACAGTATGATCAAGCACCTTAAAACATTACAGCAATACATAAAACATTCAAAAAGCATTGGTATGATATCAATATAGGAAATTTCCTTATCTTAATGCTGTTCCAGCCGTTATTTAATTGAGACATTTTTTGTACATTGGCATTGCCAAATACTTAACTTTGAGAATAATTTTTGTTATCAACTGCCGCGGCAGTTACGAAACAATCAAGTCTCTTGTTATTATTGTTTATTGTAGGTCATGATCAAACATAGTTTTTATAGATGCAGCATATTATTCTAACAGGCCTGACTTCACACATGTGGATAGAATATTCTAATAAAAATGCTTTTAACTTTATTATGATGATGATTGTCAATAGATCTGGCTGAATGAATTGAACTTGGTTTTCGACTAGATGTTGATTGCAAAATAAGTAAGTTTTAAATACAGTCAGGTACGGATGGAAGATAAACAATAATTAAAGTAACAAAAGAGAGAGATGAGAAAATGTTAATCCTTTCTTCTCAATGCATGCATATTGATGAGAGTCTTAAGAAGATCAAGGCTTAGTAGTACTCAAAGAAATTTCAATCAACTGGTCAAAAAAAAGAAATTTTTTCACAAAATTAGGAACTGCATATTGCACATTGCCGTGTACAATAGCTACATAATGAGTACTTCTGATTTTTCTAACGGTTATATTTACTGAAATTTTCCCCTTGCCAACGTGTGTTTAATGCACAAAAATCTATAATAAAGCACATAGCAGATGCGCTAAGCATAGAATTAAAAAAATTGGGGTGAGTTATCGGGTATGATGTGTTGTTTCTATGTTTTCAATTTCATTGTAGCCCTTACTATAAGCATGTATACAGCAATTCAGATGGTTCGATGTTGCTTCTGGATGTGTTTGTGACAATTTTTCGTAATTCCAAAATTTTTATCGAGGATCTAAATTGAAATTTAACGATCATGTACAAGATTCGTGGAAGAAAGGCACAGCATTAATGCATTAATTTAGTCAGCTTCAAATTTAAATGTCTCGTAAGACGACATGTTCCAAAAGTCATTTCCGTTAGAAGACAATATACCACGTTCAGTACTTCTTGTGTTAAGGAAGATCGTACACAATGCACAGAAACAAAATAATAAATTCAGCCCCTATAAATTATTGAATGAGAGAATGTTCACATACTGACACGCGTCGTCGTATCTTTTCATGTGTGACAGATGTTCTAAAAATGTTTTACTTTATTTCCATTTTTCGTCGCATCCATTCATTCATACGGTCGGTGGTTGGTTGGTGATGATTAAAATTGTAAGTTGATGAACCATTAATTAATACTTGATATGGATGATAAGGTTTCATTGACTTACTTTTATGGATTGTTTTGAAATGTGCCAATTTGATTCCGTAATCTCTTATCTATCGAAGCCTTTGCTGATTCCAAAACTGTTTTTGACCTGATCTTTAACGGATTTTAATTTAAATTCAAACTTTTTTGGAGGGGAAATACTTTGAAACTTTAATGTCATTTAATTACTGGAAAATGAAGGTTTACAGTAAAAATTGTTGCGTTTCTAAAATGTCAATTAATTCTTCCAATAAATTAAAATCTTTCAGGAATTAGTCTACACTATTTTAAAAATTAACAGTCACTTGAAATTCAAATTTTAAAATTCAAGAACCCAATTTTTTTGAAAATAAATTATACGTTAATGACAATTAGAAGTCGAAAGATTTAGGTGTAGTTTCGAGATAAAAATGTGCTTAAGAATAACTGTCAAAATAAATTTGAAATCACAGTCAGTGCAAAAAATATTGTGAAATTTTGAGAAAAAGATTATTTCGAGAACTTTGAAAAAGAGGTATAAATCTACTTTAATTAAGCGGAAAACAATGTTTAAAGCATTTGCAAACCAGCAAGTAAAAAAGAAACAATTAATCTCCTGATCAAAGTGATGGAAAATTGAGAAATCATCGGATAAAAAATGGAAAATTCAGATTTGAAGATAAAAACAAAGTAAGTGATATTAATTTGCACATTTTAGCTTATCTCAAACATCCATATTTGGCTATAATATAATTAAATGTAATAAGAAACCACAGAAAATATATGCTGATGGTAATGACGACATCGATAAATTCATGACGTAAATTATTTTCTGTGTGTGCCTTGAAACGTGTTTGTTTATTTATTTCGCAAAGTTACAAAAGATCCAGCGATTTAAATGATATTGATAATTATTTTCCTTAAACAGGAGCGTATCGCAACTAGTTAAGTCACTGGATGATCATAGGAGCAAATCAACATCTATAACATCATTATTCAGTGAAAATACGACAGTTTTGCGTAAGAAACTTGTAGTGTTAATTGAATCTATTTTATTGGAAGACTTTGAAAACATTGGAAGAAAGACAAGAGACATTTTATGGCGTAAAGTTTATTATGATCCAATATCAACATCAAAGAAATTATGGAAGAAGAGGGAAATTGACTTGTGTCATTCAGAAGTCTTGTGTTTGAGCAACTTTATTCGCGAGGGCATAAATCATTATAAAACATTAATCCTTAAGTTCGAAGACACATTTAATCTTGATATTCGTTACATCATTGATTTTAGCATCATTGCGAATGGTGCAAATGCTTTTGAGAAGAAATCAGAGAAGGAAATTTATACTGTAAATGAGACAAATCATGCACTAGAAACAATCCATAGCTTTTTAATATGTCTTGGAGATCTACATCGTTATTGTATTGAATTTAAATTTGGCGAAAAAGACGTTTTTGCAAGCTTTGATAAGCAGCAAGCTGCCAACTATTATAATGAAGCATTTAAATTCAATCCAAAGAATGGTATGCCACACAATCAACTTGGAACACTTTTGGCTGGAGAGAATTATGAATTAAACTCCATCTTTCATTATTTATACTCGTTGTGCTCAACAAATCCAGTTGAATTGAGTGAAGCAAATGTAAGTCGTGTTTTTCAGCAGAATAATGAGGCTTTAGAAAATGCCGTACCAAGCAGCGATGGATTTAATATGAAGGATTTCATAATGCAAGTCACTCTTCTTATTGACATCTTATTCTACGATAAAGACATTTCCGATTTTAATGCAATTTGCTGTAGTGTATTGATGAGTTTTAAAGATTATTTATTGAAATGTCGTCGAAATTCACAAGCAGATGCCACATTTCAACTAACATCCATCTTTATGCTGTGTCTATTTAAATTAAAAATGAAAAATTCACAAAAAGTTCATAGCTTAAATGCTTTTTTGGTTGCATTCTGTGCTAAAATTGTTGAGACAGTCATTGAGGGAATTGATGAGTATATTGCGGATCATAAAGCTGAAAATTTGGTATTTTGTGAAGCATACAATAGACAATTTCATGAATTTGACAGACGAATTAAGAGAGTTCGTGATAACTTCCGTGGAAAGCTTCCAAGTAAAAATCCAAAAGATTCTGGAATTGAAAAGAATGGAAGTGGAAATAGTCAAAAAGACGGTTCAGGAAGTAATCATTTGTCGCAATTGACATCATCAGAAGCTTCTCAGCCTGGTCAAGTAAAAATTGTCAAGCGTCCATCAATTCAAGACAGTCACAATAATAATAATCATGCTAATATTCACAATCGACGTCGCAGGAAGCGCCGTGGAACATCCGAAACAAGTACAGATGAATCAGAAACAGAATCATTAATTAGTGATGACGAGGACAGCAACAGTGATTTAGAATCAATGAATAGTAACTTTGATTCTTATGATGAGTATGATGACATTAGGTTTTCGTCTGAACAGGATGATTATGATGATTTGTCAGATAAAGAATTCAATGATGATATGCAGCATGAAAGTGATGGCGAAGATATTATTATAGAAAACGAGGAAATTGTTTATAAAAACACACAAGATATGGGTCAATTGAAATTTGACGTTATTGAACATCATAATGGAGCTAGCGATGATATTGTTATTGAGGACGAAAAGATTGTCTTTAGAGATGAAGATAATCAAATAGAAACGGAAGTTCTTAAGCTGTTAAAAATGAAATATAAGAAAAAGTACACAAAAGTTGATCCGAATTTAATTTTGAAATTTAATGAGGAACATGTAGGCTGGATGCAAAGTTTAAAGATCCTTTTTGATTGGCTACATCTTAATAATGACATTATGCTTGGATGTTATCGCAGTAATCCTGAATTTGTCAATCAAAAAATCATGAAATTGATTAATGTCCTTAACATTGACATTTTTACGAGAAAAATCTTTTTTGATCGCTCAATGCTCAAGTATAAAAATGTCCGTGAAAATTTGCGACATCTTTTCGACACTCGACATACAATTGCGACTAGTGAGGATATCATATTCAAAAAGTTTCCATTATTCGAGGATTTGCAGCAGCCAATTGATTGGAATTTAAATTACAAGCTTCAATTAACAGCTGAAGAAGATATCGTTTTAAGGAACTTTAAGATTGTTGATTTTGGATTTCATTTGTGCAAAGTTAAGAAGTTTAATTATAGCTTTTGTGCTCGTTCGCGTGTTTTTATTGAACGAAAAAAGAAAAGTCGTCGCAAGGAACGAAACAGGAAGTATAAAGATGATCGTAAAGAACGACGTGGAAGAAAACGTCAAGATCGTAGGAATAGAAATCGAGATAGAGGCGATAGGAAGCAGAGAAATTCAGAATGTGACCGTTTTGAACGTTTATCAATCAAAACTCATTCACAAAATAGTAACAGCCAGGATGTTGAAGAATATCCATCACTTGAAAAGTCTCATCAAATTAATCGTAAAGGATATTTAAGGAATAAAGTTGTTGAACCAGAAGAACTTAAGAAATCTGAACAGGACAAGGCAGAAATGATGGGCAAATTGGGAAAGTTGTGGCTTAAAAATGAAGTTCAGACATTGGAGTCTCGCTCAAAGCCTGTTAATACTAACTTAACGCCCTATTTAATGTTGGATACTAAATCCCTCTCTGAATATTTGTATGTCGTCAAAAATCTTGTCAAAACCAAGAAATTTGTTGTATTGATTCCTAAAGCTGGTAAGTGACTGGTTATTTTTAGCGCATTTTTGAAACTTGTTTCAAAAAGGTACCTTAATAATTCACTTTGATCGGTTGCTCGGCTGGTTCTGAAATCTCATTAACCAGACATCGTAGAGAGTTCTAGTTTGTTTTATTAGCTCTGGTCCATTGTTTTTTTGGCTTATCGATTATTTTCGAAACGTAAAACAATGGATAAATACTATAATTAATGATTTTTTATTTCATAAACAAAACCACGTGATGAGTACGCACGATGATTCAGATTTGAAAAAAATGTTCAAAAATAACAAGTTAATTATACTATATGTTTTAAATGCTAGATTAAAGAACATGATTTGTTTTATGTAAATAGTATAAAAATGGCGGGATAATTTCAAAAACCGTTAAAGGACAAAAAACTTTTTGTTGTACGTAATGCTTAATATTTATTGAAATACAATGACTATTTACTTTATCTTTGATAAAGGCAAAAATTTAGAGCTGTTTGCTAATTGATTCGCATTTTGATGCTTATCAAATACTGATCGCTGCGTCAAAAATGCGCTGAAGTCCCTCGATAAATAACACGAGGAACTTTTAATCTCACAATTTATTTTAATCCATAAATTTCTAATGTAACAGTTTTGCAAGATTTGGATGGAATAAAGAAGACCAAGGAAGGAGCTCGTAATGCAATTAAATGGCTTGAATCAGAATTCCAGAAAGGAAATCGTTTCATGAGAACACAGCGTGAATCAGAGTTCCTTCAGATGCCGCTTTTGAAAGTTCCATCAAAACTAGGTGATTTATCTCTTTATTTTTTTTTTAAAATACGCATATAGACTGGTTATTTTTGGGAAGCTCCATATGCTAATTTATTTGAACTAAACTTGATGTTTGGTTTTTTTCTGAGGATGACTTTACGTTCCTGCAGTAATTTGACACTTGTTCAATTTATGACTACTAAAACAATTAGAGAATTTTTAGTGGATTTAACCACGTTTTGAGCATTAATAAAGTTCAAAGATTCAATTTTATTTATTTATTTTAATCATTAATCTTTTTGTGGCATTTCATTATTAGAACGTGATGATGCAGTCTTTATGAACATCGTCCCATTCGTCAACTTTATCGTTTCAAATCACTCGGCTGATAGTGGAAGCGACTTGCCAGTTTTGACTCTTTTGACTGGCGACAATTTGGATTCGGATCGTAAAAAGTACAACGATACACCAAGCTGCATAAATCGTGCCGGAATATTACAATCAATTCCAGTCAAGTATGATCAGATTGTACGATTTTATTCGAAATATAAGAAGTGAAGCGGAATGGATCGGATTTCAAAATAATGAAAAATGGAAAATCTAATCTTTGGAAATGGTGAAAAGTCATTCTTCGTGAGACAAAATGAAGTTTCATAAAAAACATGGGTGATGACCGCGAAAAAAAATTAAGGGATAAAATTTCTATCAAAAAATATAAATACCAAGTAATGTTTGTGTAAACAGATTCTTCGATGATTGTCGTATGGATGTTGTTTATTTAAAAGCTTTGATTAGCATTCGATTTCTATCGATAATAATTGTCCAAGAAACCATTCATCGATGTTTGATAAGAAATTCTTCCTGGCTTACATCAATTTTTCAATCAACAAAAGTTCTATTCTAATCAATTAATATGCAAGATGCTCCCCCAACACAAATATAGGCAGACTCAAATGATAGAAATGAGAAGGAACAAAACTTTAATTTCCTGGATCAAAATTAATCCTATATCTTATTATTATTTTATATTCTCTTTTTTTTCGGAAGCAAATTATATATTTTTATTAGTTCTCAGTCCAAGAAATATTCATCAGATGTCTACAGACATAATGAAGCTTAGAATGTGTCTCTTTCTTTCCAATATGTAATACAATATGAAGTGAACAATAAAACGCAAATTGAAACAAATATTTAAGCTTTTTACACCTCATTCTTGCTTTTCAGGCTGTTTATTGTGAATTTTAGGGTACGGAATGGATTTGAAATTGTTCATTAATGCAGCATTTGAATGATCTTTAGAATTAATTATAGTTTGAATATTATGTTTTCAATAAAGTCCACAGCTAGTGATGAAGTACGAAGTCAACTAATCAGGAGATTTAAATGCCTGAAATTGATAAACATTTTATATGTTTTCTGACGAAGGATTACTGGATGCTGGATTTATGTGAATTAATTTGTTTTGAATACTCATTTTAACTAATATCATCTTACTGATAGCTATAGCGTGAGAGTAGATGAGATGAGCGAAGAAGTCGAAGGAAAGGGATTCCAATTTAAACATAAAAACATGAACAATGTGATTTTTTCTGTACTGTGAAAAATTATTTAATTTAAGTATAATATAAAGCATATAAATCAAAAATTTATAGTGCAATTTAGTTGTGGAGCTTGCATAAAGTGAAATCAATTAAAATTTAAGCTCAAATTGGTGTTGTCGATGCAAAATTGAGGCCAATTAAAAATTTCAAAAAACTTACTCAATTTTTTTGTGAAGTTGCATAAATTTTGCATTAAAAACATTTTAAACTTCTCTAGTATAAAACTAGAATAATATTAAACACAATAAATGTAAAGATGCTGAATAAGTGACAAATTAACAGTGAATCGTGAGATCCAGTGAAATTTTTTTTTCATTTACAACATCCAGTGAGAAACAACAGCCAGAAATTTAAATGCCAGATTAAAGATCTTAACTTAAGGCATATTCAGTGAAAATATCTCGTCCTAATTTGATGTCAAACTCCTTTATTCTCACCAAAAATTTGTTTACAAATTGTAAACGAAAAGAAATCTTTGATTTTCTCTACTTTAAGTTATTATTTCCTTATCTTGCTAGCTAAGTTAAGCTTAGATTTGCATATTAAAACTACCAAATCAAAAGAAAACTGCTTATTAAGTCTTAAAAATGCAATTGAAATCTGAGTATTTTTACAAAACTTAAACTATTCATAAGTTAAAAAGTCTTCCAATGACCTCTCTGAAACCTATATAAATCGATTAATTAAGCTTAAATCTATCTTCCATATTACTGAGGCAGGGGCGTAGCCAGAAAATTTTTAAGGGGGGCCCATTTTCAAAAATTTAAAAACCGTTATTTTGTATCCTTAAATCTATTTTCATTCTTCATAAGTTTAAATATTTAATTCATTATTCATTCATTAAATTTAATTTTTCGTGCTGATTTTGACATTTCTTCATCACTTTCTCTACATTAACTGGTTCTTCTCTATAAATACTTAATAAAACAATTATCAGATTTTCGTAGAGGGGCCCGGGCCCCCTATGCCCCCCCCCCCTGGCTACGCCCCTGTACTGAGGACATGCCGTTTTCGAGATATTTGCGATAAAATTTTACATAAATTTTCATACAAAATTTGATCATGCACAGTATTTTTTGATAAACTTTTACAAAGTTTTGGTAAAACATCATGTTTATCCTTTATATTAAGGACTGATTTTTTGAGCAATAAACGAAAACATTATGTAGAAGATGCTAAAAGATTCAAATCAAGAGAAATTAACAAAAACTTTCAATTTTCTAATGTGTCGGAAAAATATTGTGCACAAGGAATTTTTAAACATTTTTTAAAAATCTGAATCATTGTGGAAAGCAAGGAAGTCACCAATACATACACAGATCAACAAAACACATTTTTTGCAATATTTGAATTTAATTAAAGTTAAGCCACAATAAAGCATTTAAAGCTTATTTATACATTTATTGACAATTCTGAAGCTTGCACAAAGCAAAATAATTGCAAATTTCTTGAGTTTTGGTGTTGTTGATGCATAATTGAGGCCAAAATATAATTTTCAATAAATTTAGAACACATTTTAGTAAATTTGCATAAAGTTTACAAAATTAAAGTAAATTTCATAGTTCTGGTGCATAACTAGAAACATTTGAAGTGTAAAAGAACTTAAAAAAGTGGTTTATATTATAAAAACATCATATTTATTCAGTTTAACACGTGTATGAGTGAAGACAACCCTGTTTTAACACAAACAATCACCGTAATACAGCAATTTGATCCAAGCGTTGGAGACTTTAGACCAATTGCAATTCCAGTAACCCAAATATTAGATCCATTTATCCTTATAACGATAAAAGAGATAGTTTGACAACAAACAGATTTAATGATAAAACATTTTCCTTTTTAAAAATATTAAAAAATCAACGAGATTTTATTTATTTTTTTAAACATTGGTGAATGACAAAATTAATAATGTACAGTGTCTTAATTTCATGAGTTTGCTGGACGACTTTTAAAGTTCTTCTTTATTTATTTTCCCAAAAGGCTTCCATGATTATGATGATGATGATGTCTAATTAAATAGTTAATTATTAATAAGTTAATTAAGCCTCATACCATCGAGATTAATGTCCAAAATATCAGTACTGAATGACACGACATTACGAATTCCATTAAAAGATCCTTACGGATGATGACAAGTTCAGGGATTCATAATTTTATGTCATGAATTGATTTTTTTTTGTATTTATCTCGAGTGCATACGTAAATTTTTTCAATTACCCATGGTTGTTGCCTCCAAATCCCCCGAAACCCCTTCCAAATCCTCCTAGAAAATGAATCATAATTATAAATTTATTAAACTATTTTTGAAATGGAGACTTAATAATGTTTAAAATTCGTACCCAAGCCACTTGAGAGTCCAGAGCTACCAAAGCTCCCTAAGCCGCTTGAGAAACCAGAGCTACCAAAGCCACCACGACTTCCAAAACCTATAGATAAGTAAACAAAATCGTTATTTTTAGATGGCTTTAGATGGACTTTTACACTCTTTTTGCTTCTATTCTTTTCTTAAAGGCTTTATTTTATAAAATTTTATTAAAATATTTTTAAAATGGAGATTTAGGATTGTTCATAGCAGTTTAAAGACTTAATTGATCATAAAAAAAGTATTATAATGTTTACCACCTAAGCCACCTAAGGCCCCTAAGGCCCCTAAGCCTCCAGATCCACCAAAGTTGCTACGACTGCCGAATCCTAGGTAAGTAAACAATGTTAAAGATTCATTATTTTAAAAGATTTTAAGTTTTAAGTTTAAATTATTCAACAAAATTATTGGAAATTTATTAAAATGGAGACTTAAGAATGGTTAAAGATTAAATTCATCATATAAAAAGTGTTTCTTACCACCAAATCCGCTGGAGCCACCTAATCCACTACCAAATCCGCTGGAACCACCTAATCCACTGATGCCCGGTAATAACACCGACGCGGAATAACTTCACTTGTAGAGAAAATCGTGAGTTCGGAATAATGTCGAAAATTTAAAATGCATAGAGCGGTAATAACTTCACCTATATAGCCTGAGTGAACTTATTCCGGCGTGGCGCAGGAATAACTTCACCTAGAAAATGAAGGTGAAGTTATTCTTGCACGCTGTAGGAATAACTTCACTTATATGTGCCAAGTGAAATTATTCCTGCGCCACGTCGTAATAATTTCACAAATTTTTGTTCATCGACATTATTCCGTCATGATGCAGGAATAACTTCACTTATAATTTCTATGTGAAGTTATTCCTGTTTTGTGTAATTACTTTTGTGTTATTTTTTAAGGGTTTTTTATGATATTTAATTAATAAAGTTCTTCAGTAATATGTTTTGAAGTTTGTTGCGGATTTTATTCTAATTTGATGTAAGACATGATAGTTTCTTATATCTTCGAAATTAATTTGGAATATATAGAAAGTTCACTACTAATTCGTAATTACTTTGAATATCAATTAAAACTTTAATTAATTTTTCTGGAGTTATAGGCTCTTTTGCTGAAATACCTCTATTAGATATCAATCTTGTGATATTAACACATGTTTTTGTATCTAAAAGGCAGGCTTTAGATGAGAATTTAATAGCTAAAATTAACAAAACTTTTGTCAACAGTGTCAATTGGTAACATAAGAGCGCTTCCATACAAAATTAAAATTCAAAAAGTTGCACAATTAGCTAATTTTACCTTGTTTAATTAAACTAGAAGCAAGTGAAATGATAAAATATACATTTTTTCAATCCATTAGAAGGATAGCTTGCAACAAAAGAAGTAAAATCTAGTGTTCAAAATCTTACCAAAAAACTCGTGAGAAAAATTTTCTCAGAGAAAACTTGATTTGAAATCTCGCGAGTTTTCAAATCACGTGAAATTTTTTTCTCACGTCTTAATCTCAATTGAGATTTTTAATCTCAATTTGTGACGTCACAAGGGAAATTTTTCAAAAAATTTGAATGAAATTTTTGAACACAAAGGTTAATGGAAGTTTTTCTGATATTGACTGTGTTCCTGTTTTTGAATGTACATCAGTTTACAGCTTCAATGCCTCTGGATGCTTTTTTGATCTCTTTAAGCATTTCTGAGTGTGAGAACTAGCCGTTGAGACCCTTTTCGTTTAAATTTTAATACAAATGCAATGCCATCGTAAAGGTTGGTTAAAAATGAACTTTATTTATCCAGTCCCCAAAAGTTCGAAAAACTTTCTTTTCTCAATTTTTGGTTCTGATTCCATTTTCAAATATTATTTTTGGAATTCAAATTTTCTAACGGTCAATAAATAATTTGAAATTTTCCCGCTAAAAGTTGCACCACAAAAACATTAATTATAGTATAATTAATAATTTGTTGCAATGAATTTCCATACAGAAAGGGTTTATCATTTAACGGTTTTTTAAAATTTGAAATTTTACAACGGCTAGAAAAAAATTGAAATTATAGAGGTATTGTTGAATTTATAGAGGTAAAATAAAATTTGAGCAAGTTACACTGAATTCAAAACAAAAATTCATTAATAATAGCATAAATGCACTCTTTCAAGACTTTTAATTGTTCGATCGGACAATAAACAATAGTAACGGAGCTATTAAAACAAACCTGAGCTCTCTACGATGTCTGGTTAAAAAGTTTTTATGCTTACCCAGCCGAGCAAACGAACGAACGAACAAAATGCATTATTAAGCTTCCTTTTCGAAAACAAGTTTTCAAAAATGCGCTAAAAAGCATCCAGAGGCATTGAAGCTGTAAACTGATGTACATTCAAAAACAGGAACACAGTCAATATCAGAAAAACTTCCATTAACCTTTGTGTTCAAAAATTTCATTCAAATTTTTTGAAAAATTTCCCTTGTGACGTCACAAATTGAGATTAAAAATCTCAATTGAGATTAAGACGTGAGAAAAAAATTTCACGAGATTTGAAAACTCGCGAGATTTCAAATCAAGTTTTCTCTGAGAAAATTTTTCTCACGAGTTTTTTGGTAAGATTTTGAACACTAGATTTTACTTCTTTTGTTGCAAGCTATCCTTCTAATGGATTGAAAAAATGTATATTTTATCATTTCACTTGCTTCTAGTTTAATTAAACAAGGTAAAATTAGCTAATTGTGCAACTTTTTGAATTTTAATTTTGTATGGAAGCGCTCTTATGTTACCAATTGACACTGTTGACAAAAGTTTTGTTAATTTTAGCTATTAAATTCTCATCTAAAGCCTGCCTTTTAGATACAAAAACATGTGTTAATATCACAAGATTGATATCTAATAGAGGTATTTCAGCAAAAGAGCCTATAACTCCAGAAAAATTAATTAAAGTTTTAATTGATATTCAAAGTAATTACGAATTAGTAGTGAACTTTCTATATATTCCAAATTAATTTCGAAGATATAAGAAACTATCATGTCTTACATCAAATTAGAATAAAATCCGCAACAAACTTCAAAACATATTACTGAAGAACTTTATTAATTAAATATCATAAAAAACCCTTAAAAAATAACACAAAAGTAATTACACAAAACAGGAATAACTTCACATAGAAATTATAAGTGAAGTTATTCCTGCATCATGACGGAATAATGTCGATGAACAAAAATTTGTGAAATTATTACGACGTGGCGCAGGAATAATTTCACTTGGCACATATAAGTGAAGTTATTCCTACAGCGTGCAAGAATAACTTCACCTTCATTTTCTAGGTGAAGTTATTCCTGCGCCACGCCGGAATAAGTTCACTCAGGCTATATAGGTGAAGTTATTACCGCTCTATGCATTTTAAATTTTCGACATTATTCCGGAGCTGCGTTGTGAAGTTATTCCGCGTCGGTGTTATTACCGGGCATCAATCCACTACCAAATCCGCTGGAACCACCTAATCCACTACCAAATCCGCTGGAACCACCTAATCCACTACCAAATCCGCTGGAGCCACCTAATCCACTACCAAATCCACTAGAACCACCTAATCCACTACCAAATCCGAAGCCTAGGTAAGTATACAATGGTTAAAATTCATTATTTTTTATTTTTCGATAAATCAATTGAATCAAGAATTGGAGCCTGAATATTCCAAACACTATAGATAATGAATTTGAGCAGTTTCTTTTTGAACATCCTCAAACTATCTTTTAATCACAAAAAAATGATACTTACTACTACCAAATTGACGTTTCACACGTGCAACATTACTGTTCTCAGCACTGTCAATTTCCAAATCAACAATGGCCAATGGTGATTGTTCAGATTCAACATTCTCGCCGACTTCTTTAATAGGAAGAGCATAAGTAATCACAGCAAATAAAACTAAGACAATTAAGAACTTCATCTTTTTAACTTTTTGATGCAATATTTCAATTTAACTGTATCCAACGTGGTCGAAATAACAAACAAGACTGGAAATGCTTCAAAATAATCAGCACTTTTATACTCTCCTTCTGAGTGGATTATTCTAATAAATCAATTTTTTAAAACACATGATATCATACGAAAGAATAGTCCTGGAGCAAAATAAAAGAGAACAGAGAAACAAAATGATTGCAGAGAGGAAAAACGACTGAGTGCACAATTTTGGACATATAAGGACTATCTTCGCGCGGTAATTCCGAATTTCGATTGAATTAATTAAATTCCGGTTGTGGATTCTTAATGATCGTAGTATTTTTGGTAAATAGAATAATTTAATTTTGCTGAATGAATCGACATGAGAATCACATGTGCATGTCTTTAAATTGTAAATAAACATCTGTTGGCTGATTTTGGCTGGGAAAAATAACGCTTTTGCGTTGCACTTGTACAAAAATTGAATTAATATTCTTCTATTTCCTGCTTAATAAGTGCTTTATAAAGTAAATTATATATGCAGATTCATAAAACAAAGTGTAACAGACTGTAAATCAATAGTCAGAAGTTAATATTTTGTTATTTAAAGCCAATTGCAACAAAACGATAGAATTTACCGTTTTTTCGTAAGTAAATTTGGTCCTTAGAACGTCTAGATAGCTTAATAAAGAGAAATATAGTTTCAATGACGATTTTTTTGTTGAAGAAATCAATCCATGAAATTGCCCACGTGCAAGTATAAAAATCCGTTAAATGTTAAAAATTCTTAAATAAATTGTGCGGGAAAGTATGAAAATTAATTGTAAAAGCACTTCTAAAAGCTTTTTTATCGAGAAAAATTTTGAAATATTTATTTTGCAAGTGGGTCGGATCCCAATATAAACTGTAGGCAATATAAAATAAAAATCTTTGAATTTATTTTTGATTTTGATTTAAATCTCAATGAAAAATGATTTTAACTAGTGTATCGGGAAGAAACCCAATGCGGATTATATTCACACCGTACTATCAAAAGTCTTATGGATAGACCTAGATTTGCCCATCATAAGTATGAAGGTATGAAGCTTGATAAGTCAACTGAGCTTCGCTCAGCATAAGTTTGAAGGTATAAAGCTTGACGAATATACCAAACATTCTTTAAAAAAAAATCGATTTTATATCTATATTAGCATTCTTTATCATTTATAAGACCTAGATATGGTTTAAAATGCAATTTAAAGCATTTTTGGATTTCGATCATAGTAGGCTATTTTCAAAAAAATATCGATTTTATATCTATATAAACATTCTTTATCATTTATAATACCAGATATGTTTTAAAATGCAATTTAAAGCATTTTTGAATTTCGATCATAGTAGGCTATTTTCAAAAAAAATATCGATTTTAAATCTATATAAACATTCTTTATCATTTATAATACCTAGATATGTTTTAAAATGCAATTTAAAGCATTTTTGGTTTCGATCATAGAAGGCTAATTTCAAAAAATATTGATTTTATGTCTATATAAACATTCTTTATCATTTATAATACCTAGATATGTTTTAAAATGCAATTTAAATCATTTTTGGTTTCGATCATAGTAGGCTATTTTCAAAAAAAATATCGATTTTATGTCTATATAAACATTCTTTATCATTTATAATGCCTAGATATGCTTTTAAATGCAATTTAAAGCATTTTTGGTTTTGATCATAGAAGGCTACTTTCCAAAAATATTGATTTTATGTCAATATAAACATTCTTTATCATTTATAAGACCTAGATATGGTTTAAAATGCAATTTAAAGCATTTTTGGATTTCGATCATAGAAGGCTAATTTCAAAAAATATTGATTTTATGTCTATATAAACATTCTTTATCATTTATAATACCTAGATATGTTTTGAAATGCAATTTAAAGCATTTTTGGTTTCGATCATAGTAGGCTATTTTCAAAAAAATATTGATTTTATATCTATATTACCATTTCTTATCATTTATAAGACCTAGATATGTTTTGAAATGCAATTTAAAGCATTTTTGGTTTTCGATCATAGTAGGCTATTTTCAAAAAAAATATCGATTTTATGTCTATATAAACATTCTTTATCATTTATAATGCCTAGATATGCTTTAAAATGCAATTTAAAGCATTTTTGGTTTTGATCATAGAAGGCTAATTTCAAAAAATATTGATTTTATGTCTATATAAACATTCTTTATCATTTATAATACCTAGATATGTTTTAAAATGCAATTTAAATCATTTTTGGTTTCGATCATAGTAGGCTATTTTCAAAAAAAATATCGATTTTATGTCTATATAAACATTCTTTATCATTTATAATGCCTAGATATGCTTTTAAATGCAATTTAAAGCATTTTTGGTTTTGATCATAGAAGGCTACTTTCAAAAAATATTGATTTTATGTCAATATAAACATTCTTTATCATTTATAAGACCTAGATATGGTTTAAAATGCAATTTAAAGCATTTTTGGATTTCGATCATAGTAGGCTATTTTCAAAAAAATATCGATTTTATATCTATATTAACATTCTTTATCATTTATAATGCCTAGATATGTTTTAAAATGTAATTTAAAGCATTTTTGGTTTCGATCAAAGTAGGCTAATTTCAAAAAATATTGATTTTATGTCTATATAAACATTCTTTATCATTTATAAGACCTAGATATGGTTTAAAATGCAATTTAAAGCATTTTTGGTTTCGATCATAGAAGGCTAATTTCAAAAAATATTGATTTTATGTCTATATAAACATTCTTTATCATTTATAATACCTAGATATGTTTTGAAATGCAATTTAAAGCATTTTTGGTTTCGATCATAGTAGGCTATTTTCAAAAAAATATTGATTTTATATCTATATTACCATTTCTTATCATTTATAATACCTAGATATGTTTTAAAATGCAATTTAAAGCATTTTTGGTTTCGATCATAGAAGGCTAATTTCAAAAAATATTGATTTTATGTCTATATAAACATTCTTTATCATTTATAATACCTAGATATGTTTTGAAATGCAATTTAAAGCATTTTTGGTTTCGATCATAGTAGGCTATTTTCAAAAAAATATTGATTTTATATCTATATTACCATTCCTTATCATTTATAAGACCTAGATATGTTTTGAAATGCAATTTAAAGCATTTTTGGTTTTCGATCATAGTAGGCTATTTTCAAAAAAAATATCGATTTTATATCTATTTAAACATTCTTTATCATTTATAATACCTAGATATGTTTTAAAATGCAATTTAAAGCATTTTTGGTTTCGATCATAGTAGGCTATTTTCAAAAAAATTACGATTTTATATCTATATAAACATTCTTTATCATTTATAAGACCTAGATATGTCTTAAAATGTAATTTAAAGCATTTTTGGTTTTCGATCATAGTAGGCTATTTTCAAAAAAAATATCGATTTTATATCTATATAAACATTTTTTATCATTTATAATACCTAGATATGTTTTAAAATGCAATTTAAAGCATTTTTGGTTTCGATCATAGAAGGCTAATTTCAAAAAATATTGATTTTATGTCTATATAAACATTCTTTATCATTTATAATACCTAGATATGTCTTGAAATGCAATTTAAAGCATTTTTGGTTTCGATCATAAAAGGCTAATTTCAAAAAATATTGATTTTATGTCTATATAAACATTCTTTATCATTTATAATACCTAGATATGTTTTAAAATGCAATTTAAAGCATTTTTGGTTTCGATCATAGAAGGCAAATTTCAAAAAATATTGATTTTATGTTATATAAACATTCTTTATCATTTATAATGCCTAGATATGCTTTTAAATGCAATTTAAAGCATTTTTGGTTTTGATCATAGAAGGCTACTTTCAAAAAATATTGATTTTATGTCAATATAAACATTCTTTATCATTTATAAGACCTAGATATGGTTTAAAATGCAATTTAAAGCATTTTTGGATTTCGATCATAGTAGGCTATTTTCAAAAAAATATCGATTTTATATCTATATTAACATTCTTTATCATTTATAATGTCTAGATATGTTTTAAAATGTAATTTAAAGCATTTTTGGTTTCGATCAAAGTAGGCTAATTTCAAAAAATATTGATTTTATGTCTATATAAACATTCTTTATCATTTATAAGACCTAGATATGGTTTAAAAAGCAATTTAAAGCATTTTTGGTTTCGATCATAGAAGGCTAATTTCAAAAAATATTGATTTTATGTCTATATAAACATTCTTTATCATTTATAATACCTAGATATGTTTTGAAATGCAATTTAAAGCATTTTTGGTTTCGATCATAGTAGGCTATTTTCAAAAAAATATTGATTTTATATCTATATTACCATTTCTTATCATTTATAAGACCTAGATATGTTTTGAAATGCAATTTAAAGCATTTTTGGTTTTCGATCATAGTAGGCTATTTTCAAAAAAAATATCGATTTTATGTCTATATAAACATTCTTTATCATTTATAATGCCTAGATATGCTTTAAAATGCAATTTAAAGCATTTTTGGTTTTGATCATAGAAGGCTACTTTCAAAAAATATCGATTTTATATCTATATAAACATTCTTTATCATTTATAATACCTAGATATGTTTTAAAATGCAATTTAAAGCATTTTTGGTTTCGATCATAGAAGGCTAATTTCAAAAAATATTGATTTTATGTCTATATAAACATTCTTTATCATTTATAATACCTAGATATGTTTGGAAATGCAATTTAAAGCATTTTTGGTTTCGATCATAGTAGGCTATTTTCAAAAAAATATTGATTTTATATCTATATTACCATTCCTTATCATTTATAAGACCTAGATATGTTTTGAAATGCAATTTAAAGCATTTTTGGTTTTCGATCATAGTAGGCTATTTTCAAAAAAAATATCGATTTTATATCTATTTAAACATTCTTTATCATTTATAATACCTAGATATGTTTTAAAATGCAATTTAAAGCATTTTTGGTTTTCGATCATAGTAGGCTATTTTCAAAAAAAATATCGATTTTATATCTATATAAA